GATGCATGACAGAGTAGATTCATTGTACTACAGTATTCACATGAACAAGTGAATGCCAAAGGCTTTTGCATGACTGAAGTTCTCAGGATAGAAACACAGGTTCTATAGAGAAGAAGATGCATTAGAATCTTGCCAAATACAACTTCCAAATACAAGGTATTGGAATCCTTTTAGGATATTTTAAACGCTTCTGTTGATCTGCACTGTTCTTGTATCATACTTGAGCTTGCTATCAATCTAATAAAACTGAATGTTAGTGAAAACGATGGGAAGATATTTTAATCACATCCTCCATCACCTTTCCTTCCCTTCTGCTTTTTTATTAGGCAAGATGGAGTGATACAATGCTCTTTATCTAATGAGGATAGAGCTGCAAGGTGCAAAGTGACTGGGTCTGAAAGCTGAAGCCTTTTCAGCAGACTTGGGCCACCTGGTGTGAATCAGCTGATGAACTTGGCTGGCCTGTCCTTGGCCATATGTTATGCTACAGCTGGCTTTTAAGCTCTCTCCTTCAAAATAATGCTTGGCTGTTAATTATGTGAAGACAAGCACACCATGGAGCTATCTGGGCAGATTTCATTGCTTACTCAGCCTACCCAAGATCATTCCTGTGTTTTCTCTTCATATTAAAGAACAAAACCTAGTGTTTGGCATTGCTATGGTTATGCTCCAGTTAAGCTGGGCTTTGTAGGAGCCTATTGCATAGGCTGGATTGGCCTCTGGAAGTTTTCCAGCGTGGATTTTGAGATATGGTGCCCTCAGAATGCACCCTCTTTGTAAAGTATGAATGGAAGGCATCGCTTGAGCTAAAAGCATTTCAGCAAATATCTTCATAATGGTTTTGGGAAAGTACTGACGGCTTGATTTTGAAGAGAGATAGGCAAACAGTTAGCTATGCTAAATATTTCCAAAGCTTTCAGGAGACCATTCATGGCAGAAAAAGTTATGCAAGTAGCTTAAACACTTGCAGAGTTTCATTGTCAATTCTAATGTTTAATTTTAACAACTTATCCTGACTCCCAGTTAAACTGTAAGTAGTGCAATATATGATACAGCAACATATAATTAAAATTGACTTTATCTAGTGTGGCAAAATTCACTAACATCTTTTCCTTGTGTACAGATTTTTTTTTATAACGTATAGTAATGAAGGGGAAAGGTAGGGGGAACAAGATGGTTGTGTTTCCATCATTCAGTAAGTCCAACGCTCCTGTTACCTCACAGAATATCACATGCATGGCACTCCTCAAATGATGAAAAGCACAGTTCTGCACTGGTGGAAACGATCTGCCCATTTAGCTGGAAAAAAACTTCAGTGACACAACCATACGAGACCTGTGCACTGAATAGCATTAGCTATGAGCAGCCTCCCCAGTGGCACATTTCAATCAATTCTTACCACAGTGTTCGCTGTGTGGATTTTGTGAGTGTTGGCAAGGAGCTGTGTTTTGGCTCAGCCTTAGTGCAGCAGACAAATTTCCTGATGGAACTTCCCATTACCTTCGATAATACAGCTGGATTGTTTGTGGGATTCTCTGGTACCCATTTGTTTGCATGGATGGAAGGGCTTGCTTCCCTGGCAGAAATCTGGTGGCCTTGCTGAAATTCAGCAAGAGCAAGGATGGAAGCCTTCCTTGTTATCCCTGCAGAACTTGTTGGACGTGTTTAAATGCTGGAGACCTTTCAGATGAGAACATCCCAAACCAGTAATCTTGACTTTTCCATTATGGCTCTTTGTTTCTTCTGCTTTTTAACCTGTGAAATAAGATTAAATTCCTACAAGAGACTTTTCTGGGCAGCACAACGTAGACATGTGCTGTGCCAGCCACCAAGTAGGAAAGTTTGGGAATCATCTTGTACAAGTGGAGCTGATCATCAAAATGAGCGCTCATTATCTTAGGGAATCAATGCCTTTAATCCTGTTGGATTCTTTATGATTAAAAGCATGAAGTAAATACAATGCTTTTTTTCCATGTAGAACTACAAGTGTTTCTCTGCAGAAGTGTGTGATAGAGACAAAGATGTGATAAAGACATGGGGCTGGAATTCACTGTGACAGGTAACGAAAAGGAATTCTTACTCTATTAGCAATTGATTTTCAAATAACACATTAAAAATAAGAATTAGTCACTTTTTTTGTATCCCATGTAATTTTTTTTTTTTAAGCAACCCAGTTTGTCTTTCTCTTTGCATTTTTATGTTTAGTCACACGATAATTTTTTTAGATGCTGACAAAGGGAGGTACATAGGATGAAGAGGAAGTCCTTAATAAAGGTGTATTGCAGTGAGATAACTCACTTTGAAGGCTTTTGTGAAGTTCACAAGGCATGGAAGGTCTTTGGAATTACATTATTGTTGTTAACGTGGTGAGAACAAGAAAAAAAATGTAGGGTAGTTAAAAATACACAGAAACAGGACATCAAAGGAGTCAGAATGGCTACTCTCATTTAGACAAAATGATGTAAGTAGGCTAATTTTAGCTTTCTCTAAACGACTTTCGTGTTCAGCAGTTTCTATAAGCTGAAAAGTAGCATAAATGTTGAGCAATACGTTGTAAGTGAGCTGGTGCTGGGAATTACTGTGACCTTATTGAATGGTTGGTTTCTTTCTTCTGAATACTGAAAGACCACGATGTCTGAAAAAGGAAGTGATAAATGTGTGTTCGTTCCCTATATGCTTTCCTGACAGGCAGAAAGAGCGAGTTCAGAATGGAAAGCAGCATTCAAGAAATGGGACATTGCAGCAAACTCTCAGCTTGAAAGATCTGTAGCTTTCCCAGATGTGTTGCTGGATGTGAGAACCTACCCAGCCAGGCACTATCCAAATGTTAGACTTACTTAGAGCCCAGACAGATTTATTTCATCTGTATATTGCTCTTTCTAAGAACTCTGATATTTTATTTTGTAGACTGTCAGCTAACATTTCTTTTCTCATGTTATAGAGGCAGAGTAAAACAGGCTAAGAACAAAAACCTGAGGAATACTTAATTTAACTGCATAAAAAATACAACATTTTGTCTTTAATCCAAGTGGAAGTACTCTGAGGACACTTGGCCAAAAGCTGAACTCTGCTGTCAGAACAGCAGCTAATTGCTGATATGTTATCAAGACTGCAGTGCAATACATAGAGTGTTTTATAGTTTTCATAGTACTTTATTTTACATCACACTTCCTCCTGCTGTGATTTCAATTTGTACAGCAGGAAGGAGGAATAAACTCCAGATTTTTTTCTTTTTTTTAACAGAGGATGCTGGCATTTCAGCAGACGTAAATCAAAAGTACCTGTTATCAAACCTAAATGCTTTATGTTGAAATGGAATTTACCATACTTCATGCACATTCCTTCTTGCCATTCCACCAGGCATCACTGAGAAGAGTCCACTTGTGTCTTTATTCCACCCCACCAGGTCCTTATACAAACGAATGAGATCCCTCTGAGCTTTCTCTTTCCAGACTGCAAGTCTCAAATATCTCACTCTCTCCCTGTAAGACAGATGCTCCATTCTTCAGATGCTCCTTAATCATTTTAGTATCTTCAGTAGAATCCCTCCACTATGTCCATATCTCTTACAAGCTGGGTAACCCAAGACTGGAATCAGCACCCCAGGTGGGTTTCTATGCATTGGGCTTACCTGGATTTTGGAAGCAGGGAGGCACAGGGGAGCCCCCCATCAGGAGAGAGCCCTGAAGATTCCCCATGTCATGGTCATTTCTCAGGAATTTAGAGGAAGGAATAAGAGCCTGTAGCCCCTTCCCAAACACAATGTGCCATCACTCCACTGAGCACATGGTGCTGTTGCTTTTGTCAGGAACAGCAAAGCTGTGAATAGCAATGCTCATGCTTACATTTCTTTATCAGTACATGAATACAATCAGTCGTATTTACCATTGTGCTCCAATTGTTTGCTCTTCTCAGTGGCTGCTTTGATAATTCCTGATTCTCTTGCTGGACCCTGCCCTTTTGTCTTTTCTTCCTTTCTTGTAGCACTGTGAACCTTGCAGAAAGAGGACTTGTTATTTCCTTTTGTTTGTACACGCAAGACTTGTTTTGCTGCAGGAGAAAAGTTGGAATATACCATCAGGAATCATGAATTATTTCAGCTGTTATTTGTTTGCTGTTTGTACCGTAGTCAAAATGAGCAGACAGGTAAAGCTTGGGTGAAGTGCACTGAATGGAATATTAGACCAACAAACGAGCTGGCCTGTATGTGAGGAGGAAAAACTACAGAACTGCAATATAATGACTCCGGCTAAGAGATTAGCAGGACAGGATTATGGGCAGTTGTTCCCAAAGCTGTCTAAAACTGCATTAAGGCTTCACACTGACCAACTGATGAAACCATTTCCATGGAACTATGGATTTTTCATCAGGCCTTATTTCCTTCCCTTTTGATAAGCTTTATGATTCAAAGAATTGCTGACAAATTCAACAGAAGAGCACAGTGGTAGATTTGGGGCAGATATTGCTAAATCAGAGCAAGTTCAGCAGAGACTCCTAATGAGCTCCAGTTAGGGTATTTAACAAATAACTTGCAATACCTTATTTTTGATACGTGACTTAATCCCATGTATTATGTGCTGTTTGTTGAGAGCCAACAGAGAAGCAAGCCTGTAATTTCAAGAGGAAGCCATCAGAAACATAAACATCTATGTTTATGACATAGAATCCCTGCTTGTGAGTTTGCTGCCTGGCCTTGCAATATGTGTTGCAATCTGCCTAATTAAGTCTTTAGCTACAGGCAGCAAAGAAATCAAACTGGGATGATAGGAGGAAAGGAATACCTAAGTTCATCAGTCTGGTTCCAAAGGTAATACTGGACATGCACACAAGTCAAAGATACAGTTAACTTGTAATAACGATGATAGAACAAATTTTCCAGGAAATGGGAACTTTGTTCTTAGTAGGTTCTGTTGCTGTACAGATCTGTTTGTCATAAAACACTGGATAAGAAGTCAGGTATAAATTGGATCATGACTGTTGAACTACATTTCATAATCATCCAGTGTTTGGACAGGTTGGCCTTGGGAGCCTCACCCTTTCACAGGTGGGAGGTATAAACTCTGATGCTCTGCTTCATTGGCACCTCTTGTGCACAATGGGCAGAAAGAAGATCCTGCTTTTCCTCGTAAGCACAGCAATTCTGTGTGCCATCTCAGGTAAACTACTTTAAATCTTTTAAAACATCCTTACAAATAGGTGGTGAAGAGGGGCTTAGTCCTCTTCACCAATTTCATACACGTATCTCATGTGCTAATATTGTGTTCAAAGATTGTATATGTAAAACAGACTGCAATTAGATAGCATTGTTTTCTTATTAAAAATATGAATCAACTTTGTGATTAATTATTATTCACGTTGAAGTAAATTTAGTGCAATGAACTGATGCTATTCTGACTTTTACAGTAGTGTCCTGTAGCATAGATTAAAACAAAAAGTACTACTGTGAAAATATTAATGGCTTTATTTGTATAAATCCATGTCTATTAGTATGAAATTTAGGAGGAATGTAGTTTCTTGCCTGTAGTGCATACCTGCTTTAAAAGACTTCAAAGTTCAACTTGGAGATGCACATGGAGCAGCAATGCTTCGCTTTATATCATGTAATGGAAACACAGTAGTAAGATACAGCTGCTATCATATATGGTATCATGAAGTCTCAAGGACGTGTATTTTTCTACCAGAGGTGTCCTTGAGGCTTTCATACACATAGAAAGAAAACCTGGAGACAATAAAAGCCCAGTTGGCAAATTTACACTTGCAAATCACAACCGTGTTCAGGTAGGTTGGGCTTTGTGAGAAACCAATATTTAGTATTACTGAGGACTTTCTGACTACTAGTGATATTTCGCTGGAGTTAATATTTGAATACACAATATACCCAGTAAACACTTCTGGAGCTGTGTCTTACCTGACAGCATCACAGTTTGCATTGGAAAAAAGACTTCTCTGTATCAATTAAGCTATGCCTCTAGGTCATTGTCATTTTTTTAATATCCTTCTTCAACTTCAGAGCCCAAAGCTTCACATGGTACAGGATGTGCAGCTGCACCTCCATTGAGTGTAGAGGGACAAGTGTTTTTTTTGACAGGATGACTGCAGCTTGATTAGTGCACCACAGAATAGGCTTGGCCCTTTTGAAAGCCAAGGAACAGAAATGAATTATGCTGAGCTTTCCATCCACCAGAACTCCTACATCCTTTCAACAAGCACGAGAGATGCAGAAGAGAGGAATGGGAGAGGAGAGTAATGGAAACGAGGAGCCTAGGTCAGCTGAGAGTAGCAATCTTCATGGCCTTGAACTTGTGTGGTGTTGAAATTGCCCTGTGAAGGAGAGATGTGTGCGTGCTGCAGTGTTTTCCCATGTGTTCCTTGTTTCTCCTTTCCCAGATGCCTCTCTGAGCTTGGTGAATGGCTGGAACCACTGTGAGGGGCGCGTTGAGGTCTACTACAATGGGAGTTGGGGCACAGTCTGTGATAACTCCTGGGACATCAGTGATGCCACAGTTGTGTGCAGGCAGCTGGACTGTGGCTTTGCAGTTTCAGCACCAGGAAATGCCTATTTTGGACAAGGCACAGGCACAATTTACCTGGACGATGTGCAGTGCACGGGGAACGAGTCATCCCTCTTTGAGTGCAGGAGCCGTGGCTGGGGTGTGCACAACTGTAACCACTCTGAGGATGCCAGCGTGATCTGCTCAGGTACCATTGATTGTCCTTCCCAAGTCCTGCTACTTGGGCTGATGAATTGGCCCTACTTTGCCTGGCATGGGGAGTCGTGGAGCCATATTTGCAGCCCATGTTTTGCCGTGCTCCTATGGGAGATGGCCCTGCCGACACCCCCACGCTGTGCATTGCAGCGTGACAGGGCAGCACTGCCATCCCCAGTGCTGGGAGCAAACCTGGTGCGCTCCTTCCTCCCAGTGTCCCTTACTTGCTTCTTTCTCTTCCTGCCTCAACAGGTGCTAATACCTCAACCCTTGTTTCTACTTCACCACCATCCAGCACACCTGGTATGTATGTGATTTTTATTTATTTATTTTTGCTTATTTTTGTATGGGTTGTCGTTTATATTTCATATCTCAAAGTTTTGTCTTTTATAGTCTTTAATAAAATTCTGAATTTTCCACAATATCTACTAACTTGTGTAATCCTACCTTTTACCCTTCCGTTACTCTGATTGTCCTGTGAGAATATTTTGGCATCTGTCACTTTCCTGATCTCTCATATGCTTTATGCCATTTTAGCCAGCTTCTGTTCTTTTCTTTCATGCATGTTTATGCTTTAAGCCTGCCAAATGCTAATTAGCAGTGTAGCTTCATAGCTCTGTAATGATTACACCTTAGCTTTGTTAAGAAGAGTGTATCCATTCATTTCATCTGGACACTTTGCCATCATTTGCTCTGGTATGTGTACATTTACTGTATATCAATTTGTTGATAAGGAAATCTAAGTGAATCTCATTTACATCTCTTTTTTTCAGCTCAAAAATATTTCTGTGGTAGCTTCCTTTCCAATTCATCTGGAACAATTCAGAGTCCCTTTTATCCTTCAAATTATCCAGATAATGCAGATTGCTTGTGGGAAATACAAGTCGTGAACAATTATCGCATTATGCTCACGTTTGGAAGTATTCAGTAAGTAAATTGCTTGTTTCCTGACTAGTAAATGGGGCAAAAATTTCAGCTTAAAAGCACAGTTCTCAAACATTTTCCCAATACTTAAACGCGTATCATAAATATTACCTTGAAATTGTGTCAGTGCAGTATCTTGGTTTGTTGTTTATTCAGCATTTATAATACTGAACTTTACCAAATGCGTTTTACCCCACTGTTCATGTTTTGCCCTATGTTCGTGTTCCTTCCCCAGGCTGCAAGGTGGATGCCAGTATGACTATATTGAGATCTATGATGGTCCACCAAGTACTTCTCCTCTGCTTGGAAGAATTTGTTCTGGTTACAACATCATGTACACATCCTCTTCAAATATGCTGACTGTCAGATTTCACAGTGACTCTAGATATTCAAATAGAGGGTTTTATGCTGATTATCATTCCTTTCCAGCAGATCAGAACACCAGTAAGTTTCCGTTCACTTTATAACATTTTCTTGGCCAAAAGGCTTTTATACCCTGATGTTATTTGCCAAAGTATTTGTTAATGTTTTTGCACCGCTCCTAAAAAAGATGACACTCTTACTTGAATTTCATAAGTGGTTATTAACTGATGACTTCCAGACAATAATTAATTTTTCATTTTATAAAGACCTTCAACTATCAAGTTGGTTCCACTTACATGGTTTTTTTTATGATGGTCAGTCTAAACTCATCTTTATTCTTATCACCTCATTATTTTCACGTTTTTTCTATTCTTGTGGACAATTTCTTGTACAAAAATTCATTGGAAAGGATATTTGAATTTTCCCTACTCCAACTAGCAGGACTATCACCAGCACCAGATCACATCCATTATGAATTTAAGCAGCAATGAAAGTGAAATTGGACTCTGAGCTGCATCTCCAGGGGTCTTACCTGCAGACACTCAGATGTGATCATTTCCCTCTACTCAGTGCTTGTCAGGCAGCAGCCTGAGTACTGTGTTCAGCTCTTGTCCCACCAATTCTAAAGTGATGTAGACAGACTGGAGAGGTGTCCATAGGTGGTCACATAGATGTTCAAAGGGTGGAGAACTTGCCTTAGGGGGAAAGACTGAAGGAGTTAGATAGGAGGACCTCATCACAGTTTTCCTGTACTAAGAGTGTGGCTACAAAGAGGATGGAAGCTCTTTTCAAGAGGGCCACATGGAGGAGATGAGAGGCAACAGGTACAAGTTGCATGGTTAGAGGTCTTGTCTTGGTAGAAGAAAAAAAATTTCAGTGAGAAGAATCAATCTCTAGCATCTCTGTCGTTGGAGTTTCTCTAGATGAGATTGGACAGGCTGCTACATAATCTCATCTGTGCTTCCTTATCCCATGAAAGATTGAACCTAATGATCAGTTGCAAATCACCAAAGGATGAAATTTTCATAGCCACAACTTCTCTGAGTGATCTCTTCCATTGCGGTCTAGCGGGGGAGTTTTTCTAATGCATTTCTAATTTCTAACAGCCACCCCAAGCACAAATAGTTGCCATCAATACTTACAAAATCACCTGCTGTCCCTGGACACTTATCTCTGCCGGAAGCTAGGATCTCCCTGGGATCATTCCTTTCCATGTAATGGACCCAGTCATGAGGATGGTTCCTAGATCTCCTCCCTAAGCAAGTAGTGTTTCTGCAAACAGTATACATTTATTTCTACAACTTCCACGTTAGCTTTTGGATGCTTATTTAGAAAAGACTCCCATCTCTAATCATTTTTGTATGAGTGGTGATACTGGATCAAGGTGTCATCAAAATGCTATGGTATACTACTTGTTTTTACTAGGAGAGTAACTGAAGGTCAACTGAAGTTTGTCAGAGATTATTCACATCTAAGCGTGAGGTGTAAAAATGAAATACCTTCCCTAAATGATAGAAGCTTTTGCATTTGGTGAAACTTTATCATGTGAACATTATTAATTACATCACTTCACTAATAATTCATATTTTCTGCCCTAGCCCTCTTTTGCTTCCCCACCCACATGCGTGCAGTTGTAGAGAGAAGCTACCTCCAGTCACAGGGTTACTCTGTGTGGAACGCTAGCTTGTCTGACTCTTCTTGTAGACCAAGAATTACATCAACCCAGGTTATATTCAACATTCCATACAACAGCTGTGGTACCCGTAGACAGGTGAGTGTCAGTGTACTTTGGACATATCTCCAGATCTGGGCACAGAAACTTAATATGCAGTTGGAAAACTGTCAAGAATTGCATGGGGCATTGCTGTCTACAAGTATTCAGAACACACAAAAGCAGCATGTCTTTCCGGAGGCTAAGGTTGATTAAACATCCCTGCTTGTCCTTCTTAGATTTTAAGTAATATCTGTATGTATTTCAGTGATGCTTTAAAGAAGAAAGTGTAGGATAGAGTGAACAGTCACATATAAGATGCTTTAGGTTTTTGAGTATGACACATCCTTTCTGAGTAATAGAAGGATCTGACACATACAGTTTGTACTGCATGGTGTGAACGTAACTACGCACAATAATCTTGCACTCATCCAATGTGTCAAACAGAGCAGCAACGAGACTTTCACCTATTCCAACATGATAAGAGTATTTGCTTCTGATTCCACCATCAAGAGGAAAAAGGACCTTTACTTGCATGTGAACTGCAAAATGCTCCAGAAAACCTGGGTACAAGTAATGTACACTGCTAATGACCGTGGTGTTGCTAACATTGATGAAACCCAATATGGCAGATATGAAGTGGACTTTGCATTCTACAATTCCTCCTCTTTCCTTTTGCCAGTGTATAAGTTTCCTTACTATGTTGAGCTGAATCAGACTTTGTTCCTTCAAGCTTCTCTTCGCAGCAATGACTCAAATCTGGTGCTGTTTGTGGATACGTGTGTGGCATCACCTGATCCTAACAATTTTACAGCACTGACCTACGACTTGATCAGAAGTGGGTAAGAACTTTTCTTAGGAATGATTTTGAAGGTATTTGGATACAGAGATCTTAAAGTGAGTCATTAATGAAAGATATAACTTAGGACCAGTGTGCATTGGTTATCATTCTCAATACAAATACACTTTTAATAAACACTTTCTGCCACAGACTAAATAAAATTAAATGTGGCAATTGAAATCCCATTGAGAAGTAGCAGTCAAGCTCCAGTTTCACTCCAGGAGGCAGCGTAGAAACTGAGGTCTAGACTTGTTTCTGACATAGATGAATGAAATACTGGAATGTCGATGGCTCTTTGTTTCTGTACTCCAAAATCAAAGTTTTTTAAATACTGTTTCCTTGAATTTATACAAAATTTGCCTTTTAATTTGAAATGGAATATTTGTGCTCTCTTGTCAGTAATGCTAAATAGACAAAGAGCTAGAAGCATAAAAGTGTTGCTCTTGGTGTCACATTTTCTTCCAGGAAAGAAAAACTCTTGCTAATTTATTTCCCTTGTGTGCTTAGTGGGACTTGAATCTTTCTACCTCCTGAGAAGAAGTTCTTATTGGTAACCTTACCAAAGTAAAATAACCAACCATTAGGCTGGAAGTCTATTGCTTATAGGAGGCTAGGGCAGTGACATAGTGCCTCCTGCATGTGAGATGAGTGTCCTCCCTTTTACATGCTGTGTGAATATGAGGAAGGTTTTCCTCTTGTTGAGATTTCTTTTGATTCTACCTGTAAAAATGCTTATTCATCAAGCAGAAACAGAAAGGGCACTCAACCAGGACACATGTCAAATAGATTCTGGTCTTTTTACAATTAATTTTTATTCATTTGACCTTTAACAACGTCAAAAGAAAGTGTATTTACTAAATCTAAAATCAGTAATATCCTCTTATAAATATCATAGGTGTTGGGATATCATTGCAATATAGGATAAACTGTGAGAACTCTGGGATCTTTATGAGGAAAAGAAGCCCAGTGAAATCTAATCTGTTAGTTTTCTCTCTCTCTCTAGGTGTGTTAAAGACCCTACCTACTCTTCTTATTATTCACCATACCCAAGCGTCAGTCGGTTTGCTTTTAATGCGTTCTCCTTTGTCAACCGCTTCCCATCAGTCTACCTGCAGTGTGAGATGGTGGTGTGCAGCTCTGGGGACTATTCTTCCCGCTGCTATCAAGGCTGTGTGAACAGGTTCAGGAGGAATGCAGGATCTTCCCAGGGGAAAGTGAGCGTTGTCATCGGACCTGTTCAGCTTCAGGAGGCTCCCAGTGAGAGCAGGAATGCTGGTGAGTGCAAACAACTTGTATTCAAAGTAGGGCTCTGTATATTGCTGTGTGTTTGCATGTCATTTCAGAAAGCCAGTTCTGCTGGCTTATGCACAACCCTATTACAATTCTTAAGACTATTTTTTAATATGTATATAAAGTTATTTTATAGTATTCACAAACAATTTCCTTTCTATTATACTTAGGCCAAATATTTGTTCTCCTCGTGTCAAGTAGCAATTGATTTAGTTCTGCCAGAAGAGAAATGAGATGTAGCCCATCTACCTACTGGATTTGTATTAGATTTTCAATGTTTTTTTCTGCCTGATTGGTATACCTCTTATTTATTAGCAACCACACTTTAGGTCCCCTTGAAAATGTTTCCCCATTCCTTATAAATGGTGTTTCTACTGTTAGGAAACAGCATGTATGGTCTTGGAGTGTAATTATTACAAGTTCCTAGAATTGTTTGAGCTGGAAAGGACCCTTAAAGCCATCTTGTTCAACTCCCTGCAGTGAACAAGGGCATCTGCAGCTCAATCATTCCTAGCTACTTTTTAAGTTCTTGCCATAATCTTTGCTTGTTTGCTATGGACACAGAATCACTTCTTAAACACCTGATAATTTGTTTTCCATTCAGATCTGTATTGCAGATCCGATCAGATCCGTTTTGTATCAATTTCTCTTTACCTTTGAAATGAACTAGCTCAGGAGGCGAATGTAAGTCCCTCTCTTTCTCTCTCACGCACAGAGCTGCCCTCCAACACCCAGGTGAGAGAGGAGCTCGAGAGCCCTGTGAATGCTGCCAGCTCCCACGTTCCTCTGGCTGTGGCCGCCGCTGTGCTGGCAGCTGCCATCCTCACAGTGGGAGGAATTCTTCTGAAGCGCAAAATGCAAGAACCCATCCCCTACCAGATAATGTGAGAGGTGACCAAGAGTCTGCAGGTGGAGGGTGCAATTCGGATGTTTCAGAGCATTTCAACTGAGCTCTTGTTTTGTTGATGTTGTGTTTCACGAGAACGATTTCAGCGGCTTGGGAAAGAACTGATTTCTTTTGCCATCTGCATTCTATTATGCAGATAGAACACTTGTGTGGTGTCCTGCTGGTATTAGAAACTCCATAAGTAGCCATGAAAAATGTTTCTTTTAGATAAAAGAATCTCAGTAATCAGCCATAGAATAAAATACACAGATATTGCACATAAGGAATTGTTCCTGTACGATGTTAATTTACTGGGGGGGAATGGTTCTTCACATTTATATGGTTCTCTCGGAAAATGTAGGCTATTTATAAATATTTGCGTAGAAGATAAATACAATCTGACCTGTTGTGTAAGTGTGTAATTTAAAAACACAGGGGAGGAAGCATTTGTAGAGAGATATTTCCTTTTTTTTTTTTTTGGTCTTGCAAATACACTGCCTATGTGTCTGAGCTCACTGCTGATACATTATCAGATTAAAGGACATGGTTTCTGAGAAAGTGACTTTGCCAAGGAGCGATCTGTACTCCTGCTATTATGCATTTCCAAACCTGTAGTGGCAAGGGGAATGTACGAAAGTTGCCATAAGGAAGCGTGACCAGCCTCGTATCCCTGTGTGAGAACAAAATAATAACAACATTAATAAAGGAAGAACCTGTTGGGAAGAACCCAGTTGCTACAGGTGAAAAGATCATTGGTATTTAGTTGAGAAATGCTCCTCTTTAGACTTTTTTGTTTTCTAGCAAGCAGTGACAGAGGAAAGCTTGTTAGGAACAGCATGAATACTACCTGTGAGGTGAGCCAGAGACAAAGTAGTGACTTATACTTGAGATTACATCTTGTCCTGGTGAGGAGGATAAGAGTAGACAGAAACAGTCATTTCAGTCTGTAGTATTTCTTCCTACCTTTTCTAGGTGACCCCAGGCATCTCCTCACCTCCCCATGCACTGTGGAGAAGGGACCTAACAAGAATGGACTGCCAGTGCCTACAGAGAATGGAAGTGCATTTTGTTTCCCAAACATGGGGAATAAGAACTGAGGAGGGTCCTCCCCTTTTCTACCTACCACCCTACAACCACATTTGAAGGGCAAAGCAGTCAAGGAAAAGGACCATCCTCTCTGCTCTCTACTACTCTCTGCTCATTCTCTCTGCCCCTACTACTTTCTCTCTTGCACCAGCTCCTGCTGTTGTACTGCTGTTGTGCTACCCCATAATTTTTCATAGTCTGATGGCACCTTTTCCACATCTCACATTCCCAGAGTATCTCTGTAATCAGACTGGGAGAAATATCCTAGGCCCAGGATGTTGATGCCTCCAATCAGCAACATGCTTGTGCTTTTCAGAATTGTTTTCCTGCGCTACGTCTGTACCAGGGGTTCTAGATGAAGATAAATCAAGGTTGTACCAGAATACAGGGTAGAAGTACCAAGTGCAGCGGTTTCAATATTAAATGTTGCTGTGAAAAACACTAATAAACTGCTCAACTATTTGATGTCCCAAAACCATTGTCCCAATCTCCCCACAGTTTCCTTGATCCACAAGTAGAAATGTGGAATTCAAGAAAACTAGGCTTGGTGAGGAAGAAAAAAATCGTTTTCTGAGGTCAACATGCTCAGTGAATGGCACTTCTCTTAAGTACCTTCCCTCTCACCTCCTGACCCACAGTATTCAGGAGCTCTTCTATTGGTAAATCCAAGGGACATGACTCAGCTTTTCTGATCCACTTGTCTCCTCACTGTAAAACAAACACAAATTGATTTGTATTGACATGCTTCATGTCACACAGGCAACAGAGTTCAAGAGGCCATCAAGGAACCTGATAAATTTGACTAAACTGCCTCACGGGATCAAAATACAGACATTCAGACTATTGCCCCTTTGTGTAGAAATCTGTGGACACCCTCGTTCCAGTGTAGATGCTTGGAGTAGTCATGGATGAAAACTGATTAGTGTCCTACGTCCTTTCAGTTGTTTTCATCCGAACATCACAAAAGCCAAAATGTCCACAGAAACCCCCTAACAACAGGCAGCAGAACATAAAGTGTTTTCAAAGTCCTTTCACAGAGTAATATGCTGAGAAACACTTCAAGCTGCCAGAAGAAGTCCTAGAGAGCAAAAATACATTATTGCTAGAGAACTTCTACCCAATGGGAAGAATGAAAACCTCCTTTTCACGGTATTTGACTGAATAATTCAATATAATCTGAACATAGTAGTTATCTATTTGTACTGTGCTGATTGTCTGATGATTAAGAGCTCTAGAAATACGTAGATCTTTGACGTTTGTCACAAAGAATTAATTAATGAAGAATGAAGTGAAAAAATAAATGATCGGTGCTGTTTATTTACCTGGACAGCTTAGTGGGTATTTTTTCCATTGAGCCATATGGGAATCACTTTTGTGTTCCCCTTCCTCCTACGCCTTTTCAGTTATTACAAGAGTTTGGAGAATTGCTGTCCATCACTTACTCTTGCTTCACTGATTGCAACGTTGGATTGGTCAGCCAAATGTACTGTATTTTCTCAGCTTCTTGTCAAAATGTCAAAACAGAAGAATATGAATTGTGAATACCAAGTGCTGGGTACATTTCCTCATTCGTGTGTGAATGTGGTTGTTTGGATAAAGAAGAAATATATTTACTCTTCTCTTAGGTTTGCTTTCAAGGCTTCCAACCTTATCTTTGGCCTCTTGTGTTTTGCACTTCCTTCTTCCATTCCAATAATGCTGGCCTTTGTGGAAAGACCTTCCAGGTCATTTTTTTTTCCCTTGGGCTCCTTGAACGCAATAGATTTGTGCATTACAATAACCGTGCCACAGATTTTGACTGCTGATAATGCCATTCAGGACTTGATGGCTGTAAAGGTAAGAATCGAATGCAGAATGATATTTTGGCACTTCGATCTTAGGATAGTTGTCAGACTACTAGCCACTCTGACAAGAGAATGATGAATGAGAATTCAACATTATTTTATCCTTTGGAAAGCTTTGGATGCATTTTTCAAATTTTAGAACAAACGTAAGTTTGTTAAATATGCTTAGAATCCACTGATTTTTCTGCTTGGTTTTCACAAAAAGTTACCAGCTGACCGTGATTCTCTTCATGTTTTCTTGCCATTAACAGTTTCATGGTGAACAGAGTATGAATTTGGCATGACCTTAAAATTCCAAAAACAAATATACTCATGCTGCAGCTACAAGGTTCTTCAGATATCTCACAGTGATTCACTTAAAGCCTCAGAACTGCCTCACTAGTTATCTGGAGCAAGTTGCCCACATAGTGTGGTAAAGTATGTGTCACTTACAGTGGTGAGAGATCCTCTCTGCTGATGGCTGAGGTGCTCAAGAAAATAAATCAGCAAGCAAGCCTTAATGCCTCTCTGAGGTCTGCTCTTGTTATAACACCTGGCAACTGGTAGCTCAGCACAGAATCACTGATTGCCCCCTCTCCTTTCCTCATATCTCCAGCATGTTGCCTCTCCAGTGGCTTCTTTGACCATCAAGACCCTGCAGCCACTTGCAGCCCCCTTCTTGTTGGCTCTAATACTGAAGGTAGAAACACTGAAGTTGAGGTAAAGCTAGCAATGCTGGTAGCACCCAAGTGTCTAGATGAGGTGTCTGTTGGTCATCTTCACTTTATATTTAGCAACAGCCACAGTTCTGGTGGGTTATGTTCAGAGACTCCCACTTGTTCTTGATCATGATGCTATTTTATCATTAATGTATTTATTTATCATATATATATATATATATTATCATATATATATATATTTATCATATATTTAAAGTATGCCAAATCTGTACCCCATTGATGGCTCCCCTGGGAACTTGTCTCAGTAGCTGGAACCAAGGTTTGAAGTTCTCTAACAACCTTCTTGGAGATAATCCCGTTTGAATTTCAGGATCCCACTACCTTCCTCAGACTTGCCAAGATTTGTCATCATAAAAGAAAAATACGAGACTCGTCAGCCAAAATCAAGAGGTGTCTTTGGATAAGAGCTCATTTTGTTTGTACAACGAGGTGATTGTACAACTCATAGTAGCATAAATATTTTCTTCCAAGCAGTGGAAAATGTTACTCTTGAGATACTATCTTCAAGCAGAAACCAGGATGTGACAAAATATTGAATAACAAATCAAACATATTTTTACTTCAGACTATCATGCCATGCTTATTTTACCATCCTCCCGTAGAAAAAAGAGATCTATAAAGCCACTCCCCTTCAGAAATAGAGAGTATATATCCTGATGGTTCTTTCCATCAACAGCTCTTGATGAGATGGGTACCACTATGATATTGATGTGCTTCCTTTTGCTTGGTGCAGCAGTTCTGGAGGCCAGATCAGGTAAACCACTTAGACTTGTTCTAAGGCACATAGAAAACGTGAGATATAAAGATTGTTGATTCTGTTGACAAAAATGATAGTCATGCTGGTATTAACTTGGGAAAAAGATTAAAGGTGAAATTGAGTGCATGTTAGCAATTCTAGTAGAACAAAACTGTCCCTAATTATATTAAATTGTAATAATTATTTAAATCTTCTAGCTCCCATGGGACAGTCCTTATCTCAGTGCCTTGAATTGTTGTTAGAGTTGCTTCTATGACTATATAATGTATGTGTGGTTCTCCCCGTTACCGAAATTTGACCTAGGAATTATGGAAGAATTTATTTATATTTTACTAAAATAGATACTTGTTGTAGAATATATATGTGACTACATAGGCTACATGTAAAATATTGCTTGAGTTATTTGAATCTTCGCCTTATGTACAATTTAATGAAATATAAAAGAGATTAGTTTTCATAGTCTATCACTGTGTGATGGATTACAACAATCAAAGACATGAAATGACTTTCATTCAAAAAATTTTTGGACCTTTTTTCCTTACACGACAGTTACTGTCTCCTAAGTGATGTAGGTACCTTTGAGGTAAATAATAATGTGTATAACCTACAATAATTGCAGGTATTGTTTCTAGTTATAGCTAGATAACTAGTTATATAAGTATCATTATAACAATTTATATTGCCCTTATCCAGTTTTCTTAATCTGTCCTTTCTGTCCTCTCCTTGCCATCTTTCTCTCAGTCTCTTTTTCTGTTCTCTCTGCTCTTGCCTTCATTCCCCAGCCCTGCCTCTGTCTCCTGGGTCACAGCAAGAGCTGCATTTGTAGCTTTGAAGACTTTTCCAGTTTTGACACCTCTGAAGTGCAAAGCAGGATGCATTGTATCTGATTAGATTCCCAGCAAATTATTTTGCTTGAATGAAAGTAAAATCATTTCAGATCACTTTTAATTTCCTAACGCCAAGTTTGTTTCTCCCCAGGTTTGCTTCTCCAGTTTGAAGAAATTGTATAAGTATGGTTTATAAATGTGCATCTCCAAGTAAATGCTTGAAACAATTGAGATCCATAAAAATCAAGGGCCAAATGTGTGGCTCCTCACTTTGAACTGACAGTTAACAGTGCATAAATAGGGAAATATTTAGTTTGGGCATTGTCTTGACAGCTCCTCTAGTCCATCAGCAGTGAATTAGATGAAGTGAAGAAATCCTGGAGCTGGTAACTTCTCAAGATTCTTTTGCTTTGGATGACTTTGTGTCAAGTAACGAGCAACACATAGATTTGACAGATAGGAAAATCCTGGCAAATGCAGCTTGCTAGTTTGATTTCTGAAGTATAAATCCTGGAGATCTTATATTACAACATTTATTTGGGGACTTACTTACATTTTAATAAACTCATCAAAAATGGATCTAGGAATTGATATTTTCAGGCTGTTTATGCAGGATGTCTGAATTATGGAAAAGCTAAATCAAACTGAAAAGCAGATGGGTTTCACATGAATAGATCTATTTTAAGAGCAGCTATCTAGGTGTGTTCACGAAAAGTTATTCAGCATTTCTTCATGTAAGAAAGTAAAAGCCAGTGGATTCCTACCGAAATGCTTATAATTCCATTGTGTTCATTGTCCAGTTTTTGAACACTTAGTGGAATTCTTGTAAAATTAGTCCTAAAAAATACAGGATTTAGTTGTGATATGTGGACTCTAGATCTTTAAAATTCCCTTGCAATTTTACAGGAAGACATGTTCCGTATAAATTCCATAACCGAGGGAGAAGATGTAAGAATGACTGTTTTTTTCTCTAAAATCCCACTCTTTTTTCAGAAGAATTAATTTGGTCTTATTCTGATGTCATTTTAAGCGAACTAGCACACTGCTTGGTGTCCTTAATGTCGCACATCAGTAGTATGGAATGGCTTCTGAATTCCAAATTGTTTGCCTGGTAATTTTTCTATGCCACCACTGTGGTTACCCAATGAGAATAGGTTTAGGAAGAAGTGGTAGTGGATGTCATTGCATTTTGCTGTGTCCCTGAAACCTCAGCAATTTCCTTGAGCCACTTTGAGCTTTGCCTCTGCCACCAGTTCAACATTCTTTCCACAGCACATAGAAATGCTACTCATACACGCTTCTGGTAAGACACAGGTTGGGGGAAGAGAAGTCTTGTCGTACTTTCTAAACTTATCTAGGATTCAATGCAAATTGCTCCATCTCCCTCTTCTTACCAGAAAACATTTGGAAGGCAATAAAGAACTACATAAACACATGTTTCTAAAGCATGACATTTTCTTCCTATCAACAAAGCAAAAAATTTTAGTGCTATTTTTCTTACTTGAATTTTCCTAGGATTTCATTTTGATATTGAAATTCATTTTCTTTCTTCTACTCACTTATTTGTGCTTTTCCTATGATCAAATAATTTCATTTGTTACGAAAATAGTTTGTTCTTATCCCACTTAGTCTTCTATAGAAATTTTGCATGAAATACATTTAGCTGACTTTCAGGTAAGGCAGGGAGGAAGAAAATATTGTCTGTCCCTCCACCATTTCTCTGTCCACACCAATGGCTAATACTAGACCAGACAGGCACCCACGGGGAATGGTGGTATCCCGGGGCAGGAAGATGACATAAGCAGCTTCTACAGGTCCTTCCCAGGTAACTCATCCAACTGTGTTTGTGCTCAACTCCCTCTCTCCCATAGGAACCGGTCTCCACCTGGTCAATGGACAGCACAGATGTGAGGGCCGCGTAGAGCTGTATCATGAAGGCCAGCTGGGGACGGTTTGTGATGATCTCTGGGACCTCTCTGATGCCCAGGTTGTGTGCAGGCAGCTGGGATGTGGCCAGGCCATTGCAGCTCCGGGCAGTGCTTACTTTGGCCAAGGCTCAGGCAGCATCCTGCTGGACGACGTGCGGTGCCAGGGAAATGAGCTGGCTTTGCAGCACTGCAGTCACATTGGATGGGGGAGACACAACTGCCGCCACCATGAGGATGCTGGTGTTGTCTGTGCAGGTACTGCAACATTTTACTATTCCAAAGTGTTTTCTGTAAATTTATGCGTTCAATTGATTTGAGTGTAGTGTTATTCAGTCATCCTTCCTCGAAGACAGCAATATGACTTACCATGATATCTCTACTGCTGTATGGATGCAGTCTTTAGAGCTGTACCAAGTGACATGTTTTTCTTACCTGGCACCTGTAGGTCCACCGAATACGACGGACTGGCCCCATTCAATGGGTGAGTCATGCCTCCCTGGCCCTGCAGCACACTCTGCCCCAAGCAGCAAACAGCTGCTCCCACAAAGGAGCTGAGCTACTGCAGGATTGATGGTGATGGGGACAAGCCCTGCAGCTGCCCACAGTCCCACAGTCCCACAGCTCCAGGGCAGGAAGCTGTAGGAGAGAGCTCCAGCCTCAGCTGGCTCAAAATGTCTGGGCCTTAGGGCAGGTGCTACAGCTGTGCCCTTCCCTGCCATCGCCATCTCTAAATACCACTTTCAATTTAATGATGATTTCAAACAGGCTGTTACCGCCCCCATTCTCTCCATTATCTTCTGTCAAGGTGGAATGTAACAAAGGGTAATTAGACCCGATCCCATTCCTGAGGGGTCTGTAGCCTACATGAGACATGCTCATCATACAGACAATGCTGATGTGAGTGATTTTATTCTCTCTGTTTGCAGGACTGAGTGCCACCATACCAGTCACCTCCGCAGTGGAGACAAGCGCCCTCGTTCCAGAGACGACCTCCCCACTGGAGAACAGCACAGCAGGTAACTGCCCAGCATCACTCACCAAGCACCTTCATGCCCTCAATCCAATTTCCTAAACTCAATTGCATTGGAGGATATCTCCCAGCCATGGGAAGAAAGAAAATATGGTCTCTTCCTCCACCACCATCTCTGTCCACACCAATGGCTAATACTAGGCCAGACAGGCACCCAAGGGGAATGGTGGTACCCCGGGGCAGGAAGATGGGATAAGCAGCTTCTACAGGTCCTTCCCAGGTAACTCATCCAACTGTGTTTGTGCTCAACTCCCTCTCTCCCATAGGAACCGGTCTCCACCTGGTCAATGGACGGCACAGATGTGAGGGCCGCGTAGAGCTGTATTATGAAGGCCAGCTGGGGACAGTTTGTGATGATCTCTGGGACCTCGCTGATGCCCGGGTTGTGTGCAGGCAGCTGGGATGTGGCCAGGCCATTGCAGCTCCGGGCAGTGCTTACTTTGGCCAAGGCTCAGGCAGCATCCTGCTGGACGACGTGCGGTGCCAGGGAAATGAGCTGGCTTTGCAGCACTGCAGTCACATTGGATGGGGGAGTCACAACTGCAACCACTATGAGGATGCTGGTGTTGTCTGTTCAGGTACTGGGACATTTCTACTTCTCCAAAATCTTTTTCTATAAATGCATACAACAGATGCATTTGGATGTTGGGTTACTCAGACATACTTCTGAGATATAAAAAAAAAAAACCCATGATGTGATATCTCTATTTCTGTGTGCATGTTTTGTTTAGTGCATTTGTATGTGACATTTATTTCCTACATGGCATCTATAGTTGTCAGGAGTATTTAGAGGAGAGCTCCAGTTTCCCCCGACCTTTGGTGTCTCACGCAGCAGTGTGCCACGGCAGTGCCCTTCCCTGCCATCACCATTTGTAAATACCACTTTCAATTTAGCAATAATTTTAAAGCATGTCGCTCACCTGCCTCCATTCTTTCTGTTGACTTCTGTCAAGATAGAGCATGCTGGTGGAGTAATTTGTCCGTCTTTCATTCGTGTGGAGCCGGGTTTCTAGCTTACACACAGTCATACTCATTACTCAGATACACTTCTTCATATGGCAACTGTCCTTTATTTATATTCACAGAATGGAGCTCCACTGAACCCCCAACACTGCCCACAGTGTGGCTGTCAGAGACAAGCTCCACATTAGAATCGACCGCTGTAACCCACACCACAGCACCAATGACGTCCATTCTGGATTTGACAACTTCATGGCCAACATCCACTACACTGGCTGAAGAGACTTCCACAGTAGCAATGCCCAGCACAGGACTGTTAGCAACCAGCATGTCACAGTGGAGCACCACACTAGATATGACAACCACACCACAGACTAGCACTGCTCTGGAGACAAGTACTGAAGTGCCAACGACCGACAGAACACCAAGCACGACATGGGCAACAACTACAGTGCTGGGGACGAGCTTGCCCATGGATATCAGCACAGCAGGTAACTCTGCCCAGTGTCACTCACCAAGCTACCTCATTCCCTCAGTATTTCTTCCCACACCTGATTGCACTGGAGGATATTTCCTAGCCAGGGGAAGAAAAATTGTGGTCTCTTCCTCCATCATCTCTGTCCACACCAATGGCTAATACTAAACCAGACAGGCACCCACGGGGAATGGTGGTACCCCAGGGCAGGAAGATGACATAAGCAGCTTCTACAGGTCCTTCCCAGGTAACTCATCCAACTGTGTTTGTGCTCAACTCCCTCTCTCCCATAGGAACCGGTCTCCACCTGGTCAATGGACGGCACAGATGTGAGGGCCGCGTAGAGCTGTATTATGAAGGCCAGCTGGGGACGGTCTGTGATGATCTCTGGGACCTCGCTGATGCCCAGGTTGTGTGCAGGCAGCTGGGATGTGGCCAGGCCATTGCAGCTCCGGGCAGTGCTTACTTTGGCCAAGGCTCAGGCAGCATCCTGCTGGACGACGTGCGGTGCCAGGGAAATGAGCTGGCTTTGCAGCACTGCAGTCACATTGGATGGGGGAGTCACAACTGCAACCACCATGAGGATGCTGGTGTTGTCTGTGCAGGTACTGCAACATTTTACTATTCCAAAGTGTTTTCTGTAAATTTATGCGTTCAATTGATTTGAGTGTAGTGTTATTCAGTCATCCTTCCTCGAAGACAGCAATATGACTTACCATGATATCTCTACTGCTGTATGGATGCAGTCTTTAGAGCTGTACCAAGTGACATGTTTTTCTTACCTGGCACCTGTAGGTCCACCGAATACGACGGACTGGCCCCATTCAATGGGTGAGTCATGCCTCCCTGGCCCTGCAGCACACTTTGCCCCAAGCAGCAAACAGCTGCTCCCACAAAGGAGCTGAGCTACAGCATGGGGTGGTGGTGATGGGGACAAGACCTGCAGCTGCCCCACAGTCCCACAGTCCCACAGCTCCAGGGCAGGAAGCTGTAGGAGAGAGCTCCAGCCTCAGTTGGCTCAAAATGTCTGGGCCTTAGGGCAGGTGCTACAGCTGTGCCCTTCCCTGCCATCACCATCTCTAAATACCACTTTCAATTTAATGATGATTTCAAACAGGCTGTTACCGCCCCCATTCTCTCCATTATCTTCTGTCAAGGTGGAATGTAACAAAGGGTAATTAGACCCGATCTCATTCCTGAGGGGTCTGTAGCCTACATGAGACATGCCCATCATACAGACAATGCTGATGTGAGTGATTTTATTCTCTCTGTTTGCAGGACTGAGTGCCACCATACCAGTCACCTCCGCAGTGGAGACAAGCGCCCCAATTCCAGAGACGACCTCCCCACTGGAGAACAGCACAGCAGGTAACTGCCCAGCATCACTCACCAAGCACCTTCATGCCCTCAATCCAATTTCCTAAACTCAATTGCATTGGAGGATATCTCCCAGCCATGGGAAGAAAGAAAATATGGTCTCTTCCTCCACCACCATCTCTGTCCACACCAATGGCTAATACTAGACCAGACAGGCACCCAAGGGGAATGGTGGTACCCCAGGGCAGGAAGATGGGATAAGCAGCTTCTACAGGTCCTTCCCAGGTAACTCATCCAACTGTGTTTGTGCTCAACTCCCTCTCTCCCATAGGAACCGGTCTCCACCTGGTCAATGGACGGCACAGATGTGAGGGCCGCGTAGAGCTGTATTATGAAGGCCAGCTGGGGACGGTCTGTGATGATCTCTGGGACCTCGCTGATGCCCAGGTTGTGTGCAGGCAGCTGGGATGTGGCCAGGCCATTGCAGCTCCGGGCAGTGCTTACTTTGGCCAAGGCTCAGGCAGCATCCTGCTGGACAACGTGTGGTGCCAGGGAAATGAGCTGGCTTTGCAGCACTGCAGTCACATTGGATGGGGGAGTCACAACTGCCGCCACCATGAGGATGCTGGTGTTGTCTGTTCAGGTACTGCAACATTTTACTACTCAAAAGTGTTTTCTGTAAATTGCACCCATTTTATGCATTTATAAATTAACTTCTGTCAAGCTGGAATATTATGGAATAATAATTTGTCCTGATTTCATTCCTGACGGACTCTGTCTGTACCCTCTATTGGGCATTCTCATCATTCCACTTATCCTCTTGTGGCTGGTATTATCTTCTGTATTTGTAGCAGTGACCGCCACCACAGAGACAAGTTCCCCTGTTCCAGAAATATTGCTGAGAGAAACAAGCTTTCCGGTGGAATACAGCACTGCAGGTAAGTGTGCCCACTGTCACCCACTGTGCCTCTTTGTGTCCCCGATGTCTCTTCCCACACCAGTTAGCAATGGAGGTGATCTTCCTGCCCTGGACCTCTCATGTCATAGAATCACAGAATGGCCTGGTTTGAAAAGGTCCACAGTGATCATCTAGTTCCAACCCCTCTGCTATATGTAGGGTCACCTACCACCAGACCAGGCTACCCAGAGCCACATCCAGTCTAGTCTTGAATGCATTCCAGTTAAGCATTCTTGGCAGTCGAATCTGCAAGGAGGATGCAAGCAGAGCATGAGGAGAGCTAGTAGTTTGGAAGCCTGTGTCTTGGGGCCAGGATCTATTGGGCAATGAAACTGCTGGCAGCTGGGGACACTGCAGAAGAGGGTCATGGAGTGTGTGCCCCTTCCGTGGATAAATATTTCCATAAGTATTTTGTGGAAATGTTCTGCATGATGAGCGTGCTGTGGAATGGGAGCTCCTTGGAGATGGGTTCTGCTGGGGAATTCTGACATACCCTGACTGTGTTCGATGTTCCACACCCCAGGTGCCCGTGTGCGGCTGGCCAGCGGCCGACATGCCTGCGAGGGCCGCGTGGAGGTGCAGGACGGGCAGCGCTGGGGCACAGTGTGTGATGATTTTTGGAGCCTGAGGGACGCGCAGGTGGTGTGCCGTCAGCTGGGCTGTGGGCCTGCCATCGCCGCCCCGGGCAGCGCTCACTTTGGTGCTGGCACAGGCCGCATCCTGCTGGACAACGTGCAGTGTCGTGGGGACGAGACCTCCCTGCTGCGCTGCCGGCATGGTGGCTGGGCTGTGCACAACTGTGCACACATGGAGGATGCCGGTGTCATCTGTGCAGGTAGGTGGGTGATGGGGATCCAGCTCCATGAGCGCCTCGTTGTGCTCCATCCCTTCCATCCATCATCCCATCCTGGTGCTCCTTCATCTGAGCATCACAGCTCACCCGTGGCTCCTATTCTTCCCCCACAGCTGCTGTGAGCACCCCAGCACCAGATGCAGGTAAGACTCTCCCGTGGCTCTCATCTTTTGCATTTTGTTGAGCTCTTTGGTTGGACCAAACCGTGGACTGGTATTGCCAAAGTGTTCACGTTGTTTTGTTCAGAGCTAACAAACCAAAGTGCACTGATATCAAGGCATGCCAAGACCGCAAGCACACTGCTACTCCACTGACATTAGTTGTGTGTGTAGTACCCTTTATTTAGTGTGATGATTTTTATACAGTGCTCACATGGTATTTTTCAAATTGATACGGTTTTACTCGAAATGTTCACCATTTGCATTCACAGCTGCAGGCAGTTTATCAGTCAAGTGTTGCACATTGGGTCCTCTTTGGCTGTACAGCTGCCATTACCTTCGTCCTGCTCTTTCTGCAGTGAGAAGCAGAATTAAGAACTTGAGCATTCACAGAAAACAAAATGGAGAATTGCCTTTTGCATGTTGCATGCTGTAAGAATTAAGTTCAGAGCTTATGCCCACCTTCCTATAAGGAAGCTGTAAGGAGTATCTGTGTGTTTTATGTAAGAACACATTCATGCTGGCATTTTGTAGCCACCCTCATGGGCAAAGCAAGAGATAATTCATTTAAAGCCTTGCCCAGCTGCTTGGAGTGCTTATTTCTGTGTGAGGGGATGCTGTCTGTTCAGGAAGGTGTTTCCATGTTGATTCTCATGGGCCCTCCCAGAACCAGACCTTGACTTCAGGAAGAAGAGATCAGAGCAGCCTGAAGATGGTGATCTGACACTACAGATGTGACAACAAACCAGCAATGTGAAAGTAAACCTGCAGCAAAACCAAATATTTGTTTAGATTTGGAACATACTGAATATGACCTGAAGCCAGCAGGAGAGCTGCTTTTCAGCATCTGTAGATTAGTTACGTAAAGCAAAAGTTCCGTTTTGTAAAGGTTACTGCGAGTAAATTCTCTTCCACTTCCTTTTGCAGCACCTTACTTTTGTGGTGGCTTAATTTCAAATTCCTCTGGGATGCTGCAGAGCCCAAACCACCCTGGAAATTATCCAAACAACGCTGACTGTGTGTGGGAAATACAAGTACAGAATAATTTCCGTGTTATGCTCACATTTAGAGATATTGAGTAAGTAAATCATTGATTCCCCAGGCAGATAACAAAGCCAAAACTTACTTGAAGAGTTTGAAAGTATATTTGAGACATTTTCCCAACTTGAAGAGTGTCTTCCAGCATTTGGAAGACTTGAACAGATTGGATCAGTGAGGTGTTTTCTGCTTGCAACTACATGCACAATGAATAAAACCTCTGCCCCAAAAACTTCAAGTGCTGAAGGCTTTCATCAGGTCAGCCCGAGCTTCTGGAACACTCTGACAGGTGCTGATGCTTGTTTCTCAGGATGCAGAGCAGCAGGTGCCAGTATGACTACATTGAAGTCTATGATGGGCCCCCACACTCTTCTCCACTTCTTGGGAGAATTTGTGCAGGTTCCTTTCGCACGTACACGTCATCTTCAAACCTGATGAGCGTTCGCTTTCACAGCGATTCAAGATACACATCTAGAGGGTTTCAAGCCCACTACTCCTCCATTCCAGCAGATCACAACATCGGTAAGTTCCTGTTCAGAATAGACACCGCTGCTCAACAGACAGGCCTCTAATAGATTCTTAAAATAAAACATGTCGTTTCGTAAAATAAACATGTGCATGTATTTAAAGATGTAAGGGAAAGGAAGTGATGTGTGCAAAATATTCTGGGTTCTACTGTGAGCTGCTTTAAGTAAAAATCAGCATTTGATTCAGTTGCGCCCTTTGATCATTAACCAGTTGCCTAATTCACAAATGTATCATACCTTCTTCTTCCACCAGCCCTTACGTGCTTGCCAGACTACATGCACACAGTGGTTAGCAGGGACTATCTCCAGTCCCAGGGCTACAATGCAGAGGGGGTCACCCTGAATGACACTGGCTGTGAACCGATGCTCACATCACGTGAGGTTGTGTTCAACATTCCCTACGACAGCTGTGGGACGACGAGAGAGGTAAGCTTACAGCCCTGCACTGAACTGCAGGGAACACTGAAATGAGTCCTGAAAGGACTGCTGTGGTCCTCGGTGCTAAGAAGTGCAATGAAACCTGTAGGTTTAATTGCTTCAGTATTCCTTGCCTCATGGAATCTTCATGCTTAATAGAAATGACTTTTCAGGGAGGAAAATCATCGTTGTAAGTGCCGTGCAGATTTGGGGTGATTGTGCATTTCATGGTCAGTGTACAGAAGTGCAACAAGTTGGCTCTGCTGTGAATTCAGAAGTTTTTCTCCACTAATTTCTGCTTAATTAAATACCAGCAAGTTTATTTACATCTCATCTTTACATCTACATCTCAGAAATAACCAACACCAAGCTTAGTTCAAAGAGCTTAAGATGAAACTACCCTTTTTAATTGCATATTACTTTATCAAAGCTTAGAATACAGGATGTGTAAGAAATTCAATTCCTCTTTTTAAATTACATTACAGGAAAGCAATGATACAATCAACTATTCCAACGTGATCAAAGTTATCTCTTCTGGGCACATAATAAAGAGGAAAAAGGATCTTCTGTTACACATCAGTTGCAAAATGCTACAAAACACATGGATGCAAGTGATGTATGTTGCTGACGATACTGTGGATGTGAATGAAAATCAGTTTGGAAGATATGCTGTAAACATTACGTTTTATGATTCCTCATCATTCTTGCGGCCAGTGCGTGACTCTCCGTACTACATTGACCTGAACCAAAATTTGTACCTTCAAGCTTACCTTCACAGCTCTGACCCAAATCTGATGATGTTTGTGGACACATGTGTGGCATCACCCGATTCTCATGATTTTAACACTCTGGCCTACGATATAATCAAGGATGGGTAAGAGCTTTCGCAAGTCTTTAGATGTGTGGTGGTAATGTCCTTCCTGCATTTATTTTAAAAGAATAGAGACAGTAAGAACTGGTTTGGGTCTTCTTATCAATGCACTGTCAAAAGAGTTCTCTGATTTTTTTTAATTCTTTTTACAACCTAGGCCTAAGAAATGAAACTTAAACCTTACTGATATTTTGTTTGGCTGGCTTTGTCCTTGTCCTTATATGCAAAACTCAGTGAGCAGTGGGATGGATGGAGGAGATGGTGAAAACTGGGAGCAGAAATCTATCATCATAGGCATTCATATTTTAGTAAATCCAGCAGAACCATGTCAAGTGTCAGGCCCATTCGTTGTGCCTCACATAGAACTGACAATGAGCAAGGAGCCCATTCTCCCCTCTTCACCACTTGGCATACTTCCCTCTCTAGCTTCTTCACAGGACTTAGGTATACTTAGACACAGTCTAAAAGTTGCATTATTTTTGTTCTCAGCACCTGGCTGCGTTCTAATTTGCCGTATTTTTGAAGTAATCCACGTGTAAATCCATAAAGACTAATTCTCTTTATTTCTTTCTAGATGCATCAGAGATTCTTCCTATGCCTCGTACTACTCCCCCTACAGCCACTTTGCTCGCTTCAAGTTCAATGCCTTTGAGTTCATCCACCGCCACGCGTCGGTCTACCTGCGGTGCGAGCTGGCGGTGTGCCGGCTGGGCGACTACTCCTCCCGCTGCTACCAGGGCTGCCTGAGCCGCTCCAAGAGAGAGGCAAGTCCTGCCCACGAGAAAGTAGACGTCATTGTCGGACCGCTAAAGCTTCGAGAAGGAGATGCTCAGAGCAGGAATACTGGTAAAGTCAAGTAAATTTATCTCGTTCTTATTTTAAGCCTTACTTAGTTGCTCAAGTGAAAAAGCCATAGCTCTATTTGTTTCTGACATCTGTCCTTGAAATCTGCTTGTGTTAACTTCACCGTAAACAGGAAGGGATTGTTTGGCTCAATTGTCACTGAATCGTAGAATCATAGAATCACAGAATTGTAGAATCATAGAATGGGTTAGGTTGGAAAGGACACTGAAGATCATAAAGTTTCAATCTCTCTGCTGCAGGTAGAGTTGACAGATATTAAGTCAAGAACATAGAACCCTGTCTTCAACATCCTTCTTCCTTCAACATCTTGCAAACTATTTTCATCTGCATGCATGAAAAATGATAGCTGCTTTGGCTGTCCCAAAACAGTAACCCAATTTAGTGCCATAATTCCATTGGACTAATTAGCTCCAATCTGATGGTTGTAAACTGACTGCCAGCTCTGCTTCCTGAGAATCACGTTCCCAGATCTATTAGAAATGTTTTCCTTCAGTTGTCTCCTGCTCATGAAGCTTGCTTAGTTGTCGTCCTTGCTACCAAAACTCCTGTTCAAAGGGCAATGAAATTAGAACTTCTGGCTGTGATCTAGGAAGCATCCCTTTTAGCACAGCAGCTCTTTGTGCCCTGCTCCTTGACACCACAACACCAAACACTCCTCTCTTCCCTCACAGGACTGGATGTTTCCGTGCCTCCTCCCAACACGGTTCCCACTGCGGGTAACGTGCTCGGGCCTCTCACTGCTGCTGTTGCTGTCCTGGCCATCGTTGTCTTCGTTCTTGCCGGCTTTCTTCTGAGGCCTGCAATGAAGAAACCACTTTTACAGAGGATAATGTGAAACAAAGGCCAATTACGAGACAATCTCATACTGTGAGCCACCAAAATGCTTCACTGACAGCAATCACATACGTGCCATTTATAAGAAGCCAAGATGGAGTGAATCCTAGCCTGTTGCAAGCTCCAAAATAACTTTGTAATCTTAACTCCTCTTAAATGATTTAAGAATAATTTCAATAATCATTGCTCAATTTGCTTGGTGCAGTCATTTTATCGTTTTTCTCCTATTTTTATCTCCTCGCATTCTCCCGAGAATGTTCATCAGATACCTTAAAATAATGTCAGCTGGAGAAAAAATATGAATGAGGCAATAACAAATATTTTAAGGTTTATTGAAAGTGAGGAAGACTTAGTTCTGGGAGAAGAAATATGCCATTTGGTGTTGTAGCTGTTCTAATGGTTGGAAGCATTGTTTTTAACGCTGAAAATTTCACTGAAACAATAATCGATCTGTGCTTATTTATAAAATGCAGAGATTTTTAAGCTGAAATCTATTGCACAAGGAGTGTCACCCAAAATCAAAGGAAGGAATGTTTACAAAGGAATAATTCACTCTTTTGGTTTCAAATTAATATCTATGTGATTAAAATACAAATGAATAATTTGTTGTGTTGAGGACTGTGGTCTGTTGGACAAAAAACTTGCCAAGAACATGGAAGTTTACAGATAATTTCTGCCCTTAGGAAGCCAGAGAATAGGCTGGTGATGTCTGATGTGGAAATACCCTCTTTTGGTTTTCCAGTACTTTCTCCTTCCTGAGTATCACACACAAACACTACATCATCCACGTCATTCTGGGACCTTGAGGGGAATTATCAGCCCTCATCCCAATGTTCCCTCCAAAGCAGATGGCTGATCTAGTCTTTGAGTATTACCCTCATCGTCACCACCCCAAAGTCTTCCTGACAGATTTTGCCCAAATCTTCCAAAACTCCATTTGGCCTAGGCAATCTCTCCTCTTGCTAAACAAGGCTCACACTTCAAACTGACATCATTGTGGAAAAGCTTTTCAAAATGCTTCCTCTCAATTTTCACTCTTGCTTTTCAAGCCTGTTTAGTTCTTGACCTCTCTTTCTTGGCCATGAGAATAAATTCTCTCACCTTTCTCTTTAGGTGCATTATGTTGATGCTTTTCCATTCCATTTTCTGTTCTCTGCATCAAAGAAATCCAAATTAAAAAACACTGAGCTGTTAAAGGTGTTTGCAACCTTTGAGCTGCACAATCTGATCTAAAATCTTGTCAACTCGATTGGAAGCCTTCCCTCTGACTCAGTGGCTTTTGGATACAGCCTAAACCAAGCAAAACTGTAAATCTCATTCAAGAGATCGAACTTTAATCAGAGGTCTTTTAAGGTCTCACCAAAATGTCATTTCAACATCAAAAGAAATCTCACACCTGCTTTCCAGAAGAAATAACCTTGTTCATTTTTTAAACACTTTTGGATGCCAATCAAACTACAAAAATATTTAACTTCTTTTTTTCCCCACAACTGTTTACTTTGTTTTTTGAGGAGTGTGACTTCTCTGGACTTACCCAGCCCTTCTGAGTGTGTAGCACACATTCGTAAATCAGACTGAAACACGCTGAAACAGCCAAATCCTACATAAGCATTTACCACTGGTGCATGAAAACATGAAAAACAAGGTTTGGGACTTTTGCCTTTTATGTCTTAGTTGAAAATACAAGGAATTAAAACCAAAATGCAAACTAAAACTGTTCATTTGACCTCTTTGGGGGTGTTGGTTGTCTGCTTTGTGTGGGTCAGTGCTTCCACAATTCGGCGCTGCCTTTGTTCAGATGAGCTCCCAGGAGATGGCAGTTTGCTCCTCCTTCAGAGAAGACCAACAAACCATCATCTGGCAGGCTTTTGCTCTGAATAACTGTCTGACTTTGGTATTTTTATTTTTTCCTTGTGCCTGTCACTCAATGGCATGTACTCAATCATGTAGTCTGTTCTCATTCACTCAACCAACAACCTCAGCACCATCTAAACATTTTTGCAGCACTGTGCTGAAATATGAGTGTCAACATCTGCAGTGTGATCTGAGCTGGGAGAAGGTAACGAATTACACCACGTAGGTACATCTCATGTCAGTGGAAGTGCATGTAGACCTGATAAGCACATAACAACTCCCAAAGTGGTATTTCGTGGTATTTCATGGAGAGAGGATGGAGTCATAGCAATCTGGGTTCCTGCCAGTGTAATTTTCCCAGTGCAATCATGGAGCCTATGTGACCAGTCGTGGGGTTAAAGCAAAGCCCAGGAACAAAACTCGTTTGCTTGTTTGTATGCTAAATTTCCCGTACTTTGCTCTCCTGTTTATCTTTCTATTCTAATTTTGGAGTATGGAGAAGATAATACGACTCTGCAGGCCTTCTTCCCAGGAACGTATTATGAAAATATTTATAAAAGGGTATAAATAAATGTTGTTTTGTTTCTGGATCCCACAGCTAACAAACAGATCCAGTTGTTAGTAACAAATCCCCAAGTTCTGTAGATTGAGACTTAGGAGAGCTAGTTTGCTTTTGCAGGATATGGGTGAGAACCACAGTTTTCTTGTTTTTATTACTCTCTCCCCATGCCTCTCCACACAAGCCCACAGATACCATTGACACCAGTCTGAAATAAGCAATTAACCTTTATTTCGTGGTTCCAATCAGGTATTCTTTTAATACCCCAGATGGAACACTTACACTAAATTCCAATTAAATAACTAAATGAATATACTGCAGCAGTCATTTCCACTTGACTGTTGGAAATAACTCTAGCAGACTCCAACAGAGCTTTTTTAAGCAGGGTTATACTAGAATTTGCCCTGAGCTGGAGATCAGGCAGACAGCCACTGCTGCTGGGCTTCTCAGTTGCACACCACACTTCAGAAACTCAGAGAAAACAGCAAATGTGTTTCTTTAGACTCCCACTGCTGCCCTTTCTGTGGTGAGTTCAGAATAAGAATTGCAGCCTTTTGCTGGTGAGCATCTCCGAATCCAAACAGGAATTTTTTGCACAATTTCTGTCAAATATCTTCTGCTACAGGGATAGCCAGTTTTCCTGATTTATTCATTATTTATTTCAATAAAAACTTGCTTTTACTTTGATTTATTTGGGCAGTTTATATCCAGCTGAAAAGAAACCCAGGCGGTACTGAAATTCTCACAGCAGTTTGTGTATTTTGGGAGACTTTCTATTTCAGGCTCAAGAACTATGACATGAAAAACATATTTTTACAAAATCATGCTAAACTGAGGAAGCCCAGCGAGGGCACTGGGAGTGACATCTGTTTTTCATTTTTTGGAATAACACTTGGATCACTTCTTTTGCCCTGAACCACTTTGTACCCATCCAAACAGCTTTTTCCTTGTTCTTTTTCAAAGGAGTGAATTAGTCACAAGCTGTAAAGTAGGAATGAATTGCATTACTACTGTTCTGAAGAAGACAAGTTGGAACGGCTGTTGCCTTCTCTCTCTTGTTTATTCTTTCATTTTTCAGAAATTGTATCTTTGGAGAGAGGGCTTCTCCATTCCTTCTCTTTCTTTATGAGGGCTGGGTTGTAGAATCATAGAATACCCCAAGTAGAAAGGGATCCATGGTGAGCATTCAGCCCAACCCCTGGCTCCACACAGGACCACCCAAACCCTATATCTGACAGTGGTGTCTCAGTACTCCCTGGGCTCTGGCAGCTCGGGGCCATGCCCTGGGCAGCTGTTCCATGCCCACCACCCTCTGGGGCAAAGCCTTTCCCCAACCCCCATCTTACACAGCAAAATTTAAACTCAGTTACTTGGTTGCGATGGCTAAGAGAGCCACAAGTTGTCACTTCTCCCATAAGAACCTTTCTGTTTACAAACCACAAATTCAGGGGGACAACTTTCCTAGTTAGCTCCCTCAGTACCTGTACCAAGAACTTATCATCAAGGAATTTTAGGAATCTCCTGGAAGCTCCATTACCACAGCTGTGTGGTAATTCCTGTTAACATCTGGCAAGTTGAGGTCACCAGCAAGGACAAGGTTGGCTGATCCAGAGGTATCCCTTTGCTCCTCAAAGAACAGTTCTTTGGTGCTGCCACCTTGGCACGGTGGCTGCAGAGGACTCCCCCAGTGGCATCCTCTGGCTGTGTTGTCCTCAGATGTACTCATGCAAACTGGCCAAGTGTAAGGCAGTTTTACGTAGACGTGTGAGTAACTAATCAGAGCAGATAAAATATATTTTTTAAACAGCTGCAGTCAGGTGAGTGCTGCCTGGTAGCCTCAGAGGCTGCACATGTATCAGGTTGGGGTCTCTGTATCAGTCCCTATATTTTTAGAAGATGTTCCATATGATTTTTCCTTTTTTGCCTTTATCCTGTTCTCCATTCTTGAAAGCACTGCAGATAACTTTCTAATACGTGTCGAGATCTTGTTATTCCATATCTCCCTTGTCACTTCTGCTTGTTGCTTGCCACAGGCTCAGACATCTGACTGTGAACCCCAGATGCAGGAGGACAGCCAAACCTGCTGCTCCCCTTTCTCTTCGAGCTCCTGGGCAGCCTAGAAAGCGCGTTTTTGGAAGCTGCCCCAGTGTGTGTCAGGTAAACACTCACTGTGAGCCATGCCAGTGTGGAACAAGCCGCCTTTGTTTCGTAAGAGTTTGTTGGATGTCTGTAAGGAACGTGATGTGGAGGAAGACAAGTGCTCTTCTCTTTGCCAGGCCTGAAGTGTTTAATCCATGACACATGACACATGAAGTGCTTCCCAAAGGCTGGGTAGGAAGGAGGCTAGAGCAAAATGAAAATTAATAGCCAAAATGCCATTAACTACTAAAATACAGTCTGAAGGGATGACTGACTACGTTTTAAAAGAAATCCTATTTTTTCCAGCAAATAATGCAGTTCACTGCTGTAGTAATGCAGGCTGTAGGAGCATGGAGGCACAGTCTCCATTGGTGCTCTGAGCAGAGCCACAGAGCTGTGGACATCTGGTGTAGATGTAAGAGGATGGGAACACAGCAGCCACCTGTCTCCACTTTGGGACAAGGGAAAAATGGGGACATGAAGAAAATCTGCCAGCACTTTTTGCTTGGTTTCACTGATTTTCTCCCTGGTTGCACGAAGCTGGTTCCTCTTGAGCCATTGGGTCCGTGAAGGGGAGTGTTTAGCCAATATGTGCAGAGAAGGGATTGAAATGATAAGGTGATCAAAAAATCAAGCTACTATAAACAAAGTCCTGCCAAAAAAAATCAAGAGAATGTTTTTAAAAGTTAGAAGTATCCCTGTTGTATGAAAGCACTGATTTACTTTAATAAAATCAGGCTGGTCAAGCTGCAGAACACACCCCTTTAAATCTTCATGCTTATAAATTCTGAACCAGGTTTTATCAGCACGATGGGGATCCCAGACAAAATGGGTTGCACTCTGGCTGTTGTGTGCATGCTACTTCTGCTTGGAGGGCATCTCCAGGGGTCAGGTACTGTGCCTAATGCTGTTCTACCCTACCTCCCTTTAAAATCAATATTGCTCATTTTGTAGCTTGTAGCAAAGCCCATTCTAACTGGTAGATATCTTGAGAGTTAGTAGGACTGAAGGGCGGGTGATGCCATTCAAATATCTTGGGTGTGTATTTAATGCAATGTAAAAAGCATATATTGTGTTGTATTTTAATTACTGTTGGAAAAAAATGCATAGAACAAATAATTATTCTTTTGCATTCCACTGGAAGGGCTTAGACAAAGTACAGTGCATTGAAAGAGGACACGAGCAAGCAGGTAGGAGCTTTGGTAAGTGTATGGTGCACACAGGTGGCAGTTTTGACACAGCCTGGGTCAAAATTATTGCTTTGGACACACGAGGGTTGACAAATCTGTTCCTTACAGTAAGTTGAAAAGTGAAATACTGTAGGCAGTGGCTTTCTGCTATTACATTCTTAGTATTGGCTTCCGTATTTAATTCACTGGTGGCCAGGAGAAACACAATATGCTATGCTGGAGTCCCCACCAGATGATGATGTCTTTGTGTCAGCATAACTCTAATTGAATGTGACTGCCACAGGGACACTCGGATGCCTCATCTTTGGGTGATGCTTTAAAATCAGGTCTGTGATCTCAGGAACTCAAGACTGGTGAGCAGAAGAGAATGGAGCACACTTTCCTTGAGGACACGCTCCTTGGAAAGCTGCTGTAGAGCATTTCCTCTGGTTGCCTCATGGTCCCATAGAGATGGCAGCCACTCTAACAGTTGACTAATTTCTTTCTGTCTTCCAAAGAGCTGAGCCTGAGGCTGGTGGATGGGCAGAACAGATGCCAGGGCCGCGTTGAAATATTTTACAACGGAGCTTGGGGAACAGTTTGCGACGACTCCTGGGACATGGACGATGCCAACGTGGTCTGTGCTCAGCTCGGATGTGGCCAGGCCACTGGTGCCGTGGGGGCAGCCCAGTTTGGTGAGGGCACAGGAGACATCCTGCTGGATGAAGTGCAGTGCCGAGGGAATGAGGCTCTGCTCTGGCAGTGCTCCCATGATGGATGGCTCATCACCAACTGCCTTCATCAGGAAGATGCCGGCGTCATCTGTGCAGGTAACTGGAGATTTATTGGCATCAGTGATCAATAATAGTTACAAGTATAAGCCAGAATGAGGTCTGGGTGCTCAACAAATGGCAGCTGAACTACCAAACCATCACCAAGCTATACAGGACATCCCCAGACTATTCCTCCGCATTTCAGCAAATACTTACTAGCACTACAACCTACCCATTACCTTTCACGTTCAAAATCTTCACATAATTAGCTCAGTTAGACAGTTATGTTTCCTTCTTTCTGTAGAGTATAATGCCTTTCTGAGACTTGTCCGTCTGGCCATTTCCATTGCTTCCTACCTAAAGGATGAATTCAGCTGATTATTCCTAAGAGCATTGAAAAAATAAGCAACGATTTCCACATGCAGTGTGAAATCGGGTCTTTCATGAGACATATTGCTTGATGTGAAAATACATGGCACCATACATTTTAAAGCATAGATTGGCTTATATATACAAAATCCTAATGTGCAGAGAGTTGGTTTTGTGCTGTCTTTTATAGCCAAGTAAACAAAGAGGGATCTTTTTTGCTCACTTTGTTGAGTGCAAGATTGTTAAAAAAGTGATCTTTCTCACTCTGCTTTTTCTTTTATTTCAGGTTCTTTGATGTCTGAAATTCCTGGTAATTTTCATCTCATATATCTGCATCTTGTTTGCTGACTAAGTCATTTTACCTAGTGTAGTCATTCAGTATATACAGTTTGTGAAGAAGAGTATTTGCCAATACCTTTGTCACGGTATGATTTTGATGTATTCCTATTGAACATTTCTGAATATGCATCCCCACAAGTTTTTAACCATATCATGTATTAACCACAACCTCTTGTGTTAGGAATATGCTGTATCTCCAAGTTTTCAGTGTGTTTGTATCAGTTAAATTCCACAATTCTTCATTCCAAAAAAAAAAAAAGTCGATAAATATTTTTGGCCAATCATCTGCCATCTTTGGGTAGGACTTACTGTTGTCTCAAACGCGTAACAACCTACTTAACACCTAAATAACTCTCTCACTTTTGGCCTTCCAAAGACGTGTCCCTGAGGCTGGTGAATGGGAGGAACCGATGCGAGGGCCGTGTCGAAGTCCATTACCAGGGCAACTGGGGCACAGTCTGCGACGACTCCTGGGACCTGCAGGATGCCCAGGTGGTGTGCAGCCAGCTGGGCTGTGGCAGGGCTGTTTCTGCCCTAGGAAATGCCAATTTCAGCCAAGGCTCGGGAGAGATCCTCCTTGACGACGTGCAGTGCAGAGGGAACGAGGCCTACCTGTGGGAATGCCCCAGCAGAGGGTGGTCAGTCCACAACTGCGCGCACGTGGAAGATGCTGGTGTTGTTTGCTCAGGTGTGTTTTATGTATTTATGCAATGCTCCGTGCCGTGGCCAGTCACAGCATGAGGGACAGCCCTGTCCTGGCACCATGCTCCTCGCCAAGACTGCTTCCCAAAAAAACAGGCAGAACCTTCATGTTTGAAGCAATTTTTTTTCACCTGTAGCATTGGTTCTGTTTAATACTTGCTTTTTCTTACTATTCAGCAGTGTATGCTAGTGATTTCTACAGAAATTAACTACAAAAAATCTGTAAATAAATCGAAAAATTGTGCACTCCATAGACATGTCAGTCTAGGTTAGGTTTTCCAATGAAAATGGGATAACAGCCCAAGAGAGCTACCAGGTGGAGTACAACCATTTGCCAACTGCTTCTGTCCATCTGCCGGTATGTCCTGCTCCTTCTGGGACCTGGATGTTCCTTCACTGTTGGGTAATGTGTAAACAGAAGGTCAGCAAGTAGAGCCATCCCATGGAAAAGTGCCAGAGCAGGCGCAGAGGACAAGTCCAGCCTGGTGCTGGTGGCACCTGGCACAGCTTGTCCCTGCAGACTTGAACACAAAGGTGTCATTGTGTTGGAGGTAGAACAAACAGTGGTCCTCATTGTCACAGTGAGTAATAGCCTGCTTGGACACTCATCAGCTGAACTCTGTGGCAATCTGTGCCCATTCTGTGCTAGTTCATAGTAATACTGCAGCACAGACTGCACTAAAATGCATGCTAGAAACAGGCCTACAGAATATTAGTACTACTAATATTCCAGAACAGATGTAGCTTCTGTTGTAGGCCTGTGTAACAGTCCCCACACAAAGAGAACTGTTCTGTATAGGACTGATTCAGCACTATTCTCAGCATAATGTCCAACGTGACACTTCATCTGTAGAATCAGATGCTACCGCAGTGACTGAAAACTCCACCTAAAAATGAGCTATGTTTTTTTTCTCATTTGCAGCTTCCACAGGATCTGAAGTGACAGGTAAGTGTCTTAAATGCCTGTCATTCTCTTTAATGTCCACATGTTTTAGAACTGGATTTGTACAGCTAAAAACAATGATAGATTTTAATTGAAAAGCCAGGACTTTGCCTATTGAAAGGGACCTCCCTTTAAAATAACAGACCCCTTTAGCCATGTAACAAACAGGTGCTCAGCTTTCTTCTTCTGTTAGTGTTAAGCAGAGAATAAAGTCAAGAACTCACCTCATTTATATCCATCGAAATGTTAAGTCTGGACAAACGAGGCTTGGCTTTGTTATATACAGAGTTACATGAAAGTTCACACCTAAAGTTTGTTCAGATCATCAGTACTGTGGATCCTGTGTTGCAGAGCTTGAGTTATTCGGGAACGTCTCTATCTTCAGGCATGGCTTAAGGAGCATGGCCCTGTCCCAGGGACTCTGAAAAACAGGAGTTTCTAGGTAGGTTGGAAATGCACATGCACACCTAACTAGTGAAATGAGCATGGCATGGAAATCTGTCTATCTATAGTGTGTCACCTTAATTCCCCTTTAGCAAAAAATATCTTTGACGTTACATGTCAGCTAAGGTTATGGAGCGCAGCTTGCAGGCAGAGAGCCAGCTGTGTCAACCACAGCTTTGCAAGAAAGGATCTGGGCTTCCTGGTGGACGAGAAGTTGACTATGAGCCAGCACTGTGCCCTTTGAGTGCTGCCAGCAGGTCAAGGGAGGCAATTCTTATCCTGTACTAGCACTGGTGAGACACACCTGTAGCCTCAGGTCTAGTACAAGAGTGCAGCTTCCCTGTACAAGAGAAGTAGGGGCATCCTGGAGCATAGAATTGTAGAATCATAGGATATTAAGGTTGGAAAAGGCTGATAAGATCATCTAGTTCATCTGTAAGCAAGCCCAGCAAAGGGTCATTAAGGGTCAGGGGGTAGGAAAATGATATGTGTAAGGAGTTGCTGAAGGAATAGGGTTTGCTCAGTCTTGAGATTATGGAGGGGAGATTTTGTTGCTATCTACAATAACCTGAGATTATAGAGAAGATGGTACACAGCAATAGGTCAAGAGGCAAAACAGATGCATGTCAGAATTGGAGAAATCCCACCTTGATAAAAAAGAATTATTTCTTTTCCACGACGTGGTCGAACACTACAACAGAGAACAAGAGAAGCAGTGGGATCTCCATCCTTGGAGATACTCCACACTCTCCTAAACAGGACCCAGAATAGCCTGCCCTGGGCTAAACCAGGCATGTCTGGAAGTCCCTTCTGACCCACACGAGTCTCTGATTTTGTCTAACAACGAAGGTTCAGCAAAACTCTCTTTTTTCTTTCAAAGACATGTCAGTGAGGTTGGTGAATGGATGGAACCAGTGTGAAGGGCGTGTTGAAATCCTTTACAAAGGAGCCTGGGGGACCATTTGTGATGATTCCTGGGATATAAATGATGCAGACGTTGTCTGTAACCAGCAGGCTTGTGGACATGCTGTATCATCTTCGGGAAATGTCACCTTTTCTCACAGCCCGAGATATATTGTCATGGATGATGTGCAGTGCAGAGGGAATGAGAACTACCTGTGGGAATGTTCTCACAGGGGGTGGTGTAGAGAGGAGTGTGACAGCCGGCGCGATGCCAGCGTCGTTTGCTCAGGTACACACTGATCTATTTGCTTTATGCGAAGAGAAATATGTGGTTTAATCTCAAATTTTGTCAGATTGAAAATCGCTCCCCTGATCTTGAAGATTTTTCTCAGCAGAGTTGAGGTTCTGTTGCTGGAAAGATAACTCCCCTTCTTTTCTTACGTGATCAAAATTTGTTCTTGCAAACTTCCATCCAGATAAGCTTCGAAAACTTTTAGAGCATTTTAATCAGTGTCCCTTGTAAAGCATCCACAGCTTTTCTACTGCCATCACACTATTTTAATCACCTGTAATCCATATTAACCAGTTCGATCTGCTTGCTACCAGACTAGCAAGAAGCACCAGAAAATAATCCCGAGGCACATTCTGCCCTTAAAGAACCAACCAGCTTTCACAGAGGAGACTTCTCACAAGCTTAAGGTCCTAATCCTACATGCCTTTCTTTGACAAAGCTTCTATTGAATGCTGCAGTCTATTTATTTGAGTGAGATAATCAGGGCCAAATCCAAAGGTGTAGAGTCATGACTCTTGCAATCCAGGCGCAGGAAACAAGGAGAAGGAACCAGGGCTTTGCTAGGTTCTCCTGAAGAAAGATATGCTAAGATTTTTGGCACTCTTAGCTCCTTACCTAAATTTAACCTTGGAAACTTTCTGCTTCTGTTAGATGGCATAAGAAACTCCAAAGTTCTATCCTAATCTCCATAGATTCCCAAGTTGCTGGCAAGGAAAGTCATGTTACAATTTCATGTCTCACCATTTTTGTTATCTTCAGAAGCAGATTATTTAACCAGTCGTTGAACACTTTCTGAAATAAAAACAGACATTGTAAAGAAGGTTAAAGCACTAAAAGCTCTTAAAAGAAGCTCTTAAAAACTAATTACTTTTGGAAACATTGATGACTGAAATGTGCATTTTATCTGTTTCTTCCCATCACAGCTTCTACAGGAACTGAAATACCTGGTAATTTCAATTTCATACTTATTCAATAGTTTCTATCCAGAGTTTTCTAAAGCATAAGCAATAAAATGACAACAAATCATGTTCTGACTTGGACTTCTGGAGCATGAAAAAGTCTTCATTGGACTAGGGTGCTTTAAGTCCATGGTTGTCTAAAAGAAAAGCTATTGGATTAATCAGTATTTTAAACATTCCATCAGTTGGATGGAGCCACATCCGTGCACCCACGCACACAAAAAGACCATTTTATTCCATGCTTTGATAAAACTCAGAACCCCTTAAGTGATATTAAAACATAAGGAGAAGAGACAACACAGTTATTAGGAAGCCATGGCCCCGTTGTGATGCTGTGGCTTGGTTAACCTCATCTCTTGGTCAACTCTGTTTCTGTGGGAAAACTTTGATTCTGTTCTACTAATTATAATATACTGTCATTAATAAATTGATTGATAAATGCCCACTAGTGTTTATCTAATGCAGGTTATTTCTTTCGTTGCTATTAATCCCATCACAGGAATTGAACTGTTTAGGCAACTGTGAACACTGCCAAGCCCTAGCAGCAAGCTGTGTTCCAAGGGTGAACCAGGAAACAGCACATGAGTGCAAAGACACGAGGACAGCTGGCACTTATCAGTGCTGTCCTTGCCTTCCCTGGGGGTGAAAGGCCATGACAGAATACAATAGCCATAGGAACATGTTGAATCAGCTCCAGAACTAATCTAGGATTTTAACTTTGCAGTTCAGGAGCCTTCAGACTCTTATCTCCTCTCTTCTTTTTCACAGAGGTATCCATGAGGCTGATAAATGGCAGAAACAGATGTGAAGGGCGCGTGGAAATCTACTATAAGGGAAGCTGGGGGACTGTATGTGATGATTTCTGGGACATAAATGATGCGCAGGTCGTCTGCAGGCAGCTGGGATGTGGAAATGCTCTCTCTGCACTGGGAAAAGCACATTTCAATCCGGGGACAGGGGATATTTTCCTGGATGATGTGCAGTGCCGTGGAAATGAATCCTACCTGTGGGAATGCTCTCACAGAGGATGGGCCACACATAACTGTGGGCACAGAGAAGATGCCAGTGTGCGTTGCTCAGGTACAAGTGGTTCTATTTATTTAAGTAAAACTCTGCATTGTGTAAATTGAGAATCTAATCATCAGCCTGCGGCAAGGGATATAGCAATAAAGACAGTACAGCTGTAATTAGAAGGATGGTGAGGCAGAAATCAAGAAATGAGCTGCCTCTGTTTCCCTCCATGTATCTTCTGGTCTGGGGTGCTCGGAAGATACTCCTGGTGGTCAGTCAGTGACATTGATGTGAGTGCAGAGAGAAGGAATGCTGTGTTCTATGCAGGATACCAGAGGAGGAAATACTTGGTGGTTTGGTTGACACTTCACACTTTGGGTTTCACAGACGTGGCACTCTCACAAGAATTTAATTTTAGAAGCCGTTCCTAAAGAATTAAATGTTACTCTATCTTTCCAACACAAGTTAAATGTTATCTTGATTAAGGTAATTAAAGATAGTACATAAAAAGTAACTTAGTTTTAGAACAAATCAGACAATATAAGAGACTCCCACCAGGTGAAGCAAAGTTTTGTTTAGTATTTGTTCTGCTGTTGTTGATGATTATTTCTTCTGAAATACAACTGAAGCTGCTGAAATTAAGTTTTTCATATTTATTCCCAAACCACAGCTTCCAGGGGAGCCAGAGCACCTGGTAAGTCTTACCATTTCTTTTATTGATCATTCTAAAAATTGGGTACCCATTGTTGAAAACAGTTTGCTTTTGTTTGGTGCAAAGCCTTGGGGAAAAAGACAACATTTGAGGAGAATGGCCAAGTTCCACACTGCAGCATTTCATAGAATGGCTTGGATTGGAAGAGATCTCAAGGATCATGAGTCTCCAACCCCCCTGCTACAGGCAGGGCCACAAACCTCCATATCTAATACTAGATCAGGCTGCCCAGGGCCCCATCCAACCTGGTCTTGGATACATTTCAAAAGATGTAGATGATTACGGAGAGCTCAAATGTTGGAAAGACACTTTGAAGAGGAATGTAAAGTGTGTATTTCATAACTTGTTACTGACTGAAAATCAACAAATCACACAGCAAGGAGGGAAAACCTTGGACTCACTTCTTCAGACATTCATCGTGACGTTTATTTCTGCTCTGTCTTTGGTAGAAGTAGCTCTGCGCCTGGAGAATGGCGGCAATCGATGTGAGGGACGTGTGGAAATGTTTTACAAAGGACAGTGGGGAACAGTGTGTGATGATCGGTGGGATATTGAAGATGCTCGGGTCGTCTGCAGACAGCTGGGCTGTGGGCAGCCCATCTCAGCACCAGGAGAGGCCCAGTTTGGGGAAGGCTCTGGGGTTATTTTCCTGGATGACGTGCAGTGCAGAGGGAACGAAGCTCACGTATGGGAATGCTCCCACAGCGGTTGGTCAAGACATAACTGTGGCCACAGTGAAGATGCCAGTGTTGTCTGCTCAGGTATGCTCTGCTTTGTTTTCCTCAAGAATCTCCCTTGATATAGATTTTGAACTATAGCTGGAAATCATTAGGAGTCGAGCCCATGATAAAAACCATTCTTTCTCCGCTGCTGTGGACTATTAAAGACCTAACAAATATGAATCTCATTCCCATTTCCCAGCTCATTTGATCGCTTTTCTCTCTGCTTGTTCTTACAGGGCCTGCAGCATAAGCAGAGGAAATAAAGATGTGCATTACCTTTAAGGCTGGTAAACTGCTGAGGCATTTGCAAGAAATCTCAGCAGGCATTTTCACTGATCTGCAATCTCTATGAAAACCAGATTTCTCAATGAGGAATTATGAGCACACCTTCTTTCCAATCACTTTGATCTGTTATGAACTGAACATCTCAGTGATTTTGTCTGTTACCTATCTGATATTCCACTGGATGAGTACTGGTGACTCGTGCTTTTGAACTTTAGTTCATGTAGCAGAAATTAGAGCAAAGCTCATCAAAAAAGTAGTGCCTGTGTTATCCTCCACTCCGTGCCTCTCAATCCTGAACTTGGAGAGAGAAAAATAGTTCAATTCCCCCCCATAACAGGCTGCTGACTGCACTCATAGAACCAGAACAATCTCAAATTGAATGCTCCTACACTTATACACTTTTTACATTTGCTAATGGTGCTGTTCATGTGGGACTTTAGAAAATATATTTGTATAATCCATCTTTGTCCTTGTGCTTTAATCCTCTCTCAGGCTTGTAAACATTCAGATATTCAAACCAACTGAAACTGAATCTGATTAAAAACTGATCCAGTAAAAACGTTTTCACAAATGGAGTCAGCATTTGGACTTAGGATAGTCAGAATTATTTCTCTTACATATATAAAGCAATCAAATTATGTGATTCTAAGCTATCACGAATAAGCAATAAACTCTTTCACTGCATGACGTTGCTTACAGCTCATCCTTCTTTTTTCCATGCCGAGACTCTGATTGCATTATTTGTCCAAAATGTCACAGTTAAACAGGATATCTGCTTTTCCACACAGTGTTTATGGAAAAGAGAGCCATCCCTTGCCAACCTCTCACCCAACACAGCTCCTTGGGGCATGTGGGGCAGGAGAAGGTGGCATTCCCAGGTGTCCCACTCAAGCATTTATTGCTGATCCCTTAATAGGTCCTATACCTACTTTAACTTTGTTAGGTTAGCTTTACACGTGCAAGCTTGCACTGTGGAAAAAAATAAAAAAGCAATCAGTTTACAAACAAAAACAATCTGTATAGCTGCTTTATGTGTGATTTTTCCTTTCCCATCTCAGTCACTCATGCAGGAAGGAAAACTTTCCTAATTAATCAATGCAGTTAGCCTGATTGTTATTTTTTTCCCCTATTTATTAATTAACCTTTTTTATTTTGTTAATTGCTTGTTTCATTATCTTTAATTAGCAACTAATAGAGCAAAGTTAGAATCATAGATTCACCAAGGCTGGAAAAGACCTCCAAGATCCTCCAAAGGGGGTGTTTCACCTCCATAGGTGATTCTCTATGTGATCCCTTACGATGGCACTTGCTGAAATGGAAGGGATTTTCTTTGAAGCTGAGAAAGATGTTGAGAAAACTGCCAGGAGAGTGTTTGGGAGAACTTTATATTATCACTAATAAAGTTTACCATGTAAACATCAAAAGAAGGAAAAACAGCAGGAATGTGGCACATGCCAAGATAAGTAACCCACGTTGACAAGGAGTGCTAGCCAATTAAATTATCTGGGTAACAGGATTAAATGACTTGTAGTTCTGCATGCAGAGCCAAGACCATTGGTACCCATTTACATTGGCACAGCCTCCATCTCTGACAAAGGTCTTCTCTCACTGGATTCACAGGCATTGATAGGGGGCTTCCAGAGGCCAGATGGTAACACCTTTCTTTCAACACAACGCCTCTGGGAACTGGAAGCAGTACCCAGCACTCAGTACTCAGTTTTGTTTACAAAAGATGGCTTCCCATGTAAAAGTCCCACTTTGCCTTCTGAAGAAATTTGTCATAAGTGTGGAGAACTTACTTGAAGGTTGTATTGTCAAGGATGTGATTTATTCCAACCTGGCCTTGCCATTTTCTCTAGACATTGTTAGTGCACAAAATGCACTTCAGAACTTGCTGGAGTTGAATTTAGCAGAATGGTTGGCAGAAAGGAAATGTGAAAAATGAAAGAATTGAAAATCTTTCCTTACATCTTTCCACAGAGTAATATGCAGCAAGACACAGCCAAGTTCTGCACACTTATCTGCTACGTGCTTTCACCCTCAGCTAGGAACAGCACCAACCTACAGGCTTACAAGCAGCCACATCCTTGGGCTGACTGAAGTCAAGGACCAGTACATGGCAATTGCTATGGCAGCATTCAAGTGGCAATACTGTGTGGCATTTCAGTAAATTCTGCCTGTTTCACTGCTGTGAATTTGTGAGTAATCTGCAATGACCTAAAAAATGTATTGACATGAGCCAAAACAAAAGTAGACCCATGCATCATGCTGCGGGTTCACACATCAGGGTTTTCTTTATCAGGGCAGAAGAAATACAATTAAATACTTGTACAAGAAACACATGGCTAGGAGAAACGCAGACAGTGCTCGTTAATCTGTCACAGGCACCTCAATTAAATTCCTTGCAAATATTAGTTATGAGAGCTATGACGTGTTGTGGTTTACAACACCACTGAGATATAACGAATAAGCAGCTGAAAGGGAAGGTGAAACGGGTGGTGCCTCAGGAGGGCCAGATTCTCCAAAACTTTGCCAGACAAGGAATACAAACAACCTACCTGCAGTCTGTAGCTGTCTCATGCATCATTTATTTTGCCCTCTGCTTATTTGTTACGGTATTTGCTACTGTTAAGGCCTCTAGGGACCCTACGGAAGATCTGTGTCGTTAGGTCACGTTGTCCCGTAACACATTCACTCCTTAAGGACAGTGCCTCGCTGCCCTCCAGCGGTAGCAGCCTCACAGCTGTAGCTCTGCATTTTCTGGTTGCTCGTAGCCCCTCAAGCTCCATCTTTATGGAGCATATAACACTACAGGTTTCCATGAGAATTGGATGTAGTTTGAAAAAGCTGGAAAAAGCTTTGCAGGGAGGAGTAGGTGCAGCAAAGCTCCAACACTCTGCGAGGAGAGCTTAACACCCACCCTCCAGCGTAAAGCTCTTTCACTATGGACAAATACTCTTTGTTTTCGGAGTGAATTTTGATAGATTCCTTTAAGAAGATTTCCTGGGAAATGGCGCTGCGACTCCAAGACCACAAAGGTCAGCCCTACTGTCATCACTGCTACTTCCTGCCATGCAGGATTAGTTTGCTTGCTTAGCTTTGGACTGAAGACTCACCACCTCTTTTAATGGTGCCTTCGATGTCCGTGACAAGAGCTGCAGTGTTTAACGTGGAGGTTGGTCACTCTTTCTCACCAAACACTACGGATTAGCTGTACAAATCTGCTGCCTTTGTTCACACCTATACTTACCACCACGACTCCTCAGATAGGGTACAAAACAGCCTGCAGTAGGACCCAGTTTTACCAGGCAGGAATGGGGATGTGGAGCCCTCGGCCCTAAGCATGTCTGCTGGGACCAATGTCTTCTTTGCAATCTGTTTTGTGAAGGAGATTGAGGAATGCTGAAAAAGAGAACCATGAGGTTCCTTCTATTTGTTTCCAAAATTATTTTCATTCAAAAGTTAGACGTGTTTGTATAAAATATCTTAATTGCTGTTAGGAAAGAAAACTGTAACGTAGTATACCAGACCCAGCTTACGGCTGTTTGGATAGAAAAATTGATAAGGATCTGCTATAAACCCATTTAGTCACTTCAGGAAATGGCAGCAGAGTTCAAGTAATCCACACACACGGAACCGGGAGTTTAAACATTTGACATGACTGGTTTTGCTCAGGAAGGTATTAGGATGTCAGAACATGGATGTTTGGATAGCTACAGTATGTAATAGTGCGTTGAGAAAATAAGAAAAGATCTCATGGAACAAATGAATTTATGTTCGTTTTAGTATCCGCTAAGAACCTTTAGTTTTGTTTAGTTTAGTCTCTTCAGCTGAGAGCCAGCTTCTCCCTGCCTATTGAGGCAGAGCTGGAGGCATCCTTTGGCCACAGTGTGTTGTCACCATCACCTCGTGCCAGGGAGAAATCTGTGTCTGAAGGGGTCGTGGTGGATTCATGGCTTTGTGAGATGCAAATCTTCTCCAGTTGTACGTCATGGCCTTTCCAGGTGGGATTTTTTCATGCAAAGCACCTGATCTAAAAAGATAGCTTGAAAGCTAATGGCAAACAATAACCTCCAGCACAATTTGTGGTATTTTTCCTCTTCACGATGATTTTCTTTCATGTTTTCTCAGTCCTTAAATTTGGATTTCCACTAGCACTATCGTATCTTCTGCCTCTCCTCCTCTGATCTGCTATCTGTTACCAGCAGAATAAAAACCTGTTACTAGTTTCTCCCCTTCAGCTGACAATTGCTCTGTGCCTCAATTCTTTTGGGCAGTATCTCACAGATCCAAAAGCATGCCTCATATTTTGCAACACACAAAGGCTCCACTTCCATAGTTATGAAGGATGTACCACACAGGACTGTCAGATAGCATGTGTACTTGTCCTCTGAAGAGGAAAATTTCAGGCTAGTATGTTCAGGAACAAACCAGCTGTGAAACTGGTAGATGGAGAATGGGGAGTAAGTTGTCAGTAGACTCTACTGGTCTTCCCAGTAGTCTTCCCATGCAGTGCATGGCAGCTGGTCATGCCACTCTGACTTCACATACAGATTCTTTGAGTTTTAGCTTAATTTAACCTTCTGGCCCTTTCTTACTCCATTTCTTTGGCTGTTGTAGTTCAGCACTTGCCCTGCTAATTTATCCCCAAGAGAGTTCTTCCCACCCAATTATACCTTGGCCGATAACTCATATAGCTGTTTCATTGCTCTGTAGGCTGCAAGTGAGAAAAGGACTGACTGCAGATGAGGGGAATGATGGAGGGATCTACTTTCAGGCTAAACAGGAGCCAGAGAGATATGAAGAAGAGTGTAGAAATTCTTTTTTGTAGGAATAATGCCTAGAGAGCAGAGATAATTTGCTTGAGACTTTCCTGAAAATTTTTGGATGCTAATCTTCTGACACAAATCTCACCACTGTCTGTTTGGGCACAGCTGTATGTTGGAAACACAATTATGCATTGGAAACTGTCTTAACTGGTGGTACGAAAAACCTTACCAAGCAGCCTAATCTCCAAACGTAAATCTTTGCTTCCTGGAAAAAAAAAGAAAAACCAACCCACACCAACGCACAGCTATTGAAGTGCCAGGGGAGTGTTTGGGAAGATCTTGGTAGACAGCCCGGAACAGTGGTGTGATCGGGATCTGCTCATCCGGATGTCTGGATATACCCTGTAAAATGAAAATACCTGGTAAATCATTTCTTTGGCATGGATCTGGAATTTCAGGAAGAGAGATCAAATTGCAAAGCACACACCTTTGGTGGAGACCAGAACTCATTTAGTATAAATTCTCAGTCCTCACAGATTGAGAACAGATAACCACAATGAAAATGGACCTTCATGTGAGTCTCACTTGGATGCTTCTGCTAAGCACTTCTCTCCTGTGTGAACCAGGTACAGTGAGTACATTTTTTCATGCTTATATGGAAATGTTACGGACAGAATTCATTACTAATACAGCCTGGCCTGCTGGAAAGTGGTGGCAGAGTCTTCTAATGTATTGCTGGCAAGCTTTGTATGATGGAATTGTTGGTTTAATTTGTCTTCTTATTCAAATATTAGCCTTGTAACTCAAATATTCAGATCAAATTCACAGGTTAGATTTTAAAGCTGAGGAATATTTTCGTTGCTTCTCTTCTGTAAGGGGAATAGCTTGAAGAAGTCATTTTCTTTCTTCCTTCTAACATTCTTCTAATTCTCTTATTTTGGATTTAAATTCTTCTACATGATACATTCAAAAATGTAGAAAAAGACATTGAAAGAATAAAAAAGCAGCTTGACTGACATGGGTGGAAATCTACTTTGCAGAGACTCGGGACTGCAGAAGTGCCATTGTCCTTCAGTCTTCAGAAAAGTAACCTCAAACCTTCCTTATAAACTCACTGGTTTGAATGACGTGATCTTTATCCATGGGCACCATGAGTAAAGGCTCATCAGCCAGAAGGAGAAATAATTTCATAGAACATAGATTCAAGGGTTGGCTACATTGAATTATTTATAAAGCAAGAGCGAAGGCAAGTCAGACATAATAGGATGCATAAAATGACGCTGAGCTGCCTTTCAAGAAGGTGGTAAAATCCCAGCACTGTAATCTCTCGTCAGTAAGTTTGCTTTTGTCTTCAGTTTGACCTGGATTAATTTAGAATGGAAAAGTCACTTTGGCTTTTGTCTTGTAAACTCCCAAATTTAGGATCACTGATATATTTCCAGGAGCAAAAGTGTCTGAAGAGCAAATGCTAGCTTGGGAAAAAAGAAAAAAACAGTCTCTAAAAGAAATTTCTCCTAAATTTCTTGATTGAATCAGGCATGGATCTTCAGAGCTTGCAAATTTTGAAAGAGCCTTCTTGCTTCTTTATGGTTATAAAGACAGAAAGATCACTGCTTGCTCTTTGCAATTTCTCTGCATAAGAGGAAGCAAAGGATTGCCTATGAGTTTACAGAGATCTATCATTCCCTAAACTTGACAGAACTAGACTGGAAGAGCTGCTCTACAGATATGTAACACCACAGTTTGGTTTAGTCAGTCCTTTAAGCAAGTATATATATTACATTCCATGCTGCAGAATTAGGCGAAGTCTGGGCTCCCCAGGAAGACCTGAGCAGGCATTTGCAAAGAGAACAGTTGAGGCTAACATGTTGGGCTGTTGGCCAAAACAACTGCCACACTCTGCACAAACAAATGATCCACAGCCTCTTGTGCTTTTGTGGTAATAACATGGCAAAGATAAGTAACTTCTCTACTGCCCCAGCAAGTTCTGGCAGAGCTCAGCTCCCAGAAGCCAGAGTCTCCATCCATTGAAGGATGTACATGAGGGCTCTTGTGCTGCTATGAAATAAGGTCCTCTACAATCATCTTCTGCTGAATTATGAGAGAAGAAGCACGTCCTTCCAGGCAAAGGGAGGATGGTTTTCACTTTGAAAATATGTCACATACCAGTAAATACTCTATCAAACTCTGTGTCAGCACAGGAAACCATAAAACTTATCTAGAACTGTGTTACATCAATGCTAATGTATCTATTAATCCTACACAGCAAATGGCTTCTGGTGGCAGTCAACAGAAGACAGTGAAGATTCAGCCTCACCATGGGCCAAATTCTCAAAATGGCTTAAGAAGACATTTAAACCCAAAGGTAAGAGGGTGAGACGTAGACCTGAGAGTGAGCCTTCTGGGCATCCCTGTTAGGGTTAATGGACCCCCTCTGCATGAGATGGTTATCTCACCATGGCCCTTTAATGATAGAACAGGTCCTTGTGCAGCAGAGCCAAGTGAACTGGGCTGAATCAACAGCACTGATTTGGGCTCCACTGCTTTGCGCACTGCAGGCATTTCCCAGTAAGCCCCAGCAACTGGAGACACAGAAGCACCACACAGCCCACCCCTGAGCAGATGGGGATGCAGCCTTAGATGTTAGAAGTTTAGATATCCTGGAATAAGCAAACTGATTTGCTTACTTGCTCATTTTTGCTTTGGTTTTAGAAGAGACGCCACAATTGCGACTGGCATCTGGTGGGGACAGATGTGCTGGAAGGGTTGAAGTTTACCACAACAGCGAGTGGGGGACAGTCTGTGATGATTTCTTTGATATGAACAGTGCCAGCGTTGCGTGCAGACAACTCAAATGTGGCCAAGTTGTTTCTGTCCTGGGCTGGGCTTACTTTGGCCCTGGAGAAGGAAGCATCCTTCTGGATGATGTGAAGTGTGCAGGAACCGAATCTCACATTTGGGACTGCTCGCATGCCGGCTGGAACAAAAGTGACTGTGGACACAATGAGGATGTCAGTGTCGTCTGCTCAGGTAAAAAAAAATAAACTGTGCTGTTAAAAATTGATTTGGATTTTATCCTTGACCATAATAGCGAGAAACACCAGAGTAGGATTTGGAAATCAGATGGGAGCTGAGCTATGTGCATGCAGATGCTCCTTGTGCTTGGGCTGAACCAAGTGAGCAAGGAACACAAGGATGTCATGTGCAACATATCAAAATTGGCAGCAGTGGGCACTGAGTATGAATATGAGGAGAATCATTTGAGACCATAGAATGGTTTGAGTCAGAAGGGACCTTTAAGATCACCTCGTTTCAACCCCCTGCCATAGACAGGGACACCTCTCACTAGCCCAGGTTGCTCACAGCCCCATCCAGCCTGGCCGTGAATGCTTCCAGGGAAGGGAACATCCACAGCCTCACTGGGCAACATTTTCCAATACCTCACCACCCTCACAGTAAAGAATTTCCTCCTAACATCCAATCTAAATCTACCCTCTTCCAATTTAAAACCATTTCCCCTCATCCTGTTGCTGATTCCAGACTTCCCAAGATAAGCCAGGCAACAAGTTCAGAGCAGACAGAAGCTCATCCAGTAGGTCTGAACTGCATTGAATTGAGTCTGAATTGAAAATAAATATCAACACTTCTATCCTAGATGTTACTGAAAGCAATGATCACATAGCTTGAAGCCACCTATTTTGAAGCAATTTGATTAATGCCAAAGCTAATGGCAATTTTTGCTTTGTTCTATGTTCACAGATGCAGTGCAGTCCACGATTGCACCAACAGGTAAGGCAGGGCCTTTGCAATCTAAGTCTATTAGCACTTCACAGTATGCCTAAATGCTCAGAAACTGATTTTTAACTTGAATATCATACAATTACTGCTCTTTTCCAGACAGTATCGTAGAAGAATGTGTGTTCCTAATTTTCCTCATTAATTCATTATTCTAATGACCTGGATGTTTGGATTATTTGTAGGAACTTTAATTGCCTTTCACTAACTAATAATTAGAGAAAGCATGTGGCAAGTCTCTACATTCCAGCTGTAGGCTTTAGACTCTTGGTTATTTCACCACTGCCACACAAAACCTAACATATACATTATTTTATCACTGCCTCAGTTTTGGTGACCATTCTTATAGTTCTCCAATAATGTATTTCCTCTTTCAGTATCCACAGAGAGGACCCAAACTACAATTTCATCAAAAACCACGTTGGTCACAGACCGCTTTGTAACACCTACTACACAACTGGCGACTTCTACAGATAAAGGCAAGAGAAAAACCCAACCTGTAAATCTACAAGAAATAAATAAAACCCAGTAGTGTGCAATTTGGTTACAGCAGGCAGTAATACTTGGAATTCAGTCAAAGTGTTTCAGCTCCTGTGTTTTTAACTCTGTGTGTGATCAGCCTTGGAATAGGCAATGGCCAACACCATCTGCATTTGTGGCCACTGCATCTTTAGCAATGACTGCTGCATCTCCAGCAGTAGAAGAAGGCAGTCAGAAGTAACACCCAGATCTACTGCCATTAAATATTAAATCAAGGTGAACGCCTCCTGTCAGTAAGAACAAAGGGCTGTGCATTCACTCACTTCCCTGCAAAGCCCATATCCACATGCTTGCATCAAGATTCACTCCTAACTGCTGCCATTCTCTCCTCCATTCTCTTTGTTCCCCCAACTCGCTTGTGACCCCAGAGCCATCTTCCACATCCACTGTTGTCACAGAGAGAAGTGCCACATCAGCTACTGAAATCCCAGGCACAACTTATGAAGGTAAGAGCAGCTGTTTTGCAAGCAATCTCTAAGACTAATGCTCTTACTTGGGGGTCTAATACTGTTAACTGGAGGTTTGAGGCTGGATTAAGAAGATGTGGCTGTGTGAATTATGGAATATTCACAGCAGTCAACAAGAAATTGATCATTTGTGTGAAGGAACAAGGTCCTCTGTGACATCTTCATTTAAAAAAGGCTGTTGGGATGTATCAGCAATACATCCATTTAATGATGGATGTCCCCGAGCCTGTAGCTGTAGCATTATACGTGAAATTTTGTGTAGTAGTCCAGATCATTGTGATTGGTGTGTCCAAGATTCATGACTGCTCCAGGACAATTAGAGAACAGTCAGGCTTGTGAGATCATCTCTCTCATTTTGACCCCTGCCTCTCCAGTAATTTAGCAGACTAATTACACAGCTGTTTATCAAGCCTGAGATCTAAACTGAGTCTCTAATTCCTCAAAACACATCTGCTTTTAATTGCTGTTGGCAGACATTTAATTTCCCATCCTGAGATCTTCTTCTGTTTGCTCAGGTTCCACCTCCACTACAGGGGAAGATGGGACATCAGAAATCCCCACCTTGTCATGGAAAGGTAAAAGGCATCTGCACAATGCAGTATGTTAGAAAACTGCTGTGTTTATCTATGTGACCATAAGTTTTGTCTGGGGGTGGGGGATCAATGGACATGCTAAAAAAATGGGGCAAAGCCACCATCTCTCAGTGTAACCAAGACAAATGAAATAAATTGAATTTGCTTGGTACCAACTTGCTGGCTTTTTGGGAGCGTGGGCAGGCTGCCAGCAGCACCGTGCTGGAAGTTACCTACCAACCACTGTCGTTGCCAAATTACAACACTCACTGCTAGTTTTGCTTCTCACGTTCCTTTTGCTTTTCTCATTACTGAGAGAGAGAGGACTGAAACTTTCCTGATGCTTGTAATGCAAAGACATGAAGACTCATTTCTGAGCACTGAGAGTGGATAAGGATGGCAGGGAATACGTGGATTCTCTTTTCCACTAAGCTTGAAGCTAATTCAATGCATCAAGAACTGGGTTCAGCCATACTGCCTTATTGAATGTTGTCATGTTTTCTTATTTCTTGCTTCTTGTTAGACTCTGAAAGCTCAACAGAACCAACATCACCCATCCCAATTGTAGAAGGGAATGTGACTGTGACCTCAACTCCAGAAATCCCTTCCACAGCTCCTAAAGGTAAAAACAGGTTCTGTGTGATAAAATATAATAAGAACAGTATTCAAGCTTCTGATTAAATTAGATTATATAAACTAAATCATATCACCAAATATCAGCTCAATTGTCTGTGACTGATTCATGCTTCACTCCAGTAATTCATCTCCTCAGTTCATTAGCAGTCCCTTTGACATCCCTGTATTTCTCCTTCACATCCAGTTCAGGTGATTCTGTCTAATAACCTGTTTCCTCTCCCCTGACCCTCCCTGCAGCTTCCTCCTCTGCCCCCAGCACTGCAGCCACGCAGCCAACAGCTGTTCCAGAGATCCTGACCACCTCTGGGGAAGGTGAGGCACTCCTCTGCTGCAGGTACTCCCAAACACAACAAGGATCACATCTCTCACTGCCCCAACAGTGGCCACTGCGTCTTTAGCAATGACTGCTGCATCTCCAGCAGTAGAAGAAGGCAGTCAGAAGTAACACCCAGATCTACTGCCATTAAATGTAAAATCAAGGCGAACGCCTCCTGTCAGTAAGAACAGAGGGCTGTGCATTCACTCACTTCCCTGCAAAGCCCATACCCACATGCTTGCATCAAGATTCACTCCTAACTGCTGCCATTCTCTCCTCCATTCTCTTTGTTCCCCCAACTTGCTTGTGACCCCAGAGCCATCTTCTACATGCACTGCTGTCACAGAGGGAAGTGCCACATCAGCTACTGAAATCCCAGACACAACTTATGAAGGTAAGAGCAGCTGTTTTGCAAGCAATCTCTAAGACTAATGCTCTTACTTGGGGGTTTGAGGCTGGATTAAGATTGTAGAATATTCACAGCAGTCAACAAGAAATTGATCATTTGTGTGAAGGAACAAGGTCCTCTGTGACATCTTCATTTAAAAAAGGCTGTTGGGATGTATCAGCAATACATCCATTTAATGATGGATGTCCCCAGTCTTGTACTTATGAATACATTCTGATGAGCTATTACTGTATATTCTTGTTTTAACCAAAGTAATCAGCTTTGGGTCCTATTCACATTTGAACGTTGTTTTTCATTGTTCCTGTTTTCCTCCCCCAAAGATTCAACCAGAGATTTTGTCACAGAAATGGTTTAATGAGTCTATGAAATAATTCCTTAAGTTTTGTAAATCTCAGAAGCATAGTTTCACCAGAAAGGGTCATTTTGCATCAGCCATCAGCCAGGACAACTCATGGCCATCCAACCAAGATGCCATCTTTTTTAGAGTCATCTTCAGGCTATTGAAAGTCTTCCCACAGCTCTTTACACCATTCCTCAGAGCTCATGATTTTCAAGCCCATTGCGTTTCTTGAATCTCCTCATTATCTCTACCTTTATTAAATATACATCATTGACCAAGCAGCTGAGGCCTCTTTAGTGCTGGGAAGAACAAGCAGCTCCTATGTACCACTGAGAGCAGGACTGAGGTTGGTCTGGCTCACTGCAGTGCCAATGTTATTGGCTTCCAGTTTTTCCACGGTCCTTCTGTGCCAGCTGAAAGGATGATTTAGCCTTTGTGCCTTGCTTTTCTCTTTCCAACGAGCATCCCGTTGCACCTGTCGATGTAGAAGTTCAACTTGCTGATTTTTGGCATTCATTCTGTTCATTCTGAATTCTCATTTTGTCCTCCAGAGAGCGCACAGGTCCAGCATTTCCTTCTGTCACTCTACCTATGTTCCAAAGTGTCGGAGTTAATGGCTGAGGATTTCATTACAGTACAGTAGTGGTGGCTGGTTATCTAACACCCGTGCCATCTGTTAGGTCAAGATGCTGCAGAATGTGGTAAACAATTACCAAGGCAACTGGTATTTCTTCTCTTTGTAACCTTTTCCAAACCTACTTGTCTTCGACAGCTTTATCAATGTTGTCAGAAGTTCAGAGATGGGACTCCATGCCCACGGCAGCAGTTGAAGGAAAGATGGTACAAATTTGCTTACAGCTCCACCCATTAACTTGATTATGAGCAGTATGTTCATATTTGAGCTCTAGGATCCACCCTCCCTCGTTTCTGCAGATGTCTTGCAAATTAACAGACAAATGTTCAGCACAGTAGAGATTTAAATCAGTGTTTCTCTACCTTTTTACTGCCAGCCATCTCAATTTCAAAAGGACATAAAAGAAAACTTTGCTACTTTAAAGGGTATTTAACAGAGCTTCGACCAGATTTTGCTGCCTGCCTTACTTACTCTGACTGGGATCTATTCCAACTGAATGAAAAGAAGTGGGCACTTCTCAGCACGCACCAGTGAAACTGAGAAATCCTTTGGGATTTACTTTTATTTTCTTGGCTTTCAGAAGTTTGAATGTGAATTTCTTCTTAAATGACAGCTCTATTGAGCACTGTGCAGGCTTATGGAACCTGATACGCAGTGTATTTGTGCTTTCCTAATACTGCCCTCACAACTGTGCAACTAAGTGCTTGTAACTATTAAGTGCTGTGCTTATGCCTATTCACCCATGTATTTGAGCCAACAATTTTATCTTATTTAGGCATACTGTGTGTAACAAGGGAAGCTGGTCAATGGTTAAAATGTTTTAAAAAAAAAAAAAAAAAAAAAGCTCCTTTATAGCTGTAATTATAGCAACTCATTACTTATACTGTGACAACTGTATGAAAACTGTTCTTTGGCTACAAAAGGCTAAGGAAAACTAATTGATTACTAATTGTTTTGAGTATTTTTTTACACATAGCCATGTGCAAAGCACTGACTTTGAAGAAAAGTAAATATCAACAGTTTTCTTTTATTCATTTGATGAGAGTAGAAAGCTGCCTATCATCAGTGTGTAGACACATTCACAAAACACATTAATAATTCTTGGGACTGTCAATTAATCAGTTCTGTTATTTAATCAGAAATATGATGTTCGTATTTCAGACTAATGAAATACTTCATTTACTTAGGATGTTTAATCTGGAGGTTGCCTCTCTCTCAATACTGATATCTTTAACATCAGCTGAATCATGACACATTTATTCCTGCCTGTAATCTAACTCAATATTTGGATCTGGATGCTTAATTTTTAATCTCCCTCTTTCTCCCACCTAGATACAGATAACTAATGAAATCTAATTCTTCAACTTTTTATGTTAACACCCTTCATTATTGCTGATGGCTACTCAGCACCTGTTTAATACATTATCTTTTGACTCAATTATTTTTCTCTCTCTGATATCGTGTTTGGAGCTCTCTCAGAAATTCAGGCCTTGATCTTGGGAAGTGAGCCAAGCACGCTGCTCCTGACATTTCTTTACAGCCAACTTTTGCAGAAGGAAATGATAAGCATGGTACTCAGATGGAAGGAGCTTTGATCATGGTCAGCAAAAAGGAATTAAGGGCAAAGAGAGTCCTTGGGAACAGGGTACTCATTCTGAATGGATGTACATTAGTTGGTTACAAATGACTGCCAGGTGACAGCAAAATGTCCTGAAATGAAAACCTTGTAATCACAGACCTACCAAGGAGTAAGACAGGTGTGTATACTTGGTACAGTTTATGATGGCAACAAACTCAAAAGAACTCAATTATGTTGTCTGCAGAGTCTCTGATTTCTTTCTCTGAAAGAAAAATACACTCCAGACCCATAAAACTAATTTGGAACTTCAGATCTCTAAAAGCCTTTCCCTCTGAAAGTGAGATAAATGTGTGGATTATTCCATAAGTACCCAGCTCTCAGAAATGAGCCTGATCTGTAGAAATAGCTCTGCTACTATTCTGGGGAAATGATGCTGTGCCAACCATCTGTTATGCCAGAGTGAAAAGAAGACCAATCAGGTATTATTTAAAGAAGAAAAAAAAACATATTCCTTAGATTGCAAGGTGTCCCAGGGAAAGGTTGGTTCTGGGTGCTTGTGTTCATCCTTTAGACAACGCTACCATATAGATGAGAAAGATGGTAAAGAAATGGTAAGAACCCTGTAGGGATGAGGATCGTTTTCCCTGCATCAGTGTGTCATGGAAGAGGACTATGTCTGTGCCCATTGGGTGCTGCATGATCAACCGTTGGAAAGATGGCTTCAAGACTTCATAATATCAATCCTAAAACAGCACGTAAATTCAGAGGAGGATGCTTTCTCATATCCAACCACACTGCAGGCTACCGGTCCCCGTCATCCCAATGATGGAGACAGTCTCTAGCACTGCCTTGGGTCACTGACTGTGGTGTTCTTTCTCCCCAGCAGATGTTCCAGCCCTGTCCCTGCGCCTTGCAGATGGTGACAGCAGGTGCTCAGGCCGTGTGGAGCTCTATTATAACGGCAGCTGGGGAACAGTCTGCGATGATGCTTGGGATCTGGGGGCTGCTGAGGTGGTGTGCCGGCAGCTGGGCTGTGGGGAGCCTATGTTGGCAGTGCCTGAAGCACAGTTCGGCCAGGGCTCTGGGAACATCCTCCTGGATGAGGTGCAGTGCAGAGGGGATGAGGACAGCCTGTGGGACTGCTCTCACCGAGGGATAGGTGTGCATAACTGTCAGCCAAAGGAAGACGCCGGCGTCATTTGTGCAGGTAGGTGAGCACATTTCAGTGCTGATTTCACATCAGTTGTGAACTATGACCAGTTGTAATTAAAACGTCCTCTTCTTGTGTTTAACAGTACCTTCCTTTAGAATTCTTGCAAATCAGTTCCCAGTTTTCCAGCAATTTTGTGTTCTGACTGGAACATGGGAATGTAGGAAGGTGGCCCTTGGAAGAAGCAAAGGGAATAAATGGGAAGAAAAGATAGAAAATTTACTTCAAAATCACTCCAAAAGAACCGTTTGCCAACATGCACTGTTCATTTCCTGGCAAGAGGATGGCCATATGTCTGCTGGACTTTCCAAGAGAGATACTAAGGCACTGCCTATTTAATACTGCTGGAACAGAGCGCCTTGGCAGTCCTACCCCACCTCCCTCTGGCAGAGCTGGAGCCCAGGTTGTGCAAATGTCTGAATTCTGGCTGTACTCAGACAAAGCAGAAAAGAGGCAATTTCAAATATGTTTCTCTTGATATCTCGAGCTCACCTTCCCCTCGCCCTGCAGTGCCAGAGATCTGCTGAACCCAAAATGACTGAGGTGAAATGGCTGAAATGGGCCTTCTCCTCTTTGTGTCCATGCTCCCAGAGATTAATGGGTTATGTCACTACTGCTTTTCTTTACCTGACATAGGAACTGAAGAATGTCATTAACCATCCGCCGTAGCAAGACCACAAGTTCACTTTTCTGTTTCCTTTTCCAGAGCCTGTTACTCCCCCAGTCCCAACTGAGCCTGTCCCAGCTGGTGAGTTCTCCACAGGCAGGTCTTGCAAAGTTTTCACGTCTGATATTTTACATAGCAACTTGTTTTTTCCTCTTTGGTAAACACATCTGCCCACTGCTGAGGCTGCTGAGCAACCACGTGTTTCCTTCTGTTTTTCCAAGAGCTGTCTCTGAGGCTGGTGAATGGAGATAACGAGTGCTCAGGGCGCCTGGAAGTCTTCTACAACGGCAGCTGGGGAACCATCTGCGATGATGACTGGGACATAAACAGTGCCAGGGTTGTGTGCAGGGAGCTGAGCTGCGGAGATGCCATCTCAGCCAAAAAAAGTGCCTTTTTTGGGGAAGGCACGGGAGACATCCTCATGGATGATGTGAAATGCACAGGGGATGAGTCCTTCCTGGAGCAGTGCTCTCACAGGGAGCTGGGAACACATGACTGTTTGCACAAGGAGGATGCTGGTGTTATCTGCACAGGTACTCCTCTTCTACATTTTATTTAGTGTGAATGAGCCACACTTGCCTGGAGGCTTTAGCAAATGACAGAGCAAAATGCTTTCTTCCTGACTGACCTCAAGCTGCACCTAGGTTATTGTATTTAAAAGCAGTGCTGGTTGGCATATCGTCCAGGATCTTGTTCACCTCAGCAGAGCAGAGGAGGTGCTGCTCTGCTGCCAGCAGCGATTCCTATTGCAGTCTGAGTGAAGAGCTGGGATGGAATTGCTGTTCTCCCCACCACCTGCATCAACATCCCCTGCCAATAGACATCCTCAGTAGGGTGGCATTGGCTGCTCCAGGGCATCAGATAACATCTCCTAGGTCATGGTCTAGGGGATACCAGGCTGTGCTTCTGTTTATCTCTCTTTATAACCAATGATCCGGCTTTCATTTTTTCGATGGTGTTTATTTTCTCTGCCCACAGGGCCTGTGGATCTTACCACTCCTGGAACAACAGGTATGGAGCACTTCACCACTCAGTCACCTCAGATGTAGTCAAATATTATTTCTCCCATCGTGGAGTGCTGATTCCCCTTGATTTCAGTAGTGCTATCTACATTCTGGGAGGTGACAGCCCTGAACATATTGTTAGCTCCAAAAAGTCACAGTGCTCAGATGAATAGGCATGCATTAGGGTCATGATTAGTGGGCATGGTGTATGGGACTGTTGACTCATGGCCTGAGCCACTGATTGGGCACCTGGGGAAAGGATCTGGTCAGCCCTGGGAGCACAGGTGAAGGTAATTGCTACAATGGAGCTGAAATGAGGGTCTGATTACATTGGTCTTAATTGCAGCTTAATGTCAGTTTGGCTTTGGTTGGATAGGTTTTGCTTTGCTCACATGATCATTTAAAGACTGCTAATGCTTGGCTCTTGCTTTCTTTCTGGTAGCCCCAACTGAATCCACCACAGCTGAAACTTCAGGTACTTATTTCTGCTCGCAGACCTTATGGATTTGCTCAGGATGCAGAAGCATCCCTAGGGGCTGTGCACGATCACTGTGGGTACATCCTGCCTGTCCTGCCCTGGGCAGCTCCTGATCCACACTTGTGTTCTCTCCCATATCCAGCAACCCCTGCAGGCAGCACCACATCTGAAGCACCAGGTATGCATCACTTTACACTTACTGCATTTGGTGTGGTGCTTAAGCTTGGCACAAAACCACTAATTTCCTCAACATCAGCAGTCCTTGCTTTGCTGTGGACAATAATTTGTTTCATTATTTTGCTTCTCACAGTAACCACCTCTCCCACTCCTGGACCAGCAGCCACTACCAGCTGTAAGTGATGCTCAGCGTTACACCCTCAGATCTCTGCCCAAGCTGTGACCAGGTGCTGGCTGGCTCCCAGTGCATGTAATCTCATGGATGCAGCCATTCATTCCCAGAGGCGATCCCAGTGACCTCTCTCTTGGCTCCCACACCTAGCCAGGGAGGAATGTGGGCTGGTGCTGGTACAGGACCAGGGCAACCCCACACCACAGACAGTACTGGGATCTCTGTATCACCTGGCATCCACGCCATGGCACAGCTCTGGAGTTGGGGATGCTCCCTCATTACAGCAGATCCCAGCAGCACCAGCATAGGTCTGAGCATGGCTTCATCTCTTGGGGCTGTGTAGTCAGTGTGTGAGTGTGAGCCTGGGGCTCTCTTGCCCTGCACATGCATTACACCTGTCCTGCTCTGGGAAGCCTCTAACTTTTGTGTTCTCTCTTATGTCCCACCAGCTCCTGCAGGCAGCACCATGTCTGAAGCACCAGGTATGTGTTGCTTGACACTTACTGCAATTGGAGTCATGTTTAAGCTTAGCACAAAACTGCTGATTCCCTCAAGGAAAAAAAAAAAACCTGATGCTCATGAACAGAGCTCAGAGCCCAGGGAAGTTCCCCAGGCAAGAAAGGCCACTAGGAATCCTTGGCCTAATTTGTGTGGGGTACACACTTGTTGTTTGAGGGATGAACGTATTTAAGCTTTAGACAATGTTTATTTCCATATTTTCTCTTCTCACAATAGGAGCCTCAACAACTCCATTGGTCTCCTCAACTCTACCAGTCTCTTCAACTCCTCAAAGCACAGAAATCAGCACTTGTAAGTAATGCAGTGTTATTCTGGTTTAAGCACTTGGTCAGCCCTCAATGTTGTGATCCGATGACATGTTGACACAGCTCCCCATTTTACTCTGTTCTGGGAGTCAGTCAGCACCTTCCCAAGTTGAGGTCACTGTGAATTTCTGATATTTCCAATGGTATTTGGTTTGAACCTTAAAGTTCCCTGTGACAGGATTTAACTTTTGAAAAAACTTGAAGTTCAAGTTCTGTTCATACACTGCAAATATCACACCTCAAATTCTTGAAGGCAGAATAATGTCTTCTTTTAAAGTCTGGCCCTATTAGCTACACATTGACACTCCAGCCACACCAGAAAAACATCCATACTTGTGCTGGCAGCATACAGGCATCTGACCTTGCAGCGCATGCATTTGAGCATGGAGTCATCTGACTACACAAAGGAATAAGCAGAGTTAAATCTTGTCCCCTTAGTGCTAGCAATATGCCATCATTCCAGTCTATGCACTTCTCTTATCACTTTTGACAATTCCATTCCTCAGATCAGTTGATTCTACCTTTTCTAGTCAGCCTGCATTCAGACGATTATCACTGTGTAAGCTGATCACATACAAGCAGATATTTTTATCACTCACTCTCACTTATTCTGTTGTTTTTTGTTTTGTTTTTTTTTTGTTCCCATTAAAAGCTTCTCCAAAGCCAGTACCTACAAGTCAAGGTAAGTTCTTTTCCTTTCTTCTTCTTTTTGATTACATTTCTTCCCAAGTCCCTCCTGTACTGGGCAAGAGGTGAGTTGGAGGAGGCTGGAAGTATACTGCTCAGCACCAGTGTAGCACTGAGGGACAGGCTGGCCTATGTCTGCTACATTTATGGGCATAGCACATCTGAAACATCTGCCAGCAGATTGCCAGGCTGTCAGCCAGGTGTGCCAGCACACTCCAGAGGGATCTCATCACCAAAAAAACAGCTCAGGGGTTATTGCAGCCAGCTGTTATTGCCAGTAAAGCCCGCATTTGCATTCGTAATGGTATTTAACACATGCTGCATTACGCTGTGCAGTAAAACATGTTTTATTAACAAACTTCCTCTCCTCCAGCAACCCTTGCTTGTCTGCCTACTTACATGCGGGCAATCATCAGGAGATCCTACATCAACTCCCGAGGGTACCTTGCAAGTGACATCCACCTGAGGGACCCTAGGTGCAAGCCTGTGATCAGCAGCTACCACGTCATGTTCCGCATACCATACGATGGCTGTGGCACACAGAGGCTGGTGAGAACCTCAGGCTGAAACTATTGTGTGCCAAGACAGAGTCCAAGTTATCTGTGAGAGAAGCTCTCGAGCATTTCTAATGCTTGTTATGTGAGGATGCAGCCACACGACCTGGAGGAGTTGAGGTGGAGCACAAATATCAACAGCGTTATGTTAACAAAGCATTGATGAACACTATAATAAGACTACAACAAAATTATGTTTCTCAAAGTTCTTGATTCTAAGCTATACAGATTATTAGGAACCTTCCTCATCTTTTTTTCCCTTTCCCTTTTGTAACACTTGCTCTTCAGGTCACCTTGTTCTCACATTTAGCTGTGCACAAATACTCTGCTAGTGGGTTTGGAAGAGGTTAGTTATATAAAGCAAACCCACACTTTGGTGAATACAACGTGCAGCACAAGTTAACTAGCTGGGTGTTTGCATGCTCACCACACCACTGAGATTCCCAGAGGGTCTTTGCTGGCAAGGTACCATTCAGGAGAAGAAGGTTCTTTCCCCATGGCTCCTTGGAGCATGTTTGTTGTGCTCAGCTGCCATTCCCTGCTGGCTCCTTGTTGTTTTCCATGTTGTGGTTTTCTTTTTTTCCTTTAGGATTTTATACCTCTGTTTATACCTGTTTTCCCTCTCGAGTCCATGAGCTACTAATAATCTCAAATGAGCCATCTCTCCAGCTGACCCATGTTAGCCCTTATCTCACCTGGCACTGTGCTGCACACCTTCTCACAGCCCTGCAGCTCTGAGGCCAGGCAGCAAGGCCATGGTGTTGGGTAGCAAGGCCATGGTGGCCTTGGCTATGCTTCTCCTCTGCCTGAGCCCCCAGTTCCAGTGGCATTTAGAAAATGTTTTCAGCATTCCTCTGCAGCTCTTAACCTATTAATGTTTCGACAGATATCACGTGGAGCCATCACTTACTCCAACACAGTGGAAGGATCCATTTCTAGCAACTCCTACAGCAGAAATAGAAATCCTCTGCTAAACTTTGCCTGCAAAATATACGACGACGCTGGCGCCCAAACAATACCCAGCGTCATACGGCCCCCGTACCAGGAAACTCCATCTAGGCAATTTGTCGTCAAGTTTGCCTTTTATGACTCGCCATCCTTCTCCAATGTAGTGAAGGCAGCACCATACTATGTAATGCCGAGCCGGGATTTGTTTGTTCGTGCTACCCTGTACAGCACACAGCCAAACGTGATGCTGTTTGCAGACACCTGCGTGGTCTCTCCAAATCCCCATGACTTTGTGACTGTGGCATCTGATATCATACGAAACGGGTAAGGAAAATATCTCAGCAGACATTTCAAAGCTATTCCTTGTGTGTGGTTGAGGCAATATGGGAAACAATAAATAGACACGCCAAAAAGCCATGGTTCTGTAACATATTAATATGTAACGTATCAGGACAAACAGGAATGGTTTTAAACTGAGATGGGTGGTTTAGGTTGGATATTAGGAGGAAGTTTTTTACCCAGAGGGTGGTGAGGCACTGGAACAGGTTGCCCAAGGAGGCTGTGGATGCCCCATCCCTGCAGGCATTCAAGGCCAGGCTGGATGTGGCTCTGGGCAGCCTGGGCTGCTGGTTGGTGACCCTGCACATAGAAAGGGTTGGAACTACGTGATTTTTGAGATCCTTTTCAACCCAGGTCATTCTATTATTCTATGAAACATTTGAGTGATCCATTAGTAAGCAGCAGCTGGATGTTACATGAACTAGCCAACACCACAAGCACATCTTTTTAAGCTGTTGCAGTATGCTTAATTCAACTTTGAATTCACCATTGCATTCTGCTAGGGGAGAGAAATCAGTATAAATCTTCAGAAAGCATTTCACACATTTTATTAGGAAAAAAAAAAAAAAGCAAGAATGAACTAATTGACACTCATTAAAGTGTCTTTGTTTGATTTGGGATGTGGATTTGTTTCTGTGTAGTTTTTACAAAGCCAAAGGCTGAAGTGAAGATAACAGTGCTACACAATAGCCCTTTCTCATATACTTGGAATTCCAACAGATGCTTTACTTTTGTATATTTACATATATGTGTGGTAGTTATGTATGTTTCATTACATATAACAACCTACCCATATAATTTCTGTATTACTGCATCTGTGTTCAGGAGTTCAGGACTATAAGTTGTGATGAATCTCACAGATAAATAGAAAGAAAATCGCTGGTAAATAACGAAACAAATGACACAAAAACCACGTCACAATTTCTGTGTGGTAACTATTATCCTTTTCCCTTCTATCTTACCTCAGGTGTGTCAGAGACCCAACCTATAGGAGCTACTTGTCACCAGACAGCAGGATTGTCCAGTTCCGATTCAGAGCCCCCAGTTTTATCAGCAGATACTCATCAGTTTACCTACAGTGCAAGATGGCAGTGTGCAACAGATACGATTATTCCTCCCGCTGCTACCAGGGCTGCATAGCCAGAGGCAAAAGAAGCACAGGAGATGGCAGTGGAAATGTCATTATCGTGGTCTCCAGACTACAGTAGCCCCAGTAACACTTCTTCTAATTCTAATATCACGCTGATCACTTATATATGTGATCAGTAGGTTGCACACCTGCTCGTATTTTAATCTTAACTGTGTTGTGTTCCTTAATTTCAAACTTTTGGATCTATATTCCAGATCTGTAAAAGCCTAAACTTTAGTAAAAACTCAGTGATAAACTGTAAAGGATCAGCTTTTTTTTTTTTTTCCCCCCACCAAGACTGTTTCCCTCTCTTGTACTGCATAACTCAAATACTTAGTATTCAAGAATTACTAACCTGCCTTGTAAAGCAGTGGTGTTGCTTTACAAGCTCAAGAAGAATAGGAACCCCTTGTAACCAATAACGTCTGAGCAATTATGTTAAATAGGAGCTCAACAGTTTTTGGAGCAAAAATTGTCCATGCCCAGAGAAGTAATCTCTCCAATACCTATGACCTGTTCACATTTTCCATGTCAGTTTTTATTGCTGGAGATTAGACCTGAAAAAAATATATGTGTTCTTCATGATATACGTATTTGTTTCATCCCTTTACTTTCAGTATCTGTTCTAACTGTATTACTTTGAGCCAGGAATGTGTTCAACTCAATAAGTTAAATTGCCCTATTGGAATGACATAGTGAAAACAAGGAGAAGAGTAACTTTCAGTTTATAATAGAGAAAAGAGTCTTGAAAGTCACCACAGAACTCTACAGGAAAGAGATTTATTAAACTTTGGTAACGTGGTGAGCTTTGTTGGGATGAGAAAAGCATCTTGAAGGCCAGTACTCAGTTTCCATGCAGTGAATATCTGCAAATTGCTCAAACTCATAATGAGATGCTCTGTGTGATGCTTAGATCTGATCTGACCAGGACTCTGTTGAGGTGGCTCTGCCCAGGGCTGGTCCTGTTAATGCCAATCCTAAGCCAGAGGGACCGTAATGCCTGGTAGGAAAATGGCTGAGATTTCAGTCCTGAGCTGGAGTATTTCCTAATTGCACTTCATTCACATAGAACTCCACTGTGCTGGTAACCCTGCTGTTCTGCTTCTCACAGGTAATGATTTAAAGTGCTTGAAGTCACATTTTCTCTGCTATTGCACTCCCAGCCACAGGCAGTGAGGAAAAGTGCCTGTAAATAACAGATCCACTGCAGCTGAATTCTTGTTCCTGTTTTCCAAAATGCACACTAATTTGTTCTAAGGATCAGCTATTTTAAAATACCTTCCATACAGTCATCCTGTTCCCATTTTAGAGGACTTTCCTGAAGACCTCCCAGCCATTTTCTTTGGAGATGGAAGAGGGAACTCACAGCAGGTCATTAATATTTCAGCTCTGCCTGATCCGTGAGCACACTGCACCATCTGAACGTGGGCTTAACGTGCAGAATTTGTAAAAGTTTGAGAACTCAGACTTGGCACCAGGCTCGGGGCTCCAGATACTTTAGAGCAAATGCAGGACAGGATTTCCCCACACATAAGAAACTCCCAAGAATTTGCCTACCAGCCTGTAGGTACCAGCACACAACAGCCACAGAGGGTTTCACTCCTAGTGCTGCTGGACACAGCACTGACCAGGGCTGAGTTTTGTACACCAGTTCATGTTTTAAATGCACATAAAGTGGGTGTTAGCAGCTGAAAATTGCTTGCAAATATGTGTGTGGGTTCAAGAAATGAAAGGCTATAAAGGATAAACGTTAATTCAGTGTTTCTGGAATCAAAAGGTTCAAATATGAAACGTATTCCATACCTCTTGTATATGGAATGATGGTGGCGATGGGTTGATGGTTGCATACATGATCTTAGTGGTCTTTTCCAACCTTAATGATTCTGTGATTCCATTCCACATTTAAAATCAGTACAAATATCTTGTCCTGAGGAAGAGAGCTACATTCAGAATCCTTAAAGACAGTTAAAAATCACGGGGAGGACTGTTTTAAGGAAGGTTATGCTCTGAGACTAGAATGGAAGCATAATTGCAGATGCAATATTTCAATATTTGCATACAAAAGAAAGGAATTTTGTTTTATTCGAAAAAGAAATGGTTATAAATGAGAAGCACCTGGATGTGTTTCAAGGAGGTCTGCTCTGCAGTTTGCCTTTGCTAGGGAACATGAAAGAACACCTGTTTGCACAGCTTTCTTCACATTGGAAAGATTCCCCCAGCAAGGCTCCCAATCTGCCCTGCTGGGCATATGCCAAACAACAAGGCCATCTGTGGCACTATCAGCATCACAGCCTGTGGAAGCTTTAAACTCTGCTATTTGCTGCTGCAGTAGGAAATGCTCCACTTTAAAGAGCTTCGGTCCTTCAGGAAAGATAAACCGCACAAGAGCCGTGGAGATGGACATGAGAGATGTGGTCAGTGGGCATGGGTTGGGCTTGGGGATCTTAGAGGGCTTTTCCAACCTTAATGAACCTATGATTCTAATTGGGGCTCTTGGAGCTTCTACTCTGAAACTAAGTTTTACTCACAAAGCGTCTGCAGTGCAATTAATTCTGTTCAGTTAAATCCACGGCTGGCATTAACCTGGCCTTGTCCAGCCACCAATGCTTCAGCAACAGGAAATTACTACTCAGAACAACTCTGTTATGATATTTTACAAGCTGAGGAATCTCCAGTAAGGACACGCTGATTTGCCCAGGGCAGCCTACAGGGATATGTGCCAAAAGGAAGGTGGGAACAACGGAGCTATCTCTGATCAAAGGCTGGACGTGGCTGTCTGTCCCACTCAGCACATTGCTGTCCATGTCAGACTAACGTCAGCACACCTGAACAGATGCTCAACGAACCAACAGAAGAACATGCTTTGAAACCACAGGAGTCGGAGCTGATGAAAGCACAGTTAAACAACTTCTTCGCAGCACATGTGAGAAAAAAAAAAAAGGGCACATCTGTTGACTTTCCCATTTGTATCAGTTAAAAAGAAAAAGCAACAGAGATATTAAGACCTCTCTCTGGGATACCACACCGTACGAGATGATTAGGAAATAGCAGGAGGTATAAAAGGCAGAAAACTCTTGGCTGCTAACCCCAGCTGCCATCAAAATGCAGGTGCTCAGACAGCTCCTCCTGCTGCCTCTCTTAGCTGCTCTGGCTTTTGTTGAAGACAACTCGATGGAATTCATAGGTATGGAAAGTAACATTCTTTATTGTGGAATTTAATTATCTCTTGAACTATTTATTAGGCAACTGAAGAAAAAAATGTCAAATGTACATCCCAGTGCATCTTATTTTAGCATACTGCTGCGAAATGTTGGCACGCTCAGATCTCAGTAACTGCTAAAGACTGTAATGACAACAGCAACAACAAAAAATGGCAATATATGAGTAGTTATGTCAAATTTTTAACTGAAGAACTCAATTTTGAAGAGATTTTGCTCCAGAATGGAAATATCCTTTCATAAACTGATATTGTATTGAACTAATGGCTGAAGTGACTTGGAAAGCATTGCTTTTTGAAACAGTTTTGGGCATTGTGGTGGCTGTGGGATGAAGTATTGGTACCAAGTCAGGCAAAGCAGACCTTGTAATGCTCTTACAGCTCAGAGGTTTCCTATGTGACACAAAGGTTTGTCCCTAACCCTTTCTTTCCCCTCTGGAGTTCAGCAGTAATTCCAACCTCTTCATCTGGGACTGTAGACGCTGTATAGGAAATGCTTCCTGCTGCTTTAAGCTGTCCTGACCAGAAGAGGAAATGCTCTTAGTGTTTGATAGTTACCAAAGACATTCTTTGTCAGAGTTCTAAGCTGTTTTGACGTTTAATTTTAAAATTCACATCAATCCACAGCAAAAATCCACATGCAAAGAGCTGGGTCTTTTGCTTTGAAATCACAGCTTAGTGGTGGTTTTTTTTTTTCAGGCCACTGAATGTTTATAGAGGAAGAGAACAGCTCACCATGAATACAGACCTATGGCTCCTCTTTTCTGTCCTACGTTGCTTTAAGCTGTTTATTTATTTCTTTTTTGTCCAGAAGTTTCTCTAAACCTTTGCTCACCTTTGTTGCCACTTTTTTGAAGCTTCCCCTCTTTAGCTGCCTCCTTTTAGAGATGGAGAACCAGACCTGTGAGCAGCACCAATCATACACACGGTCCTTCAGAAGCTCACATCTGAAGAGCTCTTTTGATTCCCTGAGTGTGGGTCCCCAGGTGCTTTCATGCAAAGGCTGAAACCCAGAACTATATCCAAAGATCCTCAGGAGAAGAGCATAGGGGGAAGACAGGGCTTGAGGTGCTTGTAACCACCAACCTTACCAATGAGAGCTGCCAAGGTGTCCTATGTCATCTGGAATTTCCAGTTTTGCCTTTGGCTTCACCTGCATGTGTTTCCCTAGCTCCATTTTCTCTGCTATTCATGAAAGTGAGGAGAAAAAAAATATTTCCTAATACTCTTTTCCTATTTGATTCTTCAAGTTTCATTAGCTACTACAGTAGAAACGAAAAATCAAAATGGTACAATGCTTTGCTTGCCTGCTCTGCAGTGGACTGTCCCAGAGTTTGCACAGTGCAGGACGAGACCTTGTTGCAAGGCTGAGCTGGTTGCTGCCCTCTGTTCCCCAACAGATCTTCGATGCGGTGCTTCGCTCTCAGACTCCAACAAAGCATTAAAGATTGACCTCAATTCAAATGCAAACTGTGTCTGGCACATTCAGAGGAGTGATAATCAAACAATTAGGCTCATCTTCTCGTATTTTAAGTAAGTATCTCCTCCAGCTGTTCCGGTAGCATTTCATTCCATCAAAACAGAGCACAGAAAAATATTGAAATGCATCAGGCTGAATATCTGAATTTCATCTCAAGACATTGTAACCCCAAATATTTATCTGTATTTGCTTCAGTAAAATGCTTACTGAGTTTGTGTACCCCAAGGAACCTGGATATTTATCTGTTCTGCTTGTGTTTGGTTTTTTAAATAGATTCAATCCTTCCTCAAGCTGTGAAACAGAAAATATTGAAGTCTATGATGGTCCCTCACCTAATTCACCTCTTCTTGGACAAGTATGTAACAACACTGACGCCGTCCCAGTGTTCCAGTCATCTTCAAACAGTCTGACTTTTCTCATTACAACAAACTCTGTGGATTTCACACGAAACTTCTTTGTCTTCTATTACTTCTTCTCACCAGAAACAGGTAAGCCGGAACTTAATGCAGTCATTAAACACCATTTAAGCTGTACCACTGAAGGAGAGCTTATAAGGCAAAGTTTCATCCAGTAAGTTCTCTGCATTTGTTCAATATATTCTTATTCTGAAGGAAAAATAATAATAATAATAACCAGCCCTAGCTCTTGATCAGTTCCTTTGTTCCTGTTGATCTGAGTGGCATGGTACCTAACACCTGAAAGCTTCAACTGGAGAGAGAACTTGTCACATCCTTGCTTACACTGCTCCAGTGTTTAATTAACTCTGCTACTGGAAAAACACACCCTATGTTTACAGCCTGTCTTTTCTTTTTGAGTTTTCTGCTATCTTGATTTTATTCTGCCTTTGCCTATCAGTCAAACATGAAGACCTTGCACGTCCATGCAGACCATGACCAAGATTTCTTTAACCAAGTCATTCAGGGTTTCTTTTGGTTGGTGCAGTCTTCTCAGTATTCATTTTTCAAAGCACTAACTTACCCCAAAAGTGAATTCAATTCAGTTGTCCACAGTACCAAAGTCAACTCATCTACAGCCGTTTCAGTTTCCTTTACACGGCGCCTTGATACACATGTGCTAACAGGCTCCATTTTATAATGAATTATGAGCTGCCACCTAACCTGAAATTCCCCAAAAATTATAGAAATGTTATCTTTAGTGCCTTTATTCGTTTCTACAGGAATGGAATCCTAGAAAAGCAACCCTGCTGTACCTTTAGAATTTATTTTTTATGGCTCATTACACATACACCATTGTGTTAACCACTGTGTCTGCTCTTCCTTTCAGCAATTGAAAACTGTGGGGGAAACTTGACTGGTCCCAGTGGGACATTTACCAGCCCCAACTACCCAGCAGCTTACCCTGAATTTACCTATTGTGTCTGGCACATACAGACTACAGAAAACTCGAAGATAAGCTTAGAATTTCAGGATTTGTTGTGAGTAGATATTTACTACACGCTTACTACGCACCGTTACTCTTCTTTCATTGTGTTCAGAAGCATTACTTCAAATACAGCAAGCAAAAGTATTTGTAAGCTTATCTATAATATGTAAGATATTATGTAACGTGTGCATAATATGTAATATCTATAATATTATCTAAGACATGTAAGAATATCTATACACCTTGGAAACAAATGTGATTTGCTGACTTTTATGTTCAGATAATCACAACACGTTCCAAATCCCTGTGTGCTACCCCTTAGCTGTTGCAGAGTCAGGCAGCAAGACAGGCAAGCAAGAAGAGGTGCCTCTCCATCAGCTATCGTGGTTGATCTGAATTTAAATTCAACAGTTTTAAGTCTTTTGCTACATAAAGCTCATGTTTTAAAATGGCATTTGTGGGTCATCCTGACCCTCACTGCTTTTTATCAAGGTTGATCCCCTGTATCAGTGGGATGGCAGCATTGATTGACATTATGCGTGGAGAAAAGCCTCAAGACTGAGGGAGTGTTCAGACTCCCCAGTACAATAATTATGTTTTTCTGTTTATAGCCTGGAACTAGATCAGCACTGCCAGTTTGATTTTCTGGCAGTCTACGACGGCCTCACCACTAACACTGGCCTCATTGGAAAAGTATGCGGTGTTTCTCGGCCCAGGTTTGAATCTTCTTCAAATGTCATGACAGTCGTGCTCTCTACAGACTATGCCAACTCCTACAGAGGGTTTTCTGCTCAATATACCAGCATTCTGCCAAGTCTCCCAGAGCCTGACAGTAAGTGTATTTGCTATGAGTGAGAATTTGCTTCTCATTTTCACATACGAATCTTCCCCTCCATGATAAAAGTCAAAAAGATCTGACAGTTGATCCTGAGGATTTCAGCCTTTATTGTGGCAGTCATTAACTCTTTTAAAGTACAAAAACCACATTAGTTTCTCCAATAGACTATAAGTTATTCCCTGATCTATCTTCAAAACAAAGCATGTTGTTCAGTCTTTCTGGTCCTCCTTCTGGACATCTCCACAGAAAACATGATTTTTCTCCTTCTTAGGGACACAATAGGAAATGTTGCCCTTCCAGAGATCTAAAGATAAGCTTTTTTTGACTCACTATATGTTTTTGTTTCCCAAGATATTCAGGAAATGGTCCACACCAGTTGATAAAATGGGGGTTGAATGTTGCAATTTCCTTTACCTCGAGCTGGGAAATTTTCCTTATTGGTTCCTTATTGGTTGTTTGCATACCCATGTTCTCATTCACCAAGGTAGAAAGAGCAGCCTCTAAAACTTTGATGTCTGCCAGAAATCTATTTCCTCTCCCCCATTCTGCAGTAGCACTTTGCTTCCTTTTCCCTTTTATAAATGCTGTAATTCATTACATTACTGTGCTTAAAATTAAATTTTCAGCATGAGTTTTACATGATTTCCCTTGCCTAGCAAATTCTGGGAGCCGAGCACGAAATTCTAAGTGACCTCAGATGTGCGTAAGCCATTTCAGGGTCAGGTTCTGACAAACTGAGAACCATGCAATGGATTCAAGGGCGGGCCTTGAGCTGGACCAGGTGAGAAATAACTGCAGCACACTTTGTGGTAATCTATTTTTTTTAATTTCTCTCTCAATGGCAGCATCCCTTACATGCTCTTCAGACAGAATGACAATTGTTCTGAGCAAGGCTTACCTGGACTCCCTTGGCTATAATGAAACTCACCTGCAGCTCAATGACCCATCCTGCAGGCCAGTTACAACAGACCAAGTGATCTTTTCCTTTCCTTTAAGCAGCTGTGAAACAACTAAGGAGGTAAAGAGGGGGAAAAAGGGACGTGTACAAGCCAACACTAGCTTGGGAATGACAGGGACTCATCAGAACAGTTTATGGATAGGATGAGAATGAATTAACAGCAGATTTACTTTCACATTGCTCACCCAATTACACATTTCCCGTCTTGAAGATGAAAGATATTTTTCTCTGGTAGCACCTAACGATCAACGAGGCTTTCAAAGGAAACCCAGGGTAATCCAAACAAATTAATTCCCAACATTTTTGTATTATATTTCATTCCTGCACAATGCAGTTATTCAGAAGTAACACAGTGTTTGGTATGTGGCTCCATTCTCTGCAAGTGATACAAGTCACGAGGAAAGAGAAAAGCCCTGTGACAGCAAGATTCCTAAGAGCTAGTTAACAGCATGGCTTAGACAAGAGTGACTGAACTGTAGCTTTGTTATTTTCCTCAACTCATGCAACATTCCTGCATGGCACAAATAGGAGTGAGAAGGCTGAATGTGGTTGGTTTGATTGCAACATACCTCCTATTGCAAAGGTATCTTGAGCCTCTGATAAGTGTGGCTGGGACACTTCAACACATTTGCACCTCTCCAGTCATGAAAATTGAGCATTTCACACGATTTCTTCTACAGGAGGAAGATCAGAGCATCACTTACACCAACATCATAACTCTCTCTGAAAGTGGCAACACCATCACCCGCAAAAAGACAGTCCAGATCGTTGCAAAATGCATAATGGAAAAGAATTCAACCCTAGAAGTCATTTATGTAACAGAAAACAATGTAATCCAGAACACAACCTCTGTGGGAATATACAACGTTAGCATGTCATTCTATGATTCTGATTCATTCTCCAGCCCTGTACTTGAGTCCCCCTATTATGTAGACTTGAACCAAACTCTTTTTGTTCAAGTCAGCCTTCATTCCACTGACCCAGACCTTTTGGTGTTCATTGATACCTGCACAGCATCTCCACAGTCTGATTTTGGATCAATAACATATGACTTGATTAGAAGTGGGTAAGACCTTAAATTACTTTGATTGTCTCCTAGTACATGAGAAAATACAAACTGTATGTCAGCTGTAGTCCTTTTACCTTTGTCTCTTCTCCAACTGTTTTTAGCAGGCTGTGGTTGGAAGCTAAATTTGATAGAAAGTTAAAGGCAGTACATAAATGGAACCAGGAAAAACATGTGTCCCATTGCACTGGGAGGTGGGGGAGAAGCACATCATTGTATGCCCACATACTGGGGAAAAATATAATAGCCCTAGTGAAATGCTCTGGGTTAGAGCTAATAGTAGTTGGCAAGAGTGACTGCTGGATGTGGTCCACTTTAACAGCTCTCTGAATTCTGTTGCAGCTGTAACAAAGATGACACTGTGGTAACATATCCACCCCTGGAGCACTATGGAAGATTCAGATTTAATGCCTTCAGGTTCCTGAGGAGAGCTCCATCAGTTTATCTCCAGTGTGATGTTTTAATTTGTGACAGCAACAGCGTGAACTCTCGCTGTACCGAAGGCTGTGTCTCCAGGCACAAGAGGGATACTTCTTCATTCACTTGGAAAACCAAGGCTGTAGTAGGTCCTATCCGCCTGAAACGAGACCGCAGGGCTGCTGAGCATCTAGGTAAGAAGGGCACGTGAATTAAGAACCAAGCTCTTCCTTTATGTAAATCCATTACCTTCCTTCCACAAGTGAGGTGAGTTGCAGCAGTTGAGATCTAGCATGGTATCAGAGCAATGGGTTCAACGACTTTGCATTTTGTGTGAATGTAGAAGCACTTTTCAAACTGACAGCCCAATGGGCTTTTGCATTCAAGTCTTTAAAGCCAAAAAATAAGCAACTTCTAGTTACAAAAGCAGGGTGAGCAGGACCTGACTACTATTCGTAAAGAGTTAGGAAATGAGATTTCAGACTTTCAAATTTGTTTTTTTTCTTTATGAAGTAAACCTTAAGGAATTCAGCTTATTTCTCCAAGTCATAAACTCACTTTAAAAAACAAACGCACCCCCAGGCGTGATCAGGCTTTGTTATAACCTTTGTATCTTGTCATAGAACCAACTCTGAGAAATCTCCTTCCACTCGCTTTCACTTGTTTGTTAGTGCTACAGAAATGCTATGCCAGATGAGAGACAGTGCTAGAGTAAATATCCTCTCACTGTATGCATGGCCTACTGGGACAAAAAATGGAACGAATGGCAATGGAGCAAAAAAATCCTCAGCACCACGCTTTAAAATGAGAGCTACAAAACTTTAAGACAGCTGAGATTTCCTGCCCCAATCCAACAACCTTCAGCACCAGTGCAGGTCAACATCTCAAAAAAATACCTGAGAAAATGCTTACTGAGTGTTATTGTGGTGCCCAACGCTATAAACACTCCACTTTCTTTTCTTTCTGTACAGAATCCCTCACTAGGACAGATGCTGAAGAAACCCCAAACCTACAAGACAGCTTCCACGCTCTTTTATTTGTGGTTTTGATTTCAAACGTTATCACTGTGGTGGCTGTGGCACTAAAATGTCACAATAAATGCCTATCGAGATATAGCTACCAAAAAATCCAAAGTTGATATTATCTGCTCTACAACGTTGTGAATTGGTAACAAATTTCTATTCAGATTTATCACTCAAAGAGGGGAGAATGGGAAAAATGAAGCAAATTAACAGTCCTGCAATGCAACAACGCTTGGAAACACGCTTCAATCTTTTTAATTATTTGAAAAAAGAATATAGATGAAAAACAGACTCCTCAACCTGAGGAGTCCTAGGGCTGCATCTTAAATCAGCATCATCATCTTAAATGAGTTGGAAGAATGCTACTGCCTATTCTAGGGTGTTCAGAAAACATTTCAAAAACTAACTTTAGATGTAATGTTACACATCTAAAGTAGGAGATGATTTAGGTCCTTATTAAAAAAGGAAAAAAAACCCACCCTGTTTTCAAGTCATTTTGAAACTGTACTTAGCATGAGTTAAACAGAGGGACAACCATGAGATAGCTGTTCTGCACAAACTATCCCATCTCTGCAATTGGCTTTTGTAGGTTGCTGATAGTTTTCAACAGACATCAGTTTTCTTATACGTGTCTACTATGTGCCCCTTGTCAACACACTGCTGCCCCCAGTTTTTGCTCAAAGCATCTAAGACACTGAATATAACCAATATCTGTACAAAGTAGGAGGTCCATATACAATCAAAGTTAAATGGTGCACCCCGGATTTTGAAGAGCAATAAGCAGGGTGAAGTACAAAGATTGACCTTTCAATAAGGATGGACTTTGTGACATTTCTACCTCTTTGAATGACAACAGATCAGATACCAACAAGTTACAATAAATACAAAGCAATAAGGCTACTTATAGTGGAAATGCTAAGTCATGGCCTGAAGCAGTGATAGAGCACCTGGTGGAAGGCAGGGCCAATCCAGGGCAGCTCAGGTGCATGCAATGCAGCTCAGTGACCAGAAGGGCTGGAGCCAGGATCCACCCTTTCCCAGACCTCATTTAAGGGCTGGCTGTAGAGGTGAGGGCATCTTCTGCCAGAGATCCCTGCCTAAACAAGGTCTTCCAAAGGTAAGCAGCTTTTTTTCCTTCATTTCTGCATCCATGGCTGCTGCATTTGGGCTCATTTTCATTTGCTGTAGACAAAGACTTTGCCACGCTGCTATTATCATCCTATTACAGCATTAGACTACTTCTTTAAGTGCCAAAATGTAGCAGATCCTACCCAAGCACATCCTACCTGGCAAGGAGATCCCCTTGGAAAGGACTTGCATGGATCGTTCCTGCAGGGATCAATATCTTCAGGAAAAAAAGAGAGCAAAACAGTCTTGTTTTAGGGATCATTTGTGGAACCTACACTCCTAATGTGAGTGCCTGCAGAGCCAGCAAGGCTTTCAAAGGGCCCAGGTTGCAACTCCTCCCTCTCTATGCCTGATTCTTATACAGCTTAAATTAAGCAGTGCAGGTACTACCCTTCCTTTTACAAACAGAGAAATAAACAGCTTCTTCAGGAGTCCCATTAAAATAAACCAAAACCACAAAGAAACCATGTTTCGTTCTAGTGGGAACATGCTACATGTCATAGAGCAAGACAGAAGCAAAGGGAATTGACTACACATACATAAAGAGATATGCTGTAACTCAGTTTATTTAGTGTACTTCATTTTTTCCAAACAGACACTGGGAAGCCATGTTTTACATGGCTTTCAGCAAAGCTCCTTAAATAAATAAGCCACAAAAGGCATACAAAATTCTTATTTAGGAAAACCACTCATTCTTACGATCTTTCATAAAACTAACAACTGTGTACAACAGTGGAGAATTACAGTAACAAAATGCAAGTCATCAACACTGAGGTTCTCTGCGGTTATAACTCCATAAATATGAAGCTTTGTAAAGTGTAACTGCCCTTAAAAACACTTGCACTGGAGTTCCATATCTACGTATGTTTATCTCTCCCCATTAGAGAATCCCTCATTAGAGTCATAGTGTGCCTGTGAAATTTTGTTTTGCTTTGAGTTCTGAAGCAAGTCCATTAAGAGAACCATTCTATCATCTATGTGCGCCTGCAGAGCCTGGATTTGGCGATCGATGTAGTCTGTCAGTTTTTTCTCCATCAGATCCATGTTTTTGGAGATGATCTTCTCCAGATAGGAGCAAATAGGCTGTTGTTCTACTCTGTGAAAAGAGCAAGATAACAGTCAGTATAACCTTGTTTCTTGATGACAAGGAGCATGACAACGATATGGATGCTGGAGTGTAAAATCTCATTTCTTAAGACAATGAAGGTTTGATGGGATTTTTACCATAAGCAAAAACCTTGTCTGTCACACTTTATATGTGCAAATTTTATAATAAACAGAGGATGTAAATTCACCTTCTATTTTTTCTTTTTTTGAAGACTCAATTATGCATTAGAAGACCTAGTTATAAGTAAGGAAATCCACATAGCTCAACAATATACACAAGAGTTCAAGTTTTGCCCACATGACAGGCTTTATTCTCTCCTAGCAAAGCATTTCCAGAGTTACACAGACAGTACACAATTCTTTATTTTTACGTGGTATTCTTTAAAAATACAGGACTGTCCCAGGACCTGGAGATATCCAGGCTTTATCAGAACTCTGCTTCCTAGGCAACGCTCCTGCATCTCACAGTTTCTCCTGTTGTTCTTCGGGTATCTATCAAACTAGCTGCACTGTTGGTACAAACAGTGAGAATAAAATGCTCGTGTTCTCATTTAAACTTGCTAATACGCACAAGCTGCTAGCTAAGCAAGCACACAGTTAACTTACCCAACAGTTTGAATGCCTTCTTCTTTAGTGGCCACGTTTTTATCAAGATGCTTCTCACCACCTTTTAGCCGAAGATGATTAACTTGACTACATAAGTTCTGAAGAAAAGGAAGAAGCATCTGTGGAGCAGCTACATTCTGGATTCTGTCTGTTTGCTCCTGCATAAGCAAAGATCCCATAGCTTTAAAATCATTTCTGAGGTCAACTGTATTCTGCTGTGTATTAAGTTCTGTAGAGTTAGAAGTATCCCTTCCTTCAGGAAGCTGTGCTTTCAGATCAGGATTTACGTTTTCACATCCTGTCTCACTTGTTGCAGGATTTCTGACAGATGAAGATTCACTGACTGACTGATGTAGTGATGTCTGAATGGCTGCACCGTGAAATCCATCCACTGGATGCTCGTTTCCAAAGTCTGAGCTCTTCCCAAACATCCAACTAAGTTTGTCTCCAAGAGGTAAACTGTTCTGCTGGTAAGAAAAAAGATGCGTTTAAATATTAAGTACTTAAATATACTGAAAGTGATACTGGAACAGCACCTATGATATATATTTAATTCCAAGGGATTACAGCATTCTACTAGTGTGGTATAATGACTTTATAAGTAGTTGTGAATTATATTCATAGGGAAAAGCATAGAAAAACTTTCCTTGCATGTACTATGTGTTCATTACTTCATGACATGCTTTTAATAACAATTAAGACAAACTAATCCATCTACTTACACCCCAAAGACAACAAGAAACATGTCCATCACCTAAGAAATCACAAGAAGTGACAAGTGACATGGACAAAAAGACAACAGGGCAACAGTGAAGCTGAAAATGACGACAGTGATACTACATGCTTAACTCTGATCTTCACGTGACTCCTTGAGCACATGTTCTTAATCCACTGCATGCATTTCAGGGTAGCAACAGATAAGCCACGAAAACAACCAAAACTTTTTCCACCTAATCAGTTTAGAACATGCTTAACTGTCACAGAAGGCCAAGTCACAGAACAGCATTATTGATGTTTACGGAGCAGCACAGTCACTTACTTTCTGCTGATACCGGACCATGTCCATGAGTTGCTGAGCACCTGGAGACAACTTAGATCCCATAGATTCCATTATAGTTTGCACTCTGTCTAGATCTATGCTTGATCCTAGTGAAGGAAAATCAGTTGCTAGTTTTGCTGAAACTGTATTCAGTTGTACAATTATTTTACTGATGAGTACCCTTTGTTTCTCACCAATGGAGAGCAGCTAATGCAAGAAGGAAAAAAGGTATTTTGGTTAGGAAGAAAAAAAAACCACAATTCAACATTTTCTTTGAATATGTTGGGAAGTTGATTTCTTTCTGGTTGTTACTCTTAGAAGAATTCTGACTGAACAGAAAGTGCTTGCAGGATTGAAAAATCAATCAATACTCTTCTCAGTACTTAAATTCAGCAATAGCTGTATAGATTTTCCTAAGCTTATTTATCTGCATCACAGGGCTCCTATTACCAATGTACACATCTACAGTGGAGTTCATAGTTCTGACTATATAGTAACTGCAAATTGCCTATAATGTGTTTGATGTATGAAGGCTTTTCTCTATGAGGTAGCAACTTCCTCACATGCAACTTCATGAAAAGAAAATTGGGAAAGAAAACTACAAGAACTATTAAGATATACAACAACCAAATGATCTTAATTGGTTATGTGATTATGGTGCAGAAATAACAGTAATCTGAGGAAGGATGATGCAATTTAGTCAATGAAATGATTAAAAAGACAATGACAAGTTGTAGGTTTCCAGCTCCCTACCTTAATCCTACAAGAGGTCGCTGGGCATTCCAATTTCAGATACTTTTCGTATAAAGTCACAGTTTCAGTTTCACTGCAAAACGAAAGGAGAAATCTGTGACACCCAACCTATTTCCAAGGGAGTTTTAACTTGATATTCCATGTGTGGGCACACTACAGGTCAGTGCAGCTCTGGGGGTTGGATGTATCACTCACACTGCCCCTGAGGCTCTGAGTCGGATGTTTTCATTTAGCTAATTAAGCAGATGTGCCACACAATGGCTTAACAGGCACCTCAGTACAGAAAGGACATGGAGGTGCTGGAGCAGGTCCAAAGTTGGGCAACAAGGCTGGTGAAGGGCTTGGAGAATATGGCCTATGGGGAGAGACAGGAGGGACTGGGGCTGTTCAGTTTGGGGAAAAGGAGGCTGAGGGGAGACCTTACTGCTGTCTTCCAGTATCTGAAAGGTGCCTACAGTGAGAGTGGGGTTGGTCTCTTCTCGCTGGTGACAGGATGAGGGGAAATGGCTTCAAGCTGCACCAGGGTTATTTGAGGTTGGATATCAGGAAAAGCTTCTTTACAGGAAGGGTTGTTAAGCACTGGAATGGGCTGCACAGGGAGGTGGTTGAGTCACCATCCCTGGATGCGTTTAAAAACCGTTTGGATGTGGTGCTCAGGGATGTGATTTAGCAGACGGTTGTTAGGGTGGTACGGTTAGGTTGTGGTAGCGCTCGATGATCTCTAAGGTCTCTTCCAGCCCGAGTGACTCCATGGTTTTACGACCAGCCCGCTCCCGGCTCAGGATCCCGATGGACAGCCCGCAGCGCGCCGCTCCCCAGCCGCTCACTCACCCCGGTGGCTGCAGGATTCCGGCGCTCACCCCCCGCCCGGTTCCGCAGTACTCCTCGCCCACGTACACCTCCATGTGCCGGGCCTCGCTCACCACGCCGACTGCCGCCACCCGCTCGGCGCCCGCCCGGCACTGCAGCTGCAGCACGCACGCCGCGTCCCCGCCGCCCGCCCGCCGCTCCAGCGCCACGGCCTCGCCGCTGAGGAGGGAAGCGCCACAGCCGCGTTACCCCGCCACGCCGGCTCCCCACCCCGGCCCTCCGCCGTCCCTCGCGAGCAGCTGACGGGAGGCCCCCCTTCCCCTCCTCCTCCCTCACCTCGCCTCATCGCGGCTCGCCCCGCGCCGCAGGCACAGCGCCCGGTCCAGGCCGCCCGGCGGCGCGCAGAGCCACAAGCAGCCCACGGTCACGCCGGGCGGGGCAGGCGCAGAGCAGGGCGCGCCGCCGCTCGCCATCACCGCGCGCGGAGCCTGCCGGCCTCAGAGCGGCTGCGCGGGGCGGGGCTGCGCGCATGCGCGGGGCGGCGCTGAGGGCTCGGTGCTGCGGGAGTTGAGTGAAGGGGCGTGAAGTCGCTCAAGTTGGAAGAGACCTTAAAGATCATCCAGTGCAACCACACCACCCTAACTCCAACGGCACTCCGCTAAATCACGTCTCTTTGCACCACATCCAAACGGTTTTTAAACACATCCAGGGATGGTGACTCAACCACCCCGCTTTGCAGCCCGTTCCAGTGCTTAACAACCCTTCCTGTGAAGTTTTTCCTGATACCCAATCTAAAATAACCATAGCAGAGCAGCGCTTGGAGCGATGCAGCCCCTGTATTCCAGGCGGCGTGCTAATGGTAGGAAGGAGAGCATAAATAAAAGATCGGGTTCATTTAATTTGCAGTAGGATCCTGGCTTCTGGAGTCAGGGAGCGTTTCTCTTTCCGCTGTGCTGTGGATGAGAGCCCAGGGAGCTCGGATATCGAGTTCTTGGTGCTTTGGCTGAGGGAATTAGGTCTGTTAATTAGGGAGATTTGCACAGGCTTTATCCAGGACAATATGACAGCGCTGACATCTCAGATTTTTGTTTTGTTTTTGCACTTGAGCCTTTATTTTGCGTGACTGACCAGCGCTGGCTTCGCTCTGCTTTAATTAAAATGAATTAAAATTAATTGCTCGATATAAATGTTTCAGTGTGAAAGCCTTGTTGTCTCAGTCTCCTGTTTGGGTTCCTAAAGGTGCTCAGCGCTTCCGAATTGCACTGCATTCATCTTTGGGAGCGTTCACTGTCTGCTCTTGGTGACGATGCTGTCGCTCCGTGCCTTGGGAGATGATTCTGATCCTGGAAGAGTGATGGAGTCCTCAACATTACAGACTTTTGGTGAGGAGAATTATCCTGTGTTCTATACAGCTGTGGGGTTTCCATGTGTTGATAAGCACTGCATTTTTCATATTTGTAGAGATAAAATAAAGGAAAACAACAAGCTGAAATTCCAGAGAGTACATTTTGCTCAGCTAGCAGCAACCAGTACAAATATCTCAAATATCAGATCTGTTGCTAGCAAGACTGGATGTTTTGAATCTCATATAACCTCACTGTGGTAACACTCAAAGTCCTTCAGAAGAAACCAGCTTGGTCCTGGCATGATGTGGCTGTCTGCCTCCAATCAGCATTTCAGAGAGCTGCTTTTTGTTTGCCTTAAGCTGCCTAACCAGTTTTCTTGCAAGCCTAATGGATGAACTTTTACTTCCCGTTTCCTTAGCAGAGATGAAGTATCAGAGCTTTTTCTGTTGTTTACCTCCAGAGCAGACGGTGCTCGTTCTTCTCGTTCCGTGCAGAGCGGCTGAGAGCCAGGTACCGTGTCTGCAGGGAATCTAGTCATGCTAAGGCACGGCCTGTTTCTCCTCACTTTTGGACTGTCTTTAACTGGAAGCTCTTGTTGGATGAAAGGTAAGCTTTTTGTTTCTGTTACGTATTCAGAAAGTTTACCCAGGAATTCTTGTACTCTCCAATTCCAACCAGAAACGTGCAGACCTTTCAAACCAAGGCATGACTGTCCTTAGGCATTAGGCTGTTAGCAGATCTTATATCCAAGAAGCTCTGGCTTAGGGAAAATCCTGCAATTTGTAGCTTCTTATAGCTTAGTTCTTTGTGATTTTTTTCCCCCATGACATAGTAGGTGTTTAAAAACATCTCCTTCCCCACATGACACTGGTTGTGATAATTGGCAGCTAGTGTCACTGATGGACAGTAAAAAGTGGAGAAAAAGATTTGAAATGAAATTGAAGAATTGAAATTCCAGCAATGTTTTGTTTGATGTCCACATTAACTTCTTTACATTGATGATTAGGATTCCGATTTTAGAAGTAGACGTAATGCCTGAAATATTTCTTAGAAAGTTATATGTTTATGACCGATTTTACAGGTGCTTTCTTGCTTTTCTTATAGAGTCATTATAGAATTATTTGAGTTGTAAGGGACCTTTTGGTGGCTCTGGGGTCATCTGGCCCAACTTCCCTGCAGTGAATGGGGACACCCACAGCTCCATTGGATGCTCAGAGCCCCCTCCAGCCTGACCTTGGGGGTCTGCAGGGATGGAGCACCACCACCCCTCTTGGCAACCTCTGCCAGTGCCTCACCACCATCACTGTAAAAAAGCTTCCTTTCAGATGTCAACATTCGAATTGTGAGAACCGTACTTCTGCCCTTATCTCTACATGCACTGACAAAACAGAACAGATTTTATGATTTAGTTAACAAAGTTATTATTTCAGATAAAAAGACAAAAGTAAAGAGGGAGCGCCAATATTATCTACAAGCCTGTTTTGCTATTAGCAGCTTCCACATTCTGATGGTAATGGCAGTATTTAATGTTAATGATAGTCTACCTGCACCTAGTTTTCAAAAATCCTGATGTTATCTAATAGGTAGAGATCATCATTACACTGAGGAGTCCTCCTCCTTGCTTTGAATTGGTGATTCATGATTGCCCTGTGGCTTCTTTGCAGTTAGTTTCCTTTCACAGAAACCCGGGAGGCTGGGGTTAACTTTGCCCTACTACAAATGAGCAGGAATCTCTTTGTTTCCTCACAGGGGAACAATTTAAGAAGTAGGTTGTTAAAGCCCACGTTATTGTTGACTCTGTAAGCTGTTTAAAAGCAACGGTTGTGTCTTTGTTGACCAAAAGAAACACTAAAACCACTTTAATGAACAAGCAGAAAAAAAGGGGAGAAGTTCTCCCGATTTTCCAAAAGGTCACTGGAGATGGTTTTTGCCTGTAACTGAAACTGGACGCTCAACTGACTTCTTAGCTTTAGCTTCCTGAGTTGGGATGGTGTTCTGAAGACAACTCATAGTGTGTAAAGCCTTTCACCAAAAAATACAGGAGAAACGTGAGCGTAACTGAGCAAGCATCCATCAGCCACCCTTAGAGAGCCCTGCTGCCAACAGACACATCAGCACATTGCACATCCAGCAAGGTGATTTCACAAAACCTGAAGGAACTGAATGGTATTTGAGATGTCAAAATCTCACACACGGTTAATTTTAACTGGCCAGCTGCCTTAAAACTTCCTAGAAGAGGGCAGATGGGTGGACAGGGAGGATAGATACTGACTTTTTCTGCAGTACTTCAGGTTGAAAGCATCCGTCATGGGAAAAGAAAGTGTTTCAAAAAGGACAGACAAAGTTAATAGGTAAGGGTTAGAATATGGGAGATTTAGCTAATTTGGGAGCTTTTCTTTATGTCCTCTGGAAGACTGCAGCTGAAACCAGATTTTACCTCCTTTCGCATCAGTCTGACCATTCCTGAGCTATTTATTCAAGGCATGCTCTGAATACAGGAGCTTTTTGTTTTGGTTAGATTTTTAGATTTTCTTTTACTCGGGATTTTGTGTGATGTTACAGCAGTGGGATTTTATTTTTTTTCATACAATCATTTGTTTTCATAATGACTATATGAAAGAATGACCAAAACTTGAGTTACCATTTCAGTCTGTAATGTAAGTAACTAAGATACAGTTGGTTTATACACCCAGGAACACAGAATACTTTGGCCATGAATGAAAACACTGATTTCTTTGACTTTCTCAGCATAACCCCAGAACTCAGGCAGAGATGGAACAAACCAAACTCAGCACAGGCAGTTTTGGTTTGGGTCCCATGCTGGTGAAACTCCTTTTTCTCCATTTATTGTCTGCTCAGAATTATTTTTCAGCTATCATCTCTGTCCTGGTGCCAACGCCAGACATCACTTACCCTTTCTGATTCCTTAGGAATTTCATTTTTAGGTGCATATTCTGAAGAGGCATCCAGACTTTCCGCATTCGAAATCATTATTCCTCAAAGGTTGACAGGCAGAGAGAAACATCACCCATTTCTTCATGAGGTTTGTTGTTACTTTTGTTTCTAACGTTGCTCGTCTCGATGATCTCTAGAGGTCCCTTCCAACCCCTACAATTCTGTGATTCTGTTTTTCATAATATTGGCCTATATTGCAGGCATGCATACATACTTTATGTTTATGTTGATACAGATTAGATTCTTAAGTTTTCTTGAGTAGTTTTGAGTGAATTTGTTCCCACAGAGATCTAGGACTGCACTAGTCCTGCCTTATGAGACAGAAGTAGGAAGGAGACTGGGGAATATTTGATTCTTCAAGTCAGATTAGACACTGAACTTGAGCTAATGTCCATGCTGTGTATATTCTGTTGTACTTGGTACACAGTCTTTGAGAAAACATGAGATTTCAATCGTAGCACCTGAAGGGCAGATGCTCCCTTGGTACAAGTGGTCCCATACAATCCTACAGGTAAATGAATGAGTTAGAGAGATCTGAACCTTAATTCTTCCGCTCTGAGGTCATTTACCTTTACACCAGATACAGAGTTCAATGATTGAAATAACTGATGATGAAATGGTTAGTCATCTCTGTGCAAACTGATTACCTAAGGAAGTGTTTTCGTGTTGTTCAGCTGGCTGATGGTGATTTACATAAGGAGTGTCACAAAACTTGACGTGACAGTTCAGCAGAGTGCATACTTGGGCTGTGCCTTCCTTGGAAGCCTCTGGCCACCTTCGTCTGCTCTGTGCCTATTTCCTCTCCACTACATCCTCAGGAGCATCTGAGGATGCTGAGGTTCCTGAGCCTGTAAAGCGATACAATGGACGCCTATGTTTAGCTTAATGAACAATTATTTTTTAGTTATTAATACCACAAATGGTAATTATTGACCTTTTTGTAGACAGCATATCTTCATTCCTTCTCCAGATCTCTAAAGGCAGACATACTTAATCCTCTGTGTAGTTTGTATGATTTTTCATTATGTCTTCTATATGATTATTTATAGCCTAGCAGAATTTGAACTTTCCATAGGAAAGAACGTAGAGCGTGGTGCTGAATCTTTTAAGTGCAGAAAGTGTGAGGGGTAGGAAATGTGTGTTTTATGAATCAAGTGAATACGTCACACATACGTGGTAGTTGGAGCTCTGTTATCAAAGAGAGCATGGAACTGGCACACCCAGGTAAAAATTCACTGAATGATATTTCTGTTCTGTTTTCAGGAGCATTCAGATGACAATCTTTCTTACTCCATTAAAACCAGAAATGGAACATACCTCCTAACACTGAAGAAAAATAAGTATGTTACAGAGTGCTCTAGGATATCATTCCATGTTTGAATGTGGTTGCATGCAGCCAAGTATTGTTACACAGAAGAAATCACTTTGAGGGCAGGCTGCCATAATTACAGAATATGTTCTATAGTGTCTCTGTTATGGTGCTGCCTCACAAGCACAAGGTAATATTTTTCTGTGCACAAATTGATTTCAATTAATTTATTATTAGCACCACACAGCAGTAGATTTCCTGGAAAAGTAGAATTCATATCCATTTTTGGCAGGGAGGGTTGTTAGTAATGTTGGAGTTAAGATAAATTTGTCTGTTGTTCTTCGTTGTTTCTGAGTCAGGAACAGTCCAGGCCCTGATATAACATAGTCTGCTCAAGTCCTACTTTGTGGATATTTTAGTTAAACTACTTCAAAATAACACATTTTCCAAATAGCTCAGCTCATTCTGGAGGTATCTCTTTCATGTCTATGCAGTTTAGTAATAATGTAAGAGGAGTATGCTGCTAACAATGTAGTACTTACTAGGATTTTTGATTTATTTCTTGCTTTATAGACCCTTAAAAGAGCAGTAGTTTGTTTTTGTTTGCAGAGACCTTGTTAGCAAAGACTTTATGCTATATACCTATGGGAAAAATGGGAAACTGGAGGCAACACAATCAAAAAACAAGGTATTGTACATCTTAAATTTCCCCTTTCGGGTAAGAGCTTCCTCAAAGCAGAGAACCCAAGCTTTTTGAACTGAAGGCCTTATTAACAGTTTGATAGGACTGAGAGCAGCAGCCAGGATATAGGTGCATCTGTATGCATTTCAAAAGCAAAAGTGAATGTGTGTGACCATTCATTCTGAGTGTCCTTGTGTCTGTACAGTAGAACAATAAAAATTGTTTACATTTTTAGCAGTGGAAAGAGAAATGCAGGTATGCCAATGAAGGGCACCCATAGGAAAAAGAACTATATGCTGGGAGAGAGATTTTGTCAAGGTTTTCTACTTATAGCATTAATGTGATATAGAACAGAAGGTTTCATGTTTTATGAGGGAGCAGTCGTGTCCTCATACTTTTTCTGATGATACAGCATCACTATTTTGTAAGGTGAGAAAGGAGGCACAGGAGATTATGCCAAGATTGAATTTGAGCTACCCAACTAGGTCACCTTTGCATAGTACACTGCTAAAGGTACAATGTACAATGTACATTTATGTACATTGAAATGTACATTGAAATGAAATGTACAATGGCAGCATCAAAGCCCTGTAGTTTTGAGCAAACCTTCAGAATGCTTTTATGTTTAATTTCAGCCTTTACCTGCATGCTGGCTCAGTGAGACTGCTTTGTGCATGCAGAGCATCTTGGATCAGCCTTGGAGAGCATTCTATGTGAGAACAAGATAAGCAATAGAGACACAAAGAACTCATGAAAAGATGGTGACAGGTTAAATAAAAAAGCTCTTTATTTTCTAGAACCAGGGGACCAGATGCTGTAGTAGCTACTACTCATGTCAAGCAATATTTTACTCCCAAGAAATTTGGGATTATTTTAGAATATGGAACACTTTCAATTTGCAAAAGTCAGCTGTAACATCCTGCAAATAATAAGGCTGGTTACCAAATACGTTTGAATTTGAACACAGCAACCTTATTTTGTCATTAATTATGGGGTCTTGTTGCATTTCAGACACACTGTTATTACCATGGTGCTGTGGAAGGAATGGCTGACTCGGTGCTTGCTCTTAGCACGTGCGATGGCCTGAGGTATGACCTCTTGCTTTTTGCTTGGAGATAATTAACTGTACAGCACCACCAGTAAAAACAAAACAAAAGCCTTAATATCCATCCTACTCATGGAAAGAAGCACCATCCTGTCTTGCAAAGGTTTTTTACGTTTCACATCTTGATGAAGCTGAAACTCGATACAGGTTTTATTCTTTGTCTCCACTACTATTTATCACTTATCTGAAATTCCTTCGGGGAGAGCATGATCTAAATACATGTAGAACACAGGCATGAGCAAAGGCCTGTAATACTTGATACAAGTGCACAGAATATCCTGTCCATGGAAGGGACCCACAGGGATCACTGAGTCCAACTCCTGGCTCCATGCAGAGCGATCTAAGAGCTCAACTATATATCTAAGGTGTTGTTTGTTGCCAGGGAAGCCTGTTCCAGTGCTTGACCATCCACAACAGTTATGCTTTCCCAGTAATTGCTTCAAGGAGCATATATTTCCATAAGATCAATATCTTCAATGAGTACTGTTTTTTTCTTTTGAGATCCTGTTGGGCTTCTGAATTCACTCCCTGTACTGAGATAATTTGAGATAATAATTTATGTTAAGATAATGGCACGAATAATTACGCTTTGAAGTGTTAATCTACTGTTCACTCCCCTAGTCATAATCACGAGAGAGAAATAATTCTTCATTCTTTTATGCTCATCAGAGGAATTATCTACATTGCTGGCAAATGGTATGGAATGGAGCCACTCAACACATCCAGAACGTTTGAACACAGGTTTTACCAGTTAGAAGACATGCAGCATATTCCTTTCCACTGTGGTGTGCTGAATGACAGCCTTCATCATGAGATGCAGATGTTTGCGAAGCAGTCTGTGAAATATGCATTTTCACTAAACAGTACCTCTAGTAGGGAAGAGCTTTTGAGGGTAAATACATTCCTGTTTCTCTCCTGAGTGCTACAGTCCAAACTATTTCCTCAGTCTGTCCCAGCAGCAAAGGGTCTGCAGAGCCTTGCTTTGGCATGGTATCACTGCAGGTGGGTTTGGCTGAGCACCTCCTGTTGCTCATGTTTTCATGGACCCCAAACTGTTGGGAGTCCTGATAAATTCTGAAAGAGAAGAATAGCACAATGGGAATCTAACATCACTTGAAGCAGTCCTTTAGCAGAGCTCAGCCCATGGGTGTATGGAAGGCATGAAGCTGCCATTCAGCTCATGCATCTCAAGGTCTGACCAAAAGTGAAGTGCTAAAGTACTGATACTGGCGTGGAAATCTAAAGCTAACTTACATTTGAGGCCAGTTTAAAAATGCAAATTTCTTTATAAATACATTAAATGAAAAAGATGAGAAGGATGAGTTAAAAACCTTGAATCCACTAGGCAGCATTAACTTACTGTGCTTTCTAATTTGCAGAAGAAGCGAGCTGTCCTGCCACAGAAAAGCTATGTGGAATTATTTGTGGTTGTGGATAATCACAGGGTAATGACTCTGTAGAATGCTAAATACCTTTTGTTAAAATATTAACACTTTTCACTGACGTTTGCATGTGGCATCTTACAGTTTTTGCAGAAGAGCTCTGATCCTGCTGCAGTGCAAAAGGAAACCGTTGAGCTGATTAATTATGTTGATGGGGTAGGTCTGTTCAGTCACCTATGTTCAGTAGCTTTTATATGTCTTAGTTTTCAGAAGAGAAAATAATTCAGTAAATCTGTTGCAGCTGTGTCCTGAGAGTGTATTTGGAAGTTATGTGGCAATTGGTGATATTAAGGCATGCTGCGTATCTGTGCACAGAACCTGTAGAGGTGCAGACCACAAACCTGAGGTCTGCAGCACTTTTTATGCTTCCAGGAAGAGTATTTCACTTGTTTGCAATTGTTTTTTCCTTAAGCAAACTGTCAGCATTGTGAACAATTCCATGAGGAATGCAGTGACATGCTCACAGTTTCTCCTCAGTGCATTTAGCTAAGAAAATAAATGAACATTATCTTTCCAATTTCACCTGAAAGATCTCTTTGAGCATATTCATGAGTAGATTGCCTTCAGTCATGTATTTCTTAATATTAAACTAGATTGTAACTATTCAAAGAAACTAAACTTATGTCTCAGACACTGTTTGGCTTCATGTTAATGCAGCAGTAATGAAAAAATCTTTCGTAACTCACTTGAACCAGACTGATGGATAGTCATCACCTTTTTTTCCCCCTTTTCCAGATGTACAGTGCATTGAATATCCAGATTGTTTTGGTTGGATTAGAGATCTGGACAGATAAAAACCAAATCTCTGTAATGGAGGGTTCAGCTGGAGATGTACTGAGTAGATTTGTTTCTTGGAGACAGAAAGATCTTCTTAAGAGATCCAGAAATGATGTCAGCCATCTCATAATGTAAGTTTTGATTTAGTGGCAGAACTGGCCACGCTGCCAGAGTTGCTAATATATGTGGGTTTTGTTTCACGTCTGAATGAAAATATAACTGGAAAACAATTCCCTCAACTTCCAAACAGCTTTAACCTGGCAAAAAAGAAATCAAGAAAATGTAATGAATATGGTTTGATCTTAGAAGCACTGATACAGCAGGCTTTGGCGACTGATCATTATTTCCAATCAGTGTTATCCCAATATTATTAGTTGAGACCATGATATCGTGCAACTTTCTTCTTGTCTTCAAGAAGACCAAATTATGCTTTGCAGTATTTGGTTCATCAGCGCCTTTTAGAAGCAACCTTAAACGTTCAGCTCCTCTTTCAACACCACCTTCAAATTGCTTCTGTCACAGAGGGAGAGACTCTTACGGCGGATCCATCGGAATGGCTTTTGTGGGTACTGTCTGCTCACAGGTGCAGGGAGGGTCGATCAGCACTGTAAGTACATTCCGTGGCTGACTGTGTTACTGTCACACTATGATCCTGTTAGAAGGAATAGAAAGGGCAGCAGAATGTAGCCCTGCCTGAAAATGAACAGTGGCAAACTGCCATTTCTTGCTGGTTTTGCTTTGCAACACAATTTTGTGTCTTTGTAGCCTCTAAGAAACCTGTGGCTTGAATAAGTGGGCAGGTAGAAACATAGTACTTTACTTTCATCATTTTTAACACTGATTCTCTTTATTAGTTGAATCATAACAATGTGTTACGTCATGCTACAGTAGTTGCACATGAACTGGGACATAACCTTGGAATGAAACATGATGATAACAGGTGTCCTGCATCCTACATTATGTACAGCACAGATAAGTAAGATTTCCATTTAATTTAATGACTGTTATGTATCTGCACTGCCTATGTCTTGTAAACTGAGAAGATTCCACGAGCACCAAGGAACTTTTGTGAATGAGAAGTTGTTTGAAGATTTTGATCACGCAGTGAATGTTTGGGCTTGATTTCATTTGCATTTATATGAATCTTTACCTGTTTTCTGACCTGGTCAGAAGATATTGCAATCAGGCATTTTTGGACTCAGCACAGGGATTTTGGAAGCCTATTTTGTATAAGAATGTATAACCTGATGGGTCTTTTTTGCTTCTGAAAAAAGGAAAATCTTTTTTTATTTCTAAAAGTAACACAAAACAAAGCAAAAAGAGAATATTTCAAGATCTCTAACATCTGGAAACATGACAGTATTTTATTGAATTGTCTTTTTTGCAAGGAAAATCTAATGAAAACATTGTGCTTTCCAGGGGATCCAGGAATTTCAGTTCCTGCAGTGCTGATGATTTTGAGAATCTTGTTCTAAATGGAGGAGGAAACTGCCTCAGAAATCCACCCAAAACAAGTAATGTTTACAAAGAACCTGTCTGTGGTAACAACGTGATTGATAACAATGAAGAATGTGACTGTGGAAAGCCACAGGTAATGGAATTCAGCTGTGTACTTGTGTTATACTTGCACACCTGATTTGTGTTAACATCTGGGGAGCCTTTCTTGAAGTTCACATTTTTGCAAGCTGTATAAAGGTTTGTTTTAGAAAAAGCCTAAAATGATACAATCAGTTTTGGTAGGAACTCAGTTAAGGGCTGCTGGACTTGATAGAGCTTTGAGTCATTGCCTAACAGAGAAGTGCATTTCAGTGCACAGCATGTGAAAATGCCATTGGTTTTTGTGCTGGTTTTAGCAAGGTAGAGATTTATGTAACAGAAAAGTGATCGCTGGTTTGTGTAGCACTTACATGTTTCCTAACTGTAGCCCTCAAAATTAGCCCAAAGCACAGTTACTTTGGTCATATTCACACTGTGAAAGTGTCTTTCTAAGAATGGGGCATATTGGCTCGTTCTTTGGTGTCTCCAGAAAGACACTAATAAATCAAAAGGCTGCCAGTAACCCCGTTGCATAAGTCTTCTTCTAAGCCAAGAAAAGATATCAGCATTTCCCTACACCAAACTGCCAGTGTAGTGGGAAAATGAGACAGGGTGGGATATGTAGTGTTATTTTTAAAACAAACTGGTCTGCTTCTTCAGTGCCTGCCTAAAGTGGAAACCTATCTTATATTCCTATGGCATAGCCCATCAAAATAGGTGTTTTTCTGATGACTTGTTAAAAAAAATACAGCCAGACTGTATGTTGCTTTCTGTGAGAGGCTACCAGTCTCAGCATATGCAAGACAGGCAGTGTATGCAGTGCTTGGTTTGTCCATGCACATGGCTTGACCAGCTACATTCCTGGCTACACAAGGTAGAAAGATGGTGTTCCCTTCTTTCTGACTTTCTCAGGAATGCACCAACCCTTGCTGCAATGCTGCCACTTGCAAACTGACGTCTGGATCACAGTGTGCACAGGGACTGTGCTGCAAAAACTGCAAGGTAGGCTTTGTCTGATTAAGCTGAACTGATATTCATTACTAGGCTGGCTTTCTTAGGAGGTGTTGGAAAAGAATCCCATAGAATCTCTTGACATAGTTCCACATCAAACTACATTCACCAGCAGAGAGCATGGAGGTAGAGAATTTGTCTCTTGATGAGTTCTGAAGCTTAGAAATGGAATCTCATCTCTGTGTCATCCCTCACAGGAGGAAGAAGTAATCAGGGGATTCAGCAATAGTCATCTCCATTATGCAACTCCAGGCATCTGCACAGTCTCTGATTGTTGGCTACTTTTTAATTTGTGCTTGTGTGTGCATCTGTACGACCTACCCAACTCTTCTGCAAACTCAGCTCAAAAACTTTGTAGCTACGCCCTATGAACCTGAGGGAAGTTTGAGACTTTTTATTAGATGTTAATCAAAAAAAAAAAAACCCCACCCTATTTTATCTTCTTTAAAATCTTCTTTAAAAACAGATTCTCAGCTGTCATTGTTTCATGTTTGAAGTCGTGCCGTCACGAAATAAAAGTGAGGCAGCATTCTTCTCCTGTTCCAGTTTAAAGCAGCAGGAACAGAATGCAGATCAAAAATGGATTTCTGTGATCTCCCTGAATACTGCAATGGAAGCTATGCCTACTGTCCAGACGATGTTTACATCATGAATGGTTACCCATGCAACAACATGGAAGCATATTGCTACTACGGAGTGTGTCAGAGCTTTGATTCGCAGTGTGAAGCTATATATGGAAAAGGTAAGTTTATAATTCAATGTAAAAAGACTTGTAGTCTTCTAGAGACGGTTCATAGCTTGCTTTTTCTTTCTCATGTTTTTAAGACTGTGTGATGGCTTGCTAAGAATCTCTGTTTTTCATACAGGGGCACGAAAAGCACCTGATCTGTGCTTTAAAAAAGCCAATATTAAAGGAGATAGATTTGGAAACTGCGGAATGACAGGTGGAGTGTACAAGAAGTGTTCTGTTCAGTAAGTCAGTACTAAACAAAAGCCACCCCTAAGATCTCCAGTGAAAAATACACATTCTGTTATGTACTTGTAGAGCATAGAGGTTTAAGATGAGTATTTGTTTAAAATGCAGCCTACATTTGACTGGCTGGTGTATTTGCATTTATATTGGGGGTTTTGGGTGTGTTTTTTTGCTGTTCATCTTCTCCCCAAGTGCCATTTGTTCACTACAGGCACAGTCTGTGTGGCAAGCTCCAGTGCACTTCTGTTAGCCTTCAGAATCTTCCTGCGTGGAGTGTTGTCAATAATGCCTCTGGGGTTTTATGCTGGTCCTCTGATTTTGACTTAGGATCAGATATCCCTGATCCTGCTCAAGTTCATGATGGAACAGCATGTGGAGAAAAGAAGGTAAGACAAATGTCAGCACATGTACACAATATATTGCACCAGCTGGAAAGCTCTTAACTTTCAAAAGCATTCAATGGTTCACTTATGTATCTACCATCATGTCATTAAAAATCTGCTTGTTGAGAGATACGCACACAATTAATTAGCTCTTAAAAACAACCTGTGGTGCTACAAATCAGTGAGCAATCTTATCAGTTACTCAAACTATTTCCATCAAGCTGCATCCGTAGATTTAAGAAAATCTGAGATAAATACAGCTATAAAGCTGTTAAGGACTCAGTGTTCTGTATGCCAAGGCAAAGGGCTGATAAGCAAAAGCTGTAGACTTGAAAATGTTTATTATTATATAGTATATGTATAAAATGGATAGGATCTGGGGGGAATGTTGCATTTAAAAGTCATTTTTTAAATACTTTCCCAGGCCTGTGTAGCTTTTGAGTGTGTGGATGCAAGTCATCTGGGCTACAGCTGTGATGTAAAGCAGAAGTGTAATGGCAATGGGGTGAGTAGATGGTGTTTTCATGCTCTACATCTTGAAGATAGCTACAGAATGCCTCTGTAAAAGCAACAGCCTGACAGATGGCTTTGCTTTATTCTGCTCTGTACTGAAAGTTAAATCCACGTTTTAATCCATAATTCACGTTAGCAGTACTGTAAACACCTTAGCACTAACATTGCAAGACACTTCTAAACATTTCTTCTGAATTTCCCTCAGGACTACTCGAATATTTCTGAGTTGTCAAACTGTAAGAGGAGAGTATTCCTCTGAGGAGGACAGGCTGGTGATTCAGGATGCAGATATTTCTCTGTGAAGAATGAAAATGGAGTCGGACAGTTTAGAACTGAGAAGTTCTTTCACTCAGCATTCTGGAATGTTGTGGAAGCAGTGAGCTTATGCTTCCTATGCTTCTGTGCAATACTATGCAATATTTCTTGTTCCCACCTGCAGTTCTTAATGTGTAACTTAAGATACACATCAGAGGTTGAAAGTGGCTGCTTCCAAAAAGCCTTTCCTTGACTAAACCCCTTTGCATTGGCTGCAGGTGTGCAACAACAATGGCAACTGCCACTGCAATTCTGGATGGGCGCCTCCATTCTGTAACCAGTCAGGCTACGGTGGCAGCACTGACAGTGGTCCAGCTCACATGGGTATGATTCTGAAACTGCTTTCTTACTGCTTCCAGGGTCCCATTTAATTAATCTACTCATACAGGGTGGTTTTCTGTCTCTTTTCTAAGGCTTTTTTTTCTTTTTTCTCTACTGCTCATTTGTGACTGCCTTGGAGAATGACCAGCATCTGATTTGTGTCTGCAGACCTACACAAGTTGGTCAGAGGGAGAAGCTCCATTTTAGTTTTATCTGAGATAAAAAACAATACACTCATTACTTAGAATTACTTGTACATTTTAAAACAGTTAGATGTTCTCAAATATTTAATTCCTAATTATTTTGAACCTGATAAAACATGTATCATATAGTAAGGCTACAGCTTGAGTATGAAACCAGCAGCCTTTACATATGGAAAAGGTGTCACTGCAATGAGAGGGATGAAGGAGGTTCATGCTGCATCATCACTGCTCAGCTGAGAGCCATGAAATTATGCAAAGGGAAGAAGGAGTGAATTATTCTGGCATTTACACTGAGAGACCAGGGAAAGCCTTTTACACCTGTGACTAAAAGGAGAACGTTGTATGTCCTACAGCACAGGCTGAGTAAGGCAAGGACAATTTGTGATTACGGAAATGCAAATCCTAATTATTAGTTTTGCTTTATAGCAACTTAAAGATGGCAATTCTTACCTCAGAAAGGTATTTTTAACTGCAAAATGCTTTCATATGAGGTGAAACAAGACAGCTGTCTTACACGATTGCTGTTATTTTTCTCCAGACTCATCACTTCGGGACGGCCTGCTTATTTTTTTCTTCGTTGTGCTGCCAGTACTGATTGTGACTGTAATAGCAGTAATTAAGCGTGGCGCAATAAAGAGGAAGTTTTGCAGGAAAAGTAGAAGACATCACAGGTATGATCCTTATTACAAATGCATTTCAATGGCTGTGAGGGTGCTCTAAATCAATTTAGCAATCTAGTTAGACGCTCTGTGTAAAAAATACTACATAGCCCCCCAAAGAGAAAGACTGTCCTGCTATTGGTAAATGTGAGTACTTTCATACAGATGCTCTGATCGTGACTTCTCAAGCATTTTTCTTTCTTAAAATGCCCTGCACCGTTCTCATTGGTACTTGTAATTGTGTTCATGGGCACAGGGACATGGAGCATGGGTGGTGAGGCACTGGGACAGGCTGCCCAAGGAGGCTGTGGATGCCCCATCCCTGCAGGCATTCAAGGCCAGGCTGGATGTGGCTCTGGGCAGCCTGGGCTGCTGGTTGGAGACCCTGCACAGGGCAGGGGGTTGGAAGCAGATGATCTTTGAGGTCCTTTTCAACCCAGGCCATTCTATGATGATGAACATGGAAATTATTTGCCACATCCAGGAAGGGGTGAAGTCAGAAACATGAGATCTGTAATTGCGTCCCTTTGTAAGCATTCATCCCTTCATGCTGTCAATCCAAATGGGAATTTTCCTGAGGGTGGTGTTTTCCTTTCAGGGATAACAATGCACAGCAACCAAAGCAAAGCAACAGACCAACCCATACCACAAGAAATGATCAGGTAAGGCAGATGCATAGCTGTATTACTTCGTGCTGAGTAATCCCAGTCATACAGTGCCTTCACCTAAGGCCCTTACTGATTACGTTGTGGTTTTATTGATACACAAAAGCCATCAGAGGCTGTTGGACAGGACAAAACACGCTGTCTGAAAGTTGCATAGCATTAGCTCTGTTGAGAATAGTGAGCTACGATTTGAAATGTGTTGCGCTAACCTGATTATCTGTGCCATCTCTCCTAGCCCACCACAGCAAGCCCTGATATTTTCACCATATCGCATTTTCCCGGTCCGAGGTTTGTATGACTTAAACGTTTGCTACAGGGGGCAAAATTCCTGCTCAGAAGTACAGCTTGTCTCGGTGCCGAAGCACTTCTCAAAGCTGTTCCCCCCTCCAGGCAGGCAGGACAAACGCGGTTTCCCGTGGTTCCTTCAGGACCTCATCGCCCTGCTGTCCCATCACCCCGACCCGCTGTGTGAGGAACTCCCTGGGCCACAACTGCTGCGAGGAACTGATAAGGAGAAGCACGAGGGCTGGCATCTCGCAGCCCTCCACGTGTGCATCCTTCCAGCAGCTCGTACCACTGGGAAAGACTCGGTGCCGAGAGACCCTGAGCACAGCCTTTGTATCATTGCCTTACTGTATTATTGCCTAAGAGCTGCTGGCTGCGTTTGTGCCTCATCTACCTCACCCTTCTTTTTGTTTTTATTTCTTTCACGGAAAGCTTGAAGTCCAGCTGTGGTTGCTTTAAACCTGTGGCAGAACGGGGCTTCTCAGCGCACAGGGGAGGAGAAGCAGATGGGGGTCATTTAACAGCCGTCCAGTTCCGTCCTGTGCGGGCAGCCCGCAGCTCCTTCGGGCCCCTTCGCCCCCTCCTGGAGGCAGAAACCCGCGGGGCAAAGCGCGTCGTGCAAGCAACGAGCTCCCTCGGGAGTCCTCAGAAGGCAGAATCGCACTAATGCGATGACTTAACGTACATCACCGGCACGATCTTGATTTCATGGCCGTGGGCACCCGGCAGCTGCCGCACCGTTCGTCACCCTCCACGTACTTCCCGAACCGCCGCCGCCGCCGCGAGGACCGCCGCTCCGCCAGGGGGCGCTCTCGCCGCGCGCCCGCTCTCCCATTGCGCCTGCGCAGGGCCGCCCCCTCGGGGAAGCGGCGTCTGAGCGCAGTGCGGCGGCGATGGAGCGGGCGGACGGCGGGCGCGTGGTGCTGTGCGTGCTGTGCGTGCTGTGCGGGCTGCCGGCCGCCGGCAAGTCTACGCTGGCCCGCGCTCTGCGCCGCCAACTGCCGCTCCGCCAGGGCTGGGACTGCGCGCTGCTCGTCTACGACGACCTCATCCCGGAGGAGGCCCGGGGGCGGGGCGAGCCTCCTGACGGGGAGCCCCCATTGGTCAGTGCCGCTCTCCTTCCCGCCTTCCCATTGGCCGCGTCGCTCGGCCGCCGTTGCCGGGCGGCGAGGCGCAAACCGCGCTCCTCGCTCCGCAGGACTCCGCCTGGAAGCGGCGGCGGCGGGAAGTGCTGCGGCTCCTGGAGCGCTTCTTGCGGGAGCTGCGCTCCGGCTCCCCCCTGCCCGGCCCCGCCCCGCCCGCCTGGGGCCGCTTCCTGAGCTGCTGCGCCGAGCAGGGGCCGCTCCCGGGGCGGGACGGAGGCGGTGCCGCGGTCCGCCCGCTGTGCGTCGTCCTGGATGACAACTTCTACTACCGCAGCATGCGATACGAGGTGTTCCAGCTGGCTCGCGAGTGTAATTCGTGCTCCGCTCCTCCTGCCGCACGCGGCCGGGCGTGGGTCGAGCGGGGCGTCCTGCTTCGTGTCGGCCGGTGGCAGCGGGGTGGCGCTGGGGGGATGCAGGAGGGTTGGACCTTCCCGGCAGGGCAGCCTTTGCCGCCCGTCTATACGTGTACCGGTGCAGCGCACGGGCTCTCGTTGGTCTCAGAGCTGACGGTGGCTGCGTTGAAAAAACACTGTTTTGTAGCCGAGAGTTTGCTCTGTCAAACCGTGTTGTCGTGCCCTTTGTACCTGTTGTAGTTTCCGTGGAAATAAACAGGAGGCGCTACTTTTGGAGCGAGCAGCATAGGAGCTGCTGGGTCTCACGCTGCCGTTCTCGGTGTGCCGCCCTCAGAACTGGGCTCCTTCATCCGGAGGATCAGCACTCGTGCACGGCCTCGTCCAGACAACTGTCCATTGCATCCCTGCAGATTGCCTGGGCTTCTGCCAGCTCTTCCTGGAATGCCCCCTGGAGCTGTGCCTGCAGAGGAACCGCCTGCGGGGCAGCCCGGTGCCCGAGGGGACGATCTGCCGTATGGCACAGAGAATGGAGCTGCCAGAGCCTGAGAAGAACCCCTGGGAGCAGAACAGCCTCATCCTGAGCTGCTCTGCCTGCACCCTGGAGGAGCAGTGTGATGCCGGGCTGATGGAGGCTTTCCAGTGAGTTCTGTTTGCACATACGGGCGGTTGAAGCTTGTTGTCATTTCATATCATGAAGCTCTTTACTGTGAGAGTGGTGGGACCGCCACCTGTGGATGCCCCGTCCCTGGAGGGGTTCAAGGCCAGGTTGGATGGGGCCCTGGGCAGCCTGGTCTGGGATTAAATGTGGAGGTTGGTGGCCCTGCATGTGACAGAGTGTTGGAGCTTGACGATCCTTGAGGTCCCATCCAAAGCCATTCTATGATCTGACTTCTCTGTAACTATTATCTCACTGACTGTCTCATAAATTTAACTGGGAATGGGGGTTTGCTTTCATGAGCTATCATGACAAAATGGAAGATAGATTTCTGTCAGGACTGTTGGATTAATGCATTTCTCTATTCTTTGTTTCCTTAGCGTGCAGATAATTAATTTGCTGGACGCTGCGTTGCAAAACCCCGTGAAGCAAAACAAGGAAGACACTGAGCAGAAGGTAGAGTGCTGTGTTTTAAAATCCATAGCTCTTTCAGATGATAGGGAATCAATTTCTTCTGGAATTGTGCTCACAACACCACAGTGACAAAAATTCAAAGAGTTCTATTGCGGTTCTGGGTGGCAAAAGCATGCACACGGAGGCTGATCCTATTTGAAGAGGAGAAGGAGCAGACGTGCACTGCGCTGGGCACTGAGGTGGTGCTCACATTTCTCCCCGTTGGAGAATGAGTACTTCAGAGGCTGATCATAACGTGAACGAATTCTCATCTGTTTGCACGTTTCTCCCTGTCTGTTGGTCCTTTTGGATAGGAAGCAGATCGAGCGATCTGTGCAGCCAGTGCTGTCCATCAAGCTGATCAGACGTGCAGACGAATCATCTCTCAAACTATGAAGGAGGCAAAAGGTACGTGAGGCACAGCTGAGGTGGAGCACAGCCAAGCTGTTAGCTGGCACCGTGAGGTTAACCTGTGGAATCCCTTGGGATTAATTGGATTCCCAACCCTGCAGCTGTGACCAAGGCAGTGTCCTTCAGAAGCCTTGCCAGAATTATTGAACAACACGAGCCAAAGTTATGGTAAATGTTAGCTTCTAAAATGAGCATAACATGGCAACTTGAATTTTCTTTAAGATAAGAACGTGCTCCCAGGTGAGATGAAAAGCCTGGCAGAAGAACTCAACAAACTCAAGGCAGAACTTTTGGAAGATCTGCGGCATGGAAGTCATGTGGGAAACGAATCTGGCCAACAAAATCCCACTACTGACCCTGCTACCAGTGTGCTTTCTTCATTCCAACTTGAGGCAACCAATATAGTTAATAAATACATTCTAAAGTAATAATACAGAGAATGTTGGGTTACTTTGAAGAGTAAAGAGCGTTAAAAACGTAACGCTGCTTTAGCAGTACTGCTGAAAACACCCGAGAGTGACAGCTTCCTTCTCAGGGCTCAGCCACCTCTAACTCCTGCTCCTGGTTTATGGAACAGGGATGCTGTAGAGCACAGCAGCCTGGAAGGAATGCCTGGAAGTCAAGTTCCACTTCCCTCTTGCAGTGGGACCATCGGGCTGGCCTGGCTTTCCCAGAACCTCATCCAGCTGAGGTTTCAAAGAGCACCTTGAATGGCAGCCTGCTCAGCTCTGTTCCCAACAGGGAGCTGAGCATTTGCACAGCTCTTTTGTGCCTGACAGGGTGTAAAAGCAGTGAGATGGCATTTAGCACGTTGAGTGATAGGTTAACAGTAAATGAACTGCAGCATCCAAAGTCAGGATACAGACAGTTATGCTCCATTCAAGTGCTGTCTCAGTTTCCCAAGTCCATTTTAGGACAGGCTCTCGGCCTCTCTACAGCAACACCATAAAGGAAAAGATTTGAAACACCTTAAATTGAGATTCAGAGCTGCAGGCACACATGAATACAGGTTGGAATAACTTGGATGTCCAAAGGAGCTTAAAAGTTGGTGCTGCCCTCAAAGCTGTTACAAGACATTCATTTCCATGCATAGGGACATCCAGCTTAGGGTGATGAAAGGCTTGATCTCACCTTCCATACCTTACCTAAAGCACACCTAGGCATGAGCAGCTCACCAGCTGATCCACGTGCAATTGAAAGATGAATCACTGTAAGGCTTAATTAGAAAGTATTATTTTATTCTTACCTTACAAAAGCAAAGCTCCACAACATGAACTACACTAGATATAGTCGAGTTATTTCAGAATTAACCCTGTCTTCTGAGAACATCCACTACACAGTAAAATTTACTTTACAGTTCTAATGGATTTCATTTTTGCATACAAAATATGCTCTTTACATTGAAATACATATTATTAACAAAGCAGATACTTAGAAGCACATATACAAAGATTGCTCAATGAAAAATGCTTCAGCAGGGTATATATTTTCCTGCACCAAAACATCCGTTTGCTGTAGATTCTCAAAGAAGTTGAAAATTAATAGAAAACTTGCCAGTGAAAACTTCTAAATTACATTCCCATCGTCCAAAGAAACAAAAAGCAAAGAAGCAAACCCCAAAAACATCCTGGAACAGAAATACAACAGATCATTTTGCTAGGAAACACTGGCACGAACCTTTATGTTAAAATGCCAATTAAAGTTTGATGTCAAAATTAACTTTATCTAAACATCATATCTGTGACAAACCAACTATTACTACTCTGTTGGCTGTTTTACAGTTGGTTTAAGCATTAACTGAGATGATCTACCAAGATCTTCACGCTTGCTGGAATACCTCTCAAAGTACTGAGTCTGTATGAAGAGTGCTATAAATAATGCATGTTCAGATCATCAACAAATCTGTAAAATAAGCTATCACAATACAAACAAACAAAAGAAAACCATTAACTTAATGTTTTGCAACTACAGAAGTTACCAGAGTCAAGGTATGGGGGAAAAAATAGATCAGCTCGTTCCCAAACTTCCCTGTGAATATGAGGTCAGGTGCTCATCACCACCTTGCAATACAAAGGTTTGTTTTCATAAAGAAAAGCCAGTGCAGCCCATGGAGAAGCCAATGTGGAAAGGCTCACTAGCCAAGGTCTTGATCCCGTGGTTCCTTAAGGGAATCCCTCGCTGACTGAACGGGTAAGGCCTGCTTGTGCATGGCAACTGTCAGGATCGTCATCCATCTTCCAGAATTAGTTCTGTTCTTTAAATTATAGTAAACAATATGTACAA